GCCCAACTATCGGCCAACTAAAAGTCGGTGGTCTGAACCTATTATAGGCTTGGACTTAGATTATTTTGTTCGCAAAAGAAATACGATGTACTGGTAATAGAAAATCGATACGATTTCACTGAATTTGATAGGTAATAACTAGAAATGTGTATGACTGGATAATAATTTACTCCAGATCTATATTATTATGATAGGTAATGCGCTATCATATGAGTTTTTTGCGCTGCTTCTTCTCAGCACTGGCCCATTTATTGTCCCGAAGAAGTGGTATGGTTAATACTGGGACATGTTAAAGTGCTTTTTAAAAGCCTATTTGCAAGAATAAAAGAGTTTTATGAGTTTTTAATGAATAGAATTCTTTAACTACATTTTAAACACCATTAGCTATTTTATCAGAAAAAGTAGTATGATTAGAAGTACAAGATCAATATTCAATTAATAGTTGTTGCAATTCACAAAGGATAGTGAGCTTTACGGTTCTATATTGGCTCACATAAAATTCTAAACCCTATTCTTTGTCTTACTACCGATTTGTGTTCATNATAATCTTACTTGCCCACAAGGATACTGTACGAGCACGTCAGCATCGACCGCGACCTACAACATGCTAGCCGACTGGCCCATGAACCCTGAACGAACGTGCACCGTACTCACTCTACACCGACGGCACATTGGACTGGACACATTGAATTGTGTACATTAAGTAAATCTTGTATATAGCAATAGCATAACAGTAATAAACCAGATACCTATCAACCGTCCGCGTTGTGTTTCATTTCCCCCACTGAGGCCAAGAAAGCCTTAGTGCAGTCTTCCTTCCTATCAAACCTTTCTTTAAATCTAATTAAAAGGTATTGTTAGGGCTCTAGGGACTACAAAAGAAGCCAGAAATATAGCTTGGTTATGAGTAACCAATACCTACTACCTATACCGCATGTAATCCTGTCTCATTCTATAATATATGGCCGCCTGAATAAACTTGAATGAAAAAGTGTTTCCACTGTCTCAATTACATCAAAAGCTCCAAACAAATCATTTAATTCAGTTTCCATTTTGCCGAATAGGCGTGATTGACAATATGCGTGACAGTTGTGGTGACAGTGACAACCTGCACACGCAGTGATCGCCATCGCGGTCGCGGCAGTGTGAAACAACTTTTGCACGCGCATTGGTCGCCATCGTCATCGCCATCGCTGCACGCGTTGGTTTGTCCGAACCTTAAACTAAAGGTTCGTTTGTCANTTTCCGTACTGTAATTGCGCCAAGTTTTGCAGATATTTTCTTTAATAACTGTTTCAAAAATGGCATGTTGCCGGTGATCTTGTCTGAAGAGATTGTTGATCAGTTATTTAGAGAGTGTGCTGAAACAGAAGCTTATCAACTTACAATTGATTTAGCTGCACAAGAAGTACGTACTCCGAATGGAGAGGCGTTTAAGTTTGAAATTGACCCATTCCGTAAGCACTGCTTATTAAATGGTTTGGATGATATTGGTTTAACATTACAAGCTGCCGATGATATTCGNGGTTATTATGTAATGTTAATTAATACTTATAGGTTATTGGTATGTGATATTTAACGAGATTAAATTCAAGAACTGAATAATCTAGATTATACAGGGTTGCTATGTAATGTTAATTAATACTTTTACATTATTGACTTGTTTTTAATATTGATGAATTTACTTTAGCGAGAACTGGCTAGACAATAAACAATTTGTACTTTTAACACTAGAAAGGCCACCGTCCCATTTTTGTCCCACTCGCGAGTTTGATCGTCTCTAACTTTTTTATTTTTCAACGAAAGTCCATGAAACTTTTTGACTTTTCCTGATTTATTGAATTTTATCATTTTTTAATGTTTTTGATAATATAACATTATTTGAAAAAATTTAAAAATCGGTTTTACCTAGAAGCGCCACTGGGTCATTTTTGTCCCACCCTGGTATTTGCAACAATAATTCGATGAAGAGTCCTTGTTTCGAGGAGATACGAGATGGAGAGGTGAGGAACGTTTACGTGACTCGTCACAATGCAGAAATGTAAATATATTGTACACGTTTTTGCCTGTGACTTCACCTAGTGAGAAATTAAGTTTATCATAGAAAGACCTAATTTCTTGACACATATCGTTGTTATTTGACCCAATAACTGAATATTATTGTAAATTATAGACTATTTTATGTTATTCTGAAGTATTAACAATAAAACTGCAAAGTTTTATTAACATCGGCTTAGTATTTTTTGCGTAAAAGAGTGAAAAAACATCAATCTATCTAACCATGAATCCACACTCACTTAGTTCAAGTTCAAGGCTTATATCCACCCATTCATCCTTCCTATTTGTTCATCGGTTCATCCATCCTTCAATTCATCAATCTTTATTAACTTTTATATTTATATTATTAGTAGGAAGGTGACATCTAGACATGGGCCAGTTCATACATTGTATGATTTGATACATTTTTAAAATGTGACTTATATATTTTTTTAAATTAAACGTACATACTTTTCATTGTAACTGGTAAAAAACTTAACTAAGTGTGTACGGATAACAGAAAAATAACCATGCCTTTAGAAATTCCTAAACACATAGTACACCAGAGAGACAAAAAACCCATACAAAAAAACTTTGTGCAAAATGTGCACTATTATTTGTAAGATTATTATTATTCCTTCAAAAATAATAATGAATAGTTAAAGTAGTAATGTCATAACTTTAATACAGTATAACACCATGTAATATGTGACAATTTTTATATGAAACCAAAAATATCTGTCTTTCAATCATTCAAAATTAAAATTGAATACTTTTATATTTTAAAAGAAATAAGTACATATTTATTTAACTATATAGATAAACCATTTTTGAAGGATACTACAAATAGTTTTAACCATAATGTTCATGCCTGAAACTAAAAAATGTTACAAAATATATGCTGGGACAAAATTGACCCAGCGGCGCTTTTAGGGGGGTCGTAATCTTCGGCACTTCTAGTGTTAAATACTTGAAACCTAGCTTAGGTATTAAAATTTAATTTTAAAAGTTACTGGCCTGGTTCAGCTGGTTCTGGATTTGGCCGCGCCTCTTCTTTCTCCCCGGCCGCCTCCTGGTCTGGTCCTCAGCTCGGGTCGGCTCCTCTCCAGGGCCGGACNTACATTCTCAATTATTTTGTTCTGCAGATAATATCCCAATTTTATTTATGAAGTTGAAGAAGCAGGTTCTCGTGAAAACTAGAATAATTTGTTTATTACATAAAAATAAATTCTGATATTGATACTTTATTCTAAAACCTTTTTTATTATTCAAGTAGGTCAGACTAGTGGTATGTTATGAATAATTCATTTTTAATTGTGTAAAAACTTTTTAACAGATCCTACTTACTATTTATTACATCGATTTTAAAAAACAGAAACGTCACAGTGACAAATGTCTCGATGATCGCTGATCGCTGCGTGCAGACGCTGCATAGATCGCCGCGACCAATGACAGGACGCGTTGATGTGAACACATCGCTACAAATTCATATAGCTGACCCACGCTGAACTGTCCCACCAAACTCAATGACAGGGGGGCGCTACCATCGCTCAACTATATGGTTTCCAACATGGCAAAAATCTGGACCAGCGATCCGGTATTGACGGTGGCGCCCCACTGTCAATGTCATCGACAGGACAGTCCAGTGGGTCTAGACAAAGTGCAAATTATAATCGCAAACCAGTCGAAAAGTGGTCGAAAAGCCCCTTTTTTGTATGGAGTTTTGACGGATTCGATTTTCGATTCGATCAAAAAGTGCGTTTTGTCTAAGGGGGCAGTATTTTGGAACTATACACGCTGTCTGGTCGCCATCGCCATCGTCATCGTGCACGCCGGCTGCACGCGTTGGTCTGGTCTAACCTTTAGTCAAATCTTTCATCTGCCTCTGGTTCATAAATTAGAAAGGACTTTCCTACAGTAGAGATAAAAAGCCCTGACAATGAAAAGAACACTAAGTACTTAAGTACTAGGTACTTAACACTTGCCTAAGCGGATATTTATTTATATTCTTTTGTTTTTCAGTGTTCCTACGGTGGCGAAACAAAACCCCTCTTCGGACTCAGCTCATTGCTGACTTCTACAGAGTAAGATTTTGTTTATTTAATACTGATTAGTCTCTCAGGGCAGATTTTCCCTGCCTTCATCAGTCCCACAACTTAGGTGTATTCACATATGTGTGTAGTGTGAGGTTTATAAGCTCTCTACAAATGATAATTTTATTTTTCCAGCACCAACGGCACTAATATCCTAGCAGCACTTGCGCTGGCACACGCACAACACACTATCAACAAACTGGAGCAGCTGGCTGAGCTGCTGGCGTTTGGGACTAACGCTACTGCTAATCGTAAGTATTTTTTAAACTTCCATTGTATTCATAATAAAAATAGTAAAAAATGTTGTTACAAAAAGTCACACGCAAATTCACGCAATGTTAAGTATTTAAACTAAACGTCACTATAAAGTGCAGTTATAATTTTATTAAATGCGCATAAAACTAACCTTTATAGTTTATAGTATTTTCCACAAATATAACAAGTGTTTTGAATATTTAATTTTATTGTTTTACAGTTTTAGTCGGTTAAACCTGCAAATTATTCTACCTGCCAACACTGCAACGAAGGAAAGAGCATCTCAACAACAACGGAATCTTCTACAATGCTGCCCAAATATTATAGTTTAGCCATTTTTATTTATTGAAATGTTTTTATGCCGTGATTTTAATAAATTAAGAAATTATAATAATACAAAGTAAAATATTTATAATTGTTTTATTTATAACACGAATTCGTCTTATTTATTAAAACCAATCCTCCCAACGCAATAAGTCTGTCAAGTTTTTTAAATATCCCGCCAACCGTAACAAATTATCATCTACTGCTACTACCCGTTACACGCGACACGCCCTATTCAACTAAACATCTGTCAATTTGACAGCTATGACAGCATCCCGGTTGAAACGTTCAAATAGCGAACGGTCTATGGACTTTGTACACAAACTTTTATATTTTTTATTACATTTATCTTGGTGATTTAAGTGTAAAAGTGTTAAAAATCTCTAATCCTTTACAATGAACTCCATTAAATCTTTGATTTTAAATCAACCTAAGAATAAATTTACTGGTAAGTGTCCCTAAAATTAAAGCCTATTCTACCAATTTTCTTCAAAATTTCTTACTTTTCAACTTCAAAATTCTAATTACTCGAATAATGTCATAAATGTGTATTAGAGTAATTATTTGTCTTACAGCCGCAGTTTTGAGGGCATATTCTTCTTCCAAATACAGCTACGAAACGTTGGCAGTTTCCGTTCCCAAGAAGAATGTTTACCACGTCGAGTTGAATCGGCCGGATAAGCTAAACACCTTTAACCTGGCTATGTGGAAGTAAGTAATGGCCCAATATTTATCAATATACAATATTGCAAAATATACTCCCTACATTTCTTGTCAGTTGGTTGGTTGGTTTAACTTCAAAAAGAGCGTAACTTCACCTTAAAGGCCGGCAACGCACCTGTAACGCCCCTGGGTCTAAGGGTGTCTATGGGCGACGGTAATCACTTACCATCAGGTGATCGGTCTGCTCGTTTGCCTCCTGTCACATAAAAAAAACAAAATTAAGTTCCAACGAAAACCGAAGACGAAGCATGTAATTAGCTATTCGATTTAGTAAATACCACATGATACAATGCCTTTTTTTATTTTGAAGATCATTAGCTAAAGAATGTGACATTTGTGAATGTTAATATACTCAACATCAAATAAACCGCACCTTCCGCGACGCGAACTTTAACGATTTTCTTCTGACACAATCATGGTGCCCCAACAATATTGGTGTTATTTGAAAGCTCAATAAATATCCTTAAAGAAAAACACATTTAATTTCTTAATAAATGATTAACATATACCATAAATGTGACTTGAAAAAATACCTCACTTTGGGCCCACCTGTGGGATCAATGAGACCAATTTTTATGGTTATAAAACCAAATAATGATCTCACGTGTCCTCTTTAACAGATGGATAGTGATTAATCCCAACTTAACAGTTTTATAGCCATAAAAGTTGGCTCTAGCGTAACTACCTATTTTTTGAAGAAGTGACTCTGGATCCTTCTAAAGACACATTTTTGGGGTTTGTCCTTTAATGAAATGAAGGTTAAAACTAGGCTTTTAAATGGTGCCAATATTGGTGGGAAGTGGGGATGCATACGTTTGAAAATGCTTGTCGCGGGAGGTGCGATTTATTTGATGTCGAGTGTATATCAGGACCGAAACTGCTATAATTAGGTCTAGTATAAGTTTGTTAGTTTAACACTTTTCTGGACAGTGCATTGCTATAGCAGTCAACAATGAAACTTCTATTGTGTCTGGGTTACTGTCAGGGAAAGTGTTAATCATAAAATTTTTATTTCCAGAGAAATCGGACAATGCTTCAAGGCTTTACACAAGGAGCCGGAGTGTCGAGTCATTGTGCTGTCCGGGCAAGGAAAGCTGTTTAGTGCTGGTAGGGATCATGATAAGCTTGTAGAAGTTAAAGAAAGAAAAAAAAACATTTTTTATTTTAGATATAACAATGCCATAGATGATTTAGCTCAGTGTTTTTTAACCTGTGGGTCGCGATCCCCTGGGGGGTCGCAAAGCCTCTATAGGGGGGTCGCGAGAGGTCGTAAAAACTACCTCAGTAAAAAAACAGTAAAGTTTTAAAGCTAGTTATCTGAAATCTAATTATGCAAATGCATAAATGTTGTATAGATTGAAGAATTGGGTCCCTACAACATCTTCGTAAAAGGCATGAAAAAAAGCGAACGGTTGGGGGGTTGCAAAAATTTTTTTCATGCTAGGGGGGTCGCGTAATGAAAAAGGTTGAAAAACACTGATTTAGCTTAATTTGACATGAATAGTGTAAATCCTTTGCCAGGAGTTTGTAAAGAATTCATACAATATCATTATTCTAGGTCCTATTTATTTGAAGAAATAACTTTATTTATGTTATTCTTATTTTGGACTCTTGTCTTTCAATGCCAGTTCTATCATAACCTAACTAATCAATGTACCTTAGCCAGCCGGGCTAGGATGCGCGCCGTGATACAATCTTATCGATGTTTTTAGACGACAAATGTATGGGCTTATCATGTAAAATCGTTTGTTATGTCATCGGCCCATCTTTTCTTCAGCCGATGACATAACAAACAAGGCAGGGAAAAATTGGATGCACATAGCCAGCGACAGGGAAAGGTGGAAAAAGATGAAGGAGGCTTTTACCCAAGTGGGGCCACAAACAAGAGATACAGATTAATTGAATGAAACTGTAAAAATGTGGAATATAAAGCTATAATAATAATAATAATAATCATGTAAAATCGATAAAATGGCGCGATAAAATCTTATCGCGGCGCGTATCCTAGGCCAATAATGATTGTGTAAATTCTGGCACATACAAAGTTAAATATTCTTTCAGGTATTGACCTCAAGAGCTTGGTAGGGTACTTCACACAAGCAAACGAAATTGAGGACCCGCCGCGCCGCGGCCGATTCCTATACGATTGGATGAAAGACTGCCAGGTAATGTTTATTCCAGGTAATATTTAGACGGCCGTTTGGTGTAGTGGTTCAGAACGGACTACTATGCCGAGAGGTCCCGGGTTCGATTCCCGGCCGGGCAGAAATTGAAATGATGAATTTTAATTTTTGTGACGGGTCTGGGTGTTACTATGTATAATATGTATGTATTTAAAAAAAAAAGTATATAAGTAGTATATCCGTTAAGCTAGCACCCATAACACAAGCATATTAATTGCTTACTTTGGGGCTAGATGGCGCTGTGTGAGATTGTCCAAAGATATTTATATTTATTCCTATACTAAAATGTTGTGTGTAAAAAATAGCTTGCTCTTCTATCCATCTGATTGTTTGTTATTTTCACCAATTTTTTTTACAGAGTAAAAGTCATTAAGAGGGTGAAATAGGTGATGGATGATGACTGTTAGATAGCCATTACTTAGAAAATCTTTTAATTTTAATGTTTTCTTTTTTTTACCAAATGTTATTTATTGTATCCCTTGTATAAATCTGTACAGTACTGTGTTAGGTCCATCATGCTTTGTATATCCAATTTAAGTAGGGTATATGTATATGCATAATATATTATGTATATTTTAAATCATCTAATCTTAATTCCTATTTGGTTTGTTCATCAATCTTTAATGGAAATGTGTATGTTCTTTGGATTTTTATAATATGAATATCATGTATTTGCATCAGTTTTCGAAGCATTCTTTTCTTTTCAATATACACTATAACACCCTATATTATATTAAAATATACATAAACGCATATACCCTATTCCAGGACGATATATCCTCACTCGAAGACTGCATCAAGCCTATACTATCCGTGATCCACAGCGCTTGTATCGGGGCAGCGGTGGATCTCATCACAGCCGCTGATATAAGGTATATATACAACAATATACACTGTATATATACGTATATTTCAGGCCTCTATAACTACGCTGGAAGACTGCATCAAGCCGGTACTGAGCGTGGTGCATGGCGCGTGTATTGGGGCGGGTATCAATCTTACTACTGCTGCCGATGTTAGGTAAGTGTGACTTTTGTATCCATTTTCTTGCTCGATGAACTGATGAACTGAAGAAGATACATTCAACATCAAATAAACCGCACCTTCCGCGACGCGAACTTTAAAGATTTTCTTCTGACACAATCATGGTACCCCAACAATATTGGTGTTATTTGAAAGCCCAATAAATATCCTTAAAGAAAAACACATTTCATTTCTAAATAAATTATTAACATATACCATAAATGTGACTTGAAAATAGACCTCACTTTGGGCTCACCTCTGGGATCAATTAGACCAATTTTTATGGTTATAAAACCAAATAAAGATCTCACGTGTCCTCTTTAACAGATGGATAGCGATTAATCCCAACTTAACAGTTTTATAGTCATAAAAAATGGCTATAGCGTAACTACCTATTTTTTGAAGAAGTGACTCTGGATCCTTTTAAAGACACATTTTTGGGGTAAAAACCTTTCCTTTAATGAAATGAAGTTTAGAACTAGGCTTTCAAATGGTACCAATGTTGGTGGGAAGTGGGGATGCATACGTTTGATAAATGCTTGTCGCGGAAGGTGCGATTTATTTGATGCCAAGTGTAGCTGGCAGTGGCTAACTAAGCAGGAGATCATGCTTTGTTGGGCTACTTAAAGTAGGCTTATGTCTAGTATAGCAGTAAATCAAATCAAATCAAATAAGTTTATTTGCAGAACAAAATGTCATGATAATACAGGTATACAGTATCTGAGTCAGTTCCAATTATGTACACTGCAATGGACAGAAATGTTAGTCTATTTTGAAGTATTATAGATAAAAACGTGTAGGATGGCGCACATATTCATTCATGTACTCGATATAATACCATTCCAGCCTCAAAATTGCTAAAACATAAAAATATATTCTGTTAATTTAATTCCCTGTAAACTAACTTAGTCCTGTCATCTGCTTTTCATTGGAGGAGTCGCACCTACACTTCGAACTCCTGGTGAAGTTTATTGCGGGTCCAATGAAAAATTCAAATTCAATTTTTTTACTCATATTACATGATGTACATAGGTTGGAAAATAAATAGAGACAAATATGAATTCCAGGTACTGCACCGAAGATGCGTGGTTCCAAGTTAAAGAAGTGGAAGTTGGATTGGCAGCCGACGTTGGAGTACTACAGAGGCTGCCCAAGGTAATTAGCTAATTGTTTTAATTACTTTTCGCTTAGGGTAACAATTTGAGTTATAATAACTATTGGGTAGTTCACACCAGTAAGGCGATTATCACACTGCACCGCGCTCCGCCGCGGTCCGCGTGGCGACATAATATAACGAATCCCGCGCGCAAACGCGTTTTCAGTGTGTTGTGCCGCGCGTGTTTTCTATACAAACTGAGGTACTTGCATATAATGGTTAAATCTGTCGTCCCGCGTACCGCGGCGGAGCGCGGTGCAGTGTGATAATCGCCTAAGTAATAAATACAGGGTGCAAATTCGGTGTTTGTCGGAAAATAGAAATCGTAAGCACTTATAACCAAAATGGCGATCGCTAAATGATAAGCTCACTCCGTGAACCGATTGCAAAATTCAATCTGTGGTGCCTATACAAAGTAATATTTCACGAATATTAATTTGTGTAGAGTTACCTCTTAACCAATGTGCCACTGAAATTAGATCGATTTTTTTTAGTCTAGAAACCTAGCTCTCTTTTAAAAACCAGTAGTTTGAAATCCATTAAAACCTGCTAACTACATAGAAATAATAGTCATAGCGCTTTCACATTAAGACGTTAGAAGCGCGACAGCAGCGTGGCAGTGGCGTTTTTATAATGAGAAGGCATGCATCCGCTGTCACATAGTATAAAATTTTGTCGCGCTGCTAAATCGCCTAAATGTGAAAGCGCTCTAATGCACGCCAATATCTCCAGATTGTAGGTAACACATCAGTAGCTCGGGAGCTGTGCTTCACCGCGCGGAAGTTCGACGCCAAGGAGGCTCTGCAGATCGGGCTGGTAGGCAAAGTGCTGCCGGATAAGGAAAGGTAGGTTTGTTTCTGATGACTGTTTATACAGGGTGTAGTGTAAATAGTAGTCAAACGCCGAAAGAGAGCATGGTATTCAGGTATCAGATGTCAATGTATAGTTTTATGTTAAAAGTAGAATTACCTGAGATCTATTTCTAGAAAGAAATTGTTAAAGTGTTGTGTTTATGCCGCTATACTATTTATGCCACATAAATAGTATGTATAGCGGCATAAACACAACACCGTACAGCCTGTGTACGTATACATATTGTTTTACCGTCTACATCAGACATAATGTTCTTTTAAGAAATGTTTTCAATCGCTCAACAGAAGTATTCATGTTCATATGCGTTCGCCGAACATCGTTCGCCTACGTTCGCCGAACATTGTTCGCCTACGTTCGCCGAATTTCCCCCCTTTTGTGTTAATGTAAAATTAATCTAATTCCAGTGCCCTCAAGCACGCCTTGGAAGTGGCTGAAGACATAGCCACCAAGAGTCCGGTGGCGGTGCAGGCCACCAAACTGAACATCATCTACTCCCAAGACAAGACTCCTAAGGAAGGACTGGAGCATATCGTGAGTGTTTATGTATTTTACCTTCCATCCAAATCTGTCCAGCTTCTCTGTTATGAATGGTGTAACTAACACTTTGCTTTGTGTATGTGTATAGATGTAAAAATAAACTAGCTGTGCTCGCGCCTTTGTAGGCGTGAAAATTGCTTGAGTATTTTTTTTCCGTCGTTGCAACGTTTTTCATTGATGCTCTGCTCCTACTGGTCGTAGCGTGGTGGTATAATAGCCTATAGCCTTTCTCGATAAAAGGGCTATCCAATACAAAAATATTTTTTTTAAATCCTCAATCATCTATGTTCGTTTTGTGTTGTTATTGTTCATAATTTGTGCTTACTGTGTTAAATAAAGTCTTATTTCTTTCTTCTTTCTTTCTTTCATTGAATTATGTCAGTGTCAATGTCAACGCGATATTTGGAATTATTTTTATGTGTTTACTTTTGCATGGTTTTTGTAATAATGGTATATCCTATTTACATAACTTGCTTGTAAATGTACACTTTAATCAAAGCACTTGTTTCTGAATAGATATTTCGATCTATCTCATAAGATCCATTCTTTGTTTTATTTTGTGATAAATGTGCAAGATTTTTTAAAACTTTATTATTTTGCTCTGTTGGGTATTGAATCCATGATTGATGCAATTCTTATATGCAAAGAAATTATGAAGATGCCAGAATGGCAGAAGACAGATACCAAAGAAGATCTGTCAAGAACACCATCTATTGAAACTAAATGCGAAGTGGTGATGGAAGAAATTACAGACTTAGCTAGCACGTCAGTTTATTTTCTTTCTTTTTTTTTCACTTTTCTTTATGACTTTTCCTTAAGTTTTTTTTACTCAAATCAGTCATAAAGTTTTGCAGTTTCTCGAAACAGACAGCAATGTATTTATTTATTTATATAATTTCAGGCTTTGATCAACATGCTTAACCACCAAGGCGAGGACTTCACCAAAAGCGCGATAGCACTCGCTACCAAAGGCGAGAAACCCGATTTTGAAGATTATTAACCCTTTATAGTGCACAGCATGTATTAGGTTTGAAGAAAAAAAATATTTTCAACTTATAATAAATGAATAATGATTCTAATTTTGGTGGCTGCATTTGTGGCCAGTGTCCAAAAAAAATATTTTCGGCCTTATTACAAATTAAAACTGTTATAATTTCGGTGGCTATATTTGTGACCAGTAACCTATAAATACCAATTTATCTATTCTAACAATTCATTTGTCCTGTCCTGACTTATTATTCAGATACTGCGAAAACTACTAAACTTTTTAGATTTTTTATAACATCAAAACTCAAAACCCATTAAGAAATGTTTTGTTTTTATGAAATTATGTTTTGTAGGTAGAAACTAGCCTTTTGTTATGTTGCTAATGTAAAAGAATAATGTTATATTAATAGAAATAGAAATACAGAAGTGGTCTAATTTTAGTGGAAGCTCAATTTATACCCTATATTTTTATGTGAAATTTTGAACTTGTAAAAGTATACCTATTCAAGTAAATTAGTTATTTATAAAAGGACTGGATTATACGTGTGCTAAGTGAAACTATATTTTTGTTAAGTATTTATATAATAAAGTAAGATTTTGTTAAGTCTGTGTTGTTTATTAGTATCTTTATATTATGTATTTCTATTATTATTATAAATTAAAGTTAATGATTTGTCGCAATTGGATTAACAGTTGACAGTGTTGACACCGTCCATCAAATAAATCAAACTTTTCACAATTTTTCTAAAAAATATATTTAATTCTAGTCCAAAAACTTTAAATTTATTTGAATCGACTAAAAAAGTCTTTAAAATTGATAAAATAACAGTCAATAACTTGTATTTTCATACAAATTCCATGCAAAATATGATCGGCGTTTACCCGTGGTCCCCCCAACATGTCCCCCTGGTGGGTCCACGGGTATTTTTTTTTACCCGTTGTCCCACCGTTCTGAACAATTTTTGCCAGTGGGTCTACGGGTAATTTATTTTAACCATAGTCCCACCGCACAGTGGTAAACGTTGCATGTCACCTAGGTATAATTATAAAAAAATCTATAATTATTAATTAGAACTGGCCCCGTAGCAGACATTTTCCTACATCTAAAGGCCTTTTGAAATATACATAATTATATTGGTTATGGCTATTGGAGCGGGTACCACTTTCCATACATTTGTGCCCATCATCCTTTACTTTCAATTTTATTCCAAGAAGAAAATTTATTTTATTTTATTTTATTTCCAATTATTTTTTAATTAAAATTGATGTAAAAAAGAATAGACTTTCTATTTTATTTTATCGATTTTTTTCCAAGAATATGAGGTTACATGCAACGTTTACCACTGTGCGGTGGGACTATGGTTAAAATAAATTACCCGTAGACCCACTGGCAAAAATTGTTCAGAACGGTGGGACAACGGGTAAAAAAAATTACCCGTGGACCCACCAGGGGGACATGTTGGGGGGACCACGGGTAAACGCCGAATATGATCATCAGGTCATTTAATATCCACTGCAAGAGATTCTCTTATGCAACATACCATTAAAAAATATTTTGTCACATTAAAAAATATCGGACATTTCAAATACATAATAATATATTTTTATTATAAATAAAAATAACTCAAAATTATATATAAAACATTTAATTTTACCTTAATAAAAACATAAACAAAGAAAAACAAAATATTAAGCCACCAAATTATTTTACGAACATCCCACCACACCCTGATGCGATTCTATTTAGAAAAGACGAATTGACTCTATCGAGAACCGATCTCGGGACCAACCGCGATTCACAGAACCACCAGACCATCGGGCTGCCTAAAAAATAGCTACCTACCTACATAATTTAATATAATAAATAATAAATAAATATCTTTGGACATTTTTACACTACGCTTCTAGTCCAAAACTAAGCAAAGCTTGTACTATGGGCACTAGACAACGGATATAACTTAAATACTTTTTTTTTGTAAATAACCAGACCCGTCACAAAAATTAAAATTCATCATTTCAATTTCTGCCCGGCCGGGAATCGAACCCGGGACCTCTCGGTATAGTAGTCCGTTCTGAACCACTACACCAAACCACCGACAAAAAAGATAAAAAAGATAGTACATTTCAACAATTTTTCAATTGAAAAAAAAATTGTGAATTTACACTGCGTCATCCAGTCCCAAACTAAGCAAATCTTATATTATGGGTACCTGAACAGATATAAGCAATTAATGAAACATACTTTAATACTATTTTCGTTACTACATTGCAACGGGGCGTCTAAGCTAGCTCAGTCTGACACCCCGCTGTTTAGTACTAAGTCCCAGTTCGCCTTCTGCGATGAGGGATGTGTACCTATCCAGGATGCCTACAGGGATATTTGACCAAGGAAACGCACAATCAATAACACAATGGCACTTATAATTCAGGTTCCACAATAGTTTACTTATTCTAGTTTCACTGACTCTAAATTACTATTATTTAAATAATGAACAAGTTATTCCACAATTGCAAATCTACTATGACAAGAGGGATAGCGACGCGCCCGGTTCGCGTCCCGAGACTAGTTTACGTATCCGCGAGAGGGGCGGCGCCCTGTGCGAGGTATAGCAAGTGTTAGATTGGATACTTATAAACTAGGGGGGTAGGATGGTTCGCTCCCAAATCGGTAACCGAGGTCAACGAAGTGGGGATTCGTGCACCGAAGGTAAAAGGCTTGGGACCTACGTGGCGAGTGGGGAGGAATTACAGGAAGGGTGGCAGCGGGATTGCTACCGCAGGTCGGGATTGAGTAAAGCATGCACTCGGTAGGGATTTGGATGTGAATACAGGCAGCGATGGTTCGCTCGTGTCGCGGGAACCGCGCGAGCAGAAAGTCCTATCGAGCCAGGTTAGTGGGAACAGTGAGGGTAGCTATTCGCTAGGGACTCTTGCGCAATTAACCGTAGACGCGCGCGCGATCGTCTGGCTGTTGCGATGGCTCCCGAGCGAATGCTAGGCGCCCGCGGTCGCCGCCGTCTCTTATATTAGCTCGGTCCGTGCGGCGTGCGGCCGCGCAGCCGTAGGGTTGTCAAAATCTCTGCGCTCGGTGCTAGGGCTGTCGATGCGTCGCGGGGCGCGTCACAACATACCTACTTACATACACAGAAAACACCCAAATTTTCGATAAAGCATGGTCATGCACTCTTTAGTACCTACTTGAGTAATCGAACCCGCGACTTCAAGCTCACTCCGTTTCACGAACCACCAAACTATGTACCCATCATAAAGAACTATTTTAAAACCACTTAACACTGCACTAAAACAAAACCACAACCTATCAATAAAATCACGTGACCTAATTAATAAATAAAGACCACCTAAACTAGCCTTCGTTATTAATTAGCTACAAATTAATTTACGCGGTCACCCATCCATTTCCATCGCATCTCGTGGGTGCTTAACCACTAAAGTACGAAACCTATCATATCATATTGCCTTGACATGGATCTGTGGTTGCCATAGGTCATGGAACTAGGCGTTGGAAAGGTCTAGTCTAGATTTAGTAAAATGACACGTAAAATTAATTTGCGTGAAATTTGAAATTTAGGTTTAAAAAATAAATTTAGGTTTATGGTCCTTGGTCAAGAGACTTTTTGAAAAAAAAATTTTTTTTGATATAATATATGAAAAAATTTTTTTACTAAAAATAATTTATATCTTCTTTAATGATAATCATTTATGAAATATTTAGTTTGTTATGAAATATCTACTGGAATATGTAAATAAGGCTTAGTTTATTTTTAAGTTAAGTCTGACGCTAATATTTAAAAAAAGTCTCGTAGCATTTCAAACAAAGGAATTGTTTTATTCAAATGTAGAGTCATTATAACCTGCATTTATATTATTCACTTCCCTGTATAACTTAATTCTGCAATTATTTATAATTATTATAAAAAAATACCATCACAATAAAATCTCAAAAATCCCCCACCCCATAGGGAAACGTATGACGTCACCACACAAACTACGTCACTGCAATCGGGTATTACAAAGAAAATCAGGTAACCTAGTTTATGGGGGCTTGCACTTGCGTCGGAGGGAATGACCTGCCCAATATAGAGCGTCTATATTTAGCCCGCAGGCTGTGCGGCGCTGTGAATGGTGCACCCACATCTAGGGCACACTGCAATGATTTGACCTATTTATTTTTCAATGGGTCGGTATGAACGGGAAGCCAGAGCGAGCCTCCATTCAGTAACAGGCGGACCCTCGGAGCTACGTGACCTACTTCGCGGGACGACGGGCCCGACCGGTTTTTTATTACAAAATTTAATATACGTGGAATATCTATGAGGGTGAAGTGAAATTGGTGAAAAAAATCCGCGAAATTCAATCTAGAAGTGTAGCTAGAAAGTGTTAAAAAATCAGTGGAGAAACTCTACATTTTTCAAAAAACCCCGCCTTGTGAGAATCTGGTTCAATCGTGACGTCATTGGCAGATAGTCGCGACCGAGCGTTGTGATTGGCTGAAACTCGTACCGACTCTATCAGCCAATAGGGGCGCGTCTCGGCGAACTCGCCCGCGATCCTTGCGCCACCTGTCGCGCAGTCTCGCGGCGTTCATTGAATGGCCCGGCACGCCTGCGCACTGAGGCCCAACAAAGGGCCGAACTAAGACGGTTCGCAAGTGAATCTGATGTATTTATGTCATAAAAATGGTGAAATCTGTGAAGTGGCGAGTAGAAATTAGGATATTCGACGTGTCGAACCATGACCGGGGCATCTGAAAAGTAAGTTGTGTGTTGGTTACTCAGTTTTTGGGTCCTGTGCTTCGCCCTTCTATGTAGGCAGGGCCTTACCCCGGCCATCTTCCATATATCAAGAGATGTGTAATGTGATTTATAGTGTTTTAGCTATTCAAACGAAGCAATATACAGCTCAAAAAAGGTTCAGGGCAACATTTGCGAGCTGAAGTATCTCATAAAATGGTTTGCCAAGCAAACTCCGCCCTCAGGTCACGGTGTCCCTGTGTAGATAATCAATGGAGTGTCGTTCATTCACAATAATGTAGGTAACACCACTCGGGGTCAATTCGAGCTAAGCTTATTCACCACTAAGCTGAATGGCTGGTACAGCGCGATTGTAAGAATATTGTACATTTACGCGTGACAGATGACAATGTTAATATTTTTAAGGGCGATATTAATGTGCTGTTTCTTTTGCCACTCAGTACATACACTGTGTGGGTTCTAAAAACCACATTAACCAATTAAGACGGCCATCAGTGGAATGTTTTCCCACAGTAAAATAATTAGGCTAAATTACGATTGTGCAAGCCACCAAAGTATATTGTAAGTGCACGAACTACATTATACCATTTTATTACCTACTTGTATGGCTTAAAAGGAAACAACTCTTATAGAAATACTAATGGTCTTTTCGCACCTAATAAGCAAAATAAGCTGCGACTCTACCTTATGTTTCTGTACAAAATAAATTACATGACCTTGTCTTTATGTTGAACTAAACCAAATAAGTATAACAATGTTTAATTACGTATGAGATTACGTTTAGTACTTATATTCCCTGAACATATAAATATCGAAGTACTCTACAATAATCTACAAAAGTTTTTATTGTAGCACCAATTACGACATTTTTTTCAACTTAGAAATTGTGGAGTTCTGAAAGTTATCAATATAATTTTCAAGTTATATGATTCTATAAAAATGGGGTGTAATACTATAATACTGTAACCATAACTCTTCAGTAAAAGGCAAGAATGTAGATATTTACATTTATACTGTCTCTACAAAGACAGGGCTGTTGATTAAAAACAAAAGAAACTCTACCATATAAAATATTTTCTTTCTTTTCTTTCTTTACCAACTACCTGGCATCACATAGTTGACAGTTATGGTCAAAAAGGGTTGTATTCGTTTTTAAAAGGGCCTCTACATGAACACAAAGAAAAACGTTAAGAAGTACCTGATCCTGAGCTTTTTTATTTTTTGCAAACTTGAAAGCAGCTGTTGAATTCATAATTATTTTGTCATCTTTTCGCTTTAATTGCATTATAACCTAATCTAACCTAACTAAACCTGCGGGGATTCACAGTGACCTTAAATACTTTTTTTACAAAGATAAATTAATACATTAATAAAATGTTAAAAATTTCGACACATGCAGTAGCTTTAGTTGCTCCTTTGATTTTCGTAATTGTAGAGCTAAGAAAAGAGTTTTTCTGTTCCAAAATCTATAAATATTACTATGAACGTGTGTTTATTTGTTTTATTCGTTGATAAAAATAACTCTAGATATGAATAAACTTGCATTAGCACGGGGTTGACGGTTTTTTACAATATAAAGACTTAGATAAGTAAATGTAGATTCAAGTTCGAGCTTTCGATATTTACTTATACGAGATTTATGAAAATTTTGCAACGGTTAAAGTGTTAAGCGACAGATACAGTCGGTACTTACAATTTATGACTATTTATGCATTTTTTTTTTGCTTAATCAAAGCAATTTTTGCGCGATGATTTTGTGTCGATTTGATAAAAGATTCATCACACTTGATAAGTTAGTAAATTCAAAGTAAATTCGTAATAATACAAAACTAGTAATTCTACAAATAAATAAAGATATCATGACGAATTTACACATGGCCTATTTCCTATGACGAAAACACTTTGCGACAAATCGACAATATCCCTTCAATATTACGATCTTTTGTCTTATGCCGATGTCAAAATTGGGGATAACCTATGTTCAGCAGTGGACGTCCTATGGCTGAAATGAAGATGATGTCAAGAACATATTTTGTCTTCTTCAATGTCTGGAGGCCTATATTCAGTAGTGGACGTCCTGTGGCTGAAATGATCATGATGTCAAGAACATCTTTTGTCATCTTCAATATCTGGAGGCCTATATTCAGCAGTGGACGTCCTGTGTTTACTTTAAAATGATGGTGATGATGATGTCAAAAAACATGTGTACACAGTCTACCTAGTATGAAATTCAAAAAACAAGTATACAATCTATGAATCTAGCTAGCTTTGAGGTAATTGCTTAACACTTACCTGCATTGCAATCGGTATCTAATTATCTTGATTAATTGTAATTAATGCCCGCATCATACGTTTTTCCTGGTTGACGTCATAGAACTTAATTAAGACAATAATGTGATGAAAACTATGCAATTTTACTTAAAATCGATAGCAATATTAAAATTGCATAAAATAACATTAGTTTATCAGGTGTGATGCGGTCAAATACCTGCCTTTTACTGCATCATCATCATTATTTCAGCCACAGGACGTCCACTGTTGAACATAGGCCTCCCCCAATGACTTCCACATCGCACGGTTGGTAGCGGCCTGGATCCAGCGCCTTCCAGCTACCTTTATCAGGTCGTCGGTCCACCTTGTGGGTGCACGTCCCACACTGCGTTTACCGGTACGCGGCTTCCATTCCAGAACCTTGCTGCCCCATCGGCCGTCAGTTCTGCGTACTATGTGCCCTGCCCACTGCCACTTCAGCTTGCTAATCCGTCGGGCTATGTCAGCGACTTTAGTTCATTTACGGTTCTCCTCATATGCATGGCAATATTAAAATTGCATAAATAACATTAGTTTAACGTGTGTGGACGTCCTGTGGCTGAATTGATAATGATGATAGGCATTAAATGTAACATATAGACGAAGTTACTTTAATCATACGTACGGAGTTCCTCACTATGTTACAACACTTACAACATCGTCCAATTGATTCCTTAAGACCCACTTACCGGTTACAAAACTACATTTCAATTTTAAATGTTGAGGAAAAATTGCAGGAACAAACTGAATGTTAAACACTTATGATTTGATTAGCTTTTTCCGTGATACTTTTTAAGGTGTTCCATAAACCATCATACATAATAAGTGATGAATAGATGTAATTTAATATCAGAAAGGTTAGTCACCTTTCATTCAATAGTTAGAGCGGTAAAGCTCTACGTGTCTGAACCCGATACGAACCTGTAAAAATATAGTCCGGTCCGGTCACAGCCTACTATTTTCAACCGACTTCAAAAAAGGAGGAGGTTCTCAATTCGACCCGTATGTTTTTTTTTTTTTCTATGTTTGTTACGCGATAACTCCGCCAATTATGAACCGATTTGGACAAATCTTTTTTCGGCGTATAGGTAATACCTCAAGGATGGTCCCATTTAAATTTAATAATAAAAAAAACAACCCCCAAGGGTGGAAAATTGGGGATGAACTTTTTATACGCAATATCTCCGCCGATTATAAACCAATTATAACGATTATTTTTTTGTTGAATAGGTATTATTAAAAGTGTAGTTTCATGCGAATTTGAAGAAAATATTTCACCCCCAAGGGTGGAAAATTGGGGATGAACTTTTTTATACGCAATATCTCCGCCGATTATGAACCAATTTTTTTTTGGTGTCAGTGTACTGCCTACCTTCAGTGGTAACATCAAGGTAATAATTAGTTAACTAAAAAGCAAGAAATAAGTAAAATTTTATAAAAAAAAATAAAACCGACTCCAAAAAACCTACACTAAAACGTAGAAAAATAATTACTAATTACCTACTTATTTATTAGGACGAATTATTAATATTTATGTAGGTATACCATGATTGATACTTTTGGAGTCGGTGCAGGCAAACTTTACATGTTTCATAATCTTGGCACCGACTCCAGAAGTATCAATCATGGTATACCTACATAAATATTAATAATTCGTCCTAATAAATAAGTAGGTAATTAGTAATTATTTTTCTACGTTTTAGTGTAGGTTTTTTGGAGTCGGTTTTATTTTTTTTAATAAAATTTTACTTATTGTAAGACAGTTTCCGTCGTTTCAGCCAAATGACGTCCACTGCTGGACAAAGGCCTCCCCCAAGGTTTTCCTTAATGAACGGTCCTGCGCTGCCCGCATCCAGGCCCTTCCCGCGACCTTTACCAGATCGTCGGTCCACCTAGTAGGCGGCCTGCCCACGCTAGATACACGCAAGATAGTTTCTCCGTATTAGATCCGATTTCTTAGGTTTCTAGATCTGTATTTTGACGGATCCGCTCTTGTTTTTGACCGACCCCAAACTTCTAAATCTCGTAGACTACTTGTTTTTCAGTTTTAGAACGACTCCTTCTACAATCTACAACAACTACCTGTATGGCGTAGGGCTCATATCTTTAGGAGAACAAGGGTGCATATTAGTGTAATGGTGCGTCCACACTGTGCGAACTGGCTCGCGCGGCAAACTCGACATCCTGCTCACTCAAGAGCAGGGTGAGCAGGATGACCAGCATGCCGTACGAGCCCGTTCGCCCAGTGTGGACGCACCATAACGTTTAGAAGATACGAGAGTTTAGACCATACACTTAATGCACCTTCGTAAAGAGAAAACTATCACGAATTTGTCTAGCGGCCCTGATGATGTATCATCATCATCATTTCAGCCACAGGACGTCCACTGCTGAACATAGGCCTCCCCCAATGACTTTCACATCGCACGGTTGATAGCGGCCTGCATCCAGCGCTTTCCTGCTACCTTTATCAGGTCGTCAGTTCACCTTGTGGGTGGACGTCCCACGCTGCGTTTTCCGGTGCGTGGCCTGAACCTTACTGCCCCACCGGCCGTCAGTTCTGCGTACTATGTGCCCTGCTCATTGCCACTTCACCTTGCTAATCTGTCGGGCTATGTCAGCGACTTTAGTTCGTTTAGAGTAGGCGCACACCGTTGATTTTTCATCGGCCGATAGTTTAGTCGGGCAGTTGATCAGTATGGGCATGTATGGGAGTGCGCACACTACGCCGATTCGATTTGGCCGATTCTTCATACAAATTAAAATCGGGCACAACTATCGGCCAACTAAAAATCAACGGTGTGCGCCTACTCTTAAACACACAGTGAAACAAATTGTAAAATATGTGACCTGCATAACCTGTGATTCACAATAAAGACATTATTTATTTACTTTGTTGACGGATCTCCTCATTTCTAATTGGATCTTGTAAGAAACACTTTCCTTAGCACGCTGTGCAACTTTTTTATACCTAATCCTGCAACTGCAGTGACGACTGCATTACATGATGATAATGAATGTCTTTTGTCCACAAAGTCTACATATCGCTCGTTACATCAATTTGCCTCTGGTAAATTAAAGAATTACATACTCCTGCATTAGTTCTAAATGACCTGATGACGGCCTGGTTAAGCGCTGGACGTAGGCCGCTACCAATCTATCAACATGGAAAGCATTGGGGGAGGCCTATGTTCAGCAGTGGACATCCTATGGCTGAAATGATGATGATAATGATGAAGTGCTTGTTTTGTCCACAGTGCCTACTTGGTGCGAGTGCGTGCGCAGGTGATGTGCCGCGACGAGGGCACGGGCGGCTGGGTGGCGCTGGGCGGCGGCGGCCTGGCCGACGTCATGGTCGGCCGGCGCGCCCGCCACATCCACCGCCTCTCAGGTCAGTTGCAGAACCTTCTAGAACCTTCTAGACCTTTCTAGCACCCTTACAGCAATCCAGGAGCCTTCCAGAACATTCTAGGAACTTCTCAACACACCTGGAGCCTCTCAGCACATTCTAGGATCTTTCCAGCAGCACTAGAGCCTTCTGAGACGTTGTAGAACCTTCTAAACCCTTCCAGCAGTTCGCAACAGCTTGCTACTGAAGATAATGGAGCCTATATCGATGGAAACATCAAGAAAGGGGCTTCTGATGATGATAACAAAGATGCAACACGTGTGATGGAGACATCGAGCAAAGAAAAAACAAAAAACAGTCACAAAATTGTGCAAAAGAGACCCAAGGGACACACGATTTTGTTACTGCCTCTCGCTCTTGCACAGTCACCGAAGCGGAACCAATGTTGATCGTCTTTTGTTTTTTCAATTCGAACGCGCGTTTTCGGAAGCGTTTAAGACAAATGACTATCGATGATTGCATTGTCAATAGAATTAAAGACAAAAAAGCATCTTCAAATGAGACCGTCTCTTGTTATGTGTTCGTTTCGATGTAAGCACAGATAGTTGCTTCTTTGCGACGAGGGCACGGGCGGCTGGGCGGCGGCGGCCTGGCCGACGTCATGGTCGGCCGGCGCGCCCGCCACGTCCACCGCCTCTCAGGTCAGTTGCAGAACCTTCTAGAACCTTTCCAGAACCTTCTAAACCCTTCTAGCAGTCCACCCTAGTGATTCTGGAGCCTTCCTGAAGTTCCTAGGCCCCTTTAACAATCTTGGAGCCTCCCGAAACATCCTAGGTCCTTCTAAACCCTTCCAGCAGTTCGCAACAGCTTGCTGCTAAAGATAAAGGAACCGATACCTTCTAAAACCTTTCCAGCAGTCCTGGAGCCTTTCAGAATGTTGTAGACCCTTTCAGAAGTCCATTCCAGCTTGATGCTGAAAATAATGGAGCCTATATCGATGGAAACATCAAGAAAGGGGCTTCTGATAATGATAACATAGAAGCAATACGTGTGATGGGGACTTCGAGCAAAGAAAAAACAAAAGAAAGTCACAAAATTGTGCAAAAGAGACTCACGGGGCACCCGATTTTGATACTGCCTCTCGCTCTTGCATAGTCACCGGAGCGGAAAGAAGCTCGATCGTCTTTTGTTTTTCAAATCGAACGCGCATTTTCTGGAGTAAATAAAACAAATGAGCATCGATGATAGCATTGCCCATGAGATTATAGACAAAAAAGCATCTTCAAATGAGATCGTCTTTTGTTATGCGAATTGGTTTCATCTTTACTTCAAGCACAAAGATAGTTTGCTTCTTTGCGATGAGGGCACAGGCGGCTGGGTGGCGATGGGCGGCCACCGCCTCTCAGGTCAGTTGCGGAACCTTCCAGAACCTTATAGACATTTCTAGCACCATTACAGCGCGCTTGGAGCCTCTCAGCATATTCTAGGATCTTTTGAGCAGCCCTGGAGCCTTCCAGAGCCTTTTAGAACAATCTAAACCCTTCTAGCAGGAAAGATTCTAAAATCAAATCCAATGGAAACATGAATAAACAGGTTCCTGATGATAATAACAAAGAAGCAACAAGTGTGAAACGACTTAGGAGTGAAAAAAAAAACAAAAGAAAGTCACAAAATTGTGCAAAAGGGACCCACGCCTGCCCACGCGTCATGGGATTTTGATACTGCCTCTCGCCTAAGAAGATTTATCTAGAATACTCAAGATAACAATACATCCTATCGTCTTTTGTTTTCAATGACAATTTGTAATAGTGGTTTGACGTCATCATTCACCTTTCGTATTAAACGAACTGGGATGACCCGAAATCAATAAATTAATATGAACAAAAATATAGGTCACTCGATTCACCTCTCGGAAAAGCCCGCGAAATGTAACGCATGTGAAAAAGAGAACAGATATTGAAAAAAACAAGGCATATTGCCATTAACAATTAAATTTATCCGTCTATTGGAAACGGATTTTCTGGGAAACTGTATTGTGGGCTTGGAAAATGCGTCATTGCAGCTCGGACCTTCGTGCAAGCATTTAGAGTTCTTGCATTTTAGAAATTATTGATTAGTTTTTTATCAATAGTGGAAATAGTTTCAAATTAGTTTAAAATCTCTTTAGTTTTAGTACGTTTTTAGTAATTAAATTGTGTAGTTGTATTTTGGACAAATAAGGCACAGGTAAGTGGGTATTGAATGAAATAATTATTTTTGATGAGTTTGATATAGAACGAACATTTAGAACCTCCTCCTTTTTTTAAGTCGGTTAATTAGGTACTTTTATATATTTTTATTGTATTCGTGCGTTTTAGTACTTAAGTTGTGTACCCATATTTTGGACATTTGAAACAGATAGTACCTATGTAGGATTTCCATATGAAAGTAGAAAACAGGGCGTGGTCCCATATGAATAATTACTGAAACTTTTAACTTTCATAAAAAGATTTAGAGTAAGCGCACACCGTTGATTTTTAGTTGGCCGATAGATGTGCATATGAAGAATCGGCCAAATCGAATCGGCGTAGTGTGCGCACTCCCATACATGCCCATACTGATCAACAGCCCGACTAAACTATCGGCCGACGAAAAATCAACGGTGTGCGCCTACTCTTAGATCCTTAAAAGGAGTTGCAATTAGAGATGGGTAGTGGGTAAAAACCCATTTCACCCGATTGGGTTTAAACCGGGTGATTTGGGTAAAAACCCGGTTTTTACCCATTATCACCCATTCTGGCGGGTGAAAACAAAAATAGCGTTTTTTTAAAGTGAGAAATGGTATTTGTTGCTAAGGGGGCGTTCTAGTGTTACGTAATGCAATCTGGGGGGAGAGGAGGTCTTGAAAAACGTTACAATGCGTTACAGTGGCGGAAGGGCGGTCGATTTCAAGTTTTTAAGCAGAAGTACTTTGTAGTTGGTGTTGTTATTTGTAACTTTATACCGTAATGTCATCAAAGAGAGTGTTTGGCATCTTTGGCATCCCCCCCTCCATGTCCTTGCCATGATCACAAATTATTGTGTTTCTACTAAATTTCTTTTAAATCGGTTCAACGATTCTTGAAATAACACCATTTTATAAAATAATTGGTCACATCATCATAACGTGATCAATTTTACGATTTGGCCACGTATAAATGCATATTAGTGTTAAATTTCACTTATTACATATTAATCAATAAACTTAAATGAGAAAAATTCAATAAAAATAAAGAAAAGATACCAATTGAAATAATTATAAAATTATTTGTTTTCACCCGGTGTAAACACCCACGGGTGGAATGAAACGGGTTTTTATTGGGTTTTTACCCTCATGTGGGTTTTTACCCGGGTGGAAACCCATCTCTAGTTGCAATGGTGTAAAGAGAAGATGAATTATCTAGCGTTCTTAGATCAATTACTTAACGTCCATGTCAGTTATCATTAAGTTTCATTCCAAACTCAATTCAGTTCACTTCTAGCTTTCAAACATGCGACCATTGGTGTATCTAGGGTTATTTTCCAGGGGTTTTGGAACCTCACATGAATTAGCGTGGGGGATGGAGGATTGGTGGTGCGATTAGTATGTAAAAGATGATAAAGTATGTAAAATTGTTATTGCTAAGAATTTCTGGGGTGGGTCCGCTATATACGCGCCTACATGCCACCAAGACCACTTTTTGGTTCTTACTGATCCAGTATCTTGGCATATCAGCACACCATTTTGCCTTAAGTTCTGCAACTTAATGATTGTCTTCTACGTTCTTCAAAATTGACTTAAGAGCACATTCTTGACATCTGATGAGGGGTCCCATTGCAATGGGCATTAGTAACTAGCGGCCGCCCGCGACTTCGTACGCGTGGATCCCGTTTTACCCCCTTAGGGGTGGAGTTTCGTAAAATCCTTTCTTAACGGATGCCTACGTCATAACATCTACCTGCATGCCAAATTTCAGCCCGACCCGTCCAGTGGTTTGGGCTGTACGTTGATAGATCACTGTCAGTCAGTCAGTCAGTCACCTTTGAATTATATTATTTAGATAGATGATTCTTCTTCTTTCGACTGGGTTATCTTTTTAACAGTGTTGTTGTCCACAGCCGGAGCAGAAAATGGCGACACAACATCTACGCCTGCCAGCGCACCCACACACGAGTACTACATACACGGCAAACGGATCAGCGACAATATGGTAAGTCATACATCAGACTATTTGGGAATAGTCTCGTGCTGCCGTTCCCACCGCTGCAACTCCTGTGTAGCCAGAATCTACAGCTTGACCGCCAGTAACCCAAACAGTGAAGGTATTTTGTCCAGCAGTGGACGTTCTTTGGCTGAAATGATGATGACTGAGGGCTTAGTGTGAGTTTACATTAAACGTCGTCACTAGTCAGCGCATTTTAAAAATCTATGAAGATTTTAGTTCTTGAAAGTATCCGCTAGGGGCGCTGTACAATACGTCATACAATTAATGTATTTTTTTGATGACGACGTTTGATCTAAACTCACACTAACCCTCAGTCGTCATCATTTCAGCCAACAAACGTCCACTGCTGGACAAAATACCTTCACTGGTTGGGTTTTTATTGGCGGTCAAGCTGTAGACCCTGGCTTTGGCCTTTGTTCAGTTCAAATTCCTGTGTTCTACCCAGCTGTAGAACACAAGAGTTTGAACTGAACAAAGGCCTCACCAAGGATTTCCACAAGGGCCTGCGCTGTTCCTCATTCAAGGAATATACTTACCGAGACCTTCACCTGATCGTCGGTCCACCGAGTGGAGGACTTAAATATCAGCTTTAGGTACCTACTGATATTTGACTCCACAGCCATTGTGTACTTACTTACTAAGGGAGCTATGCGAACATCAGTAGCCTTATTCACGTAACAAAACTTCAACGACAACAAAACACTGAGTTGCGATCCTATCGAGTAATCGTTCTATCGAAATGACCCTTGTGAATACGAATTTAGAACTGTTTTTCAATGGGACGACTTCTGAACGTCATCAGCGAGATCTTGACTGTCAAAATACGTGAATTCCACAGGCCTCCGCAACCTGTCTGGCCAGCTTGGGGAGTTTAGGACGAATCCTCCATTTGCTTTGGTGAATCAAAGAAATGGTTTATTGGAGACTAAGGCCCAGAACAGACGGTGAAACGCAACTGCAACGAAACTGCAACTTTCTGATGATTCTGATGAATGAAACTGAAACTGAAAGTTTCAAACTGGTCGCGTCATGTGTGGTCTCTCAACGGACGCTATGGCAGAAACTTAGATGCAACTCAAAAGTAACTAGCAGTTGCAGTTGCGTTTCACCGTCTGTTCTGGGCCTAAATCAAAAAAAAAATTATAAATAGATACAGCTATATGTTAAGTCTTTACCAAATACTATACCCCTGTTAAGTGTTGGTTTTAAACAATGTTCTTATTCATTTCCAAGGTTGAAAGATGAGCAAATTGTTTCTGTGAGTATGACACATTTACATTATGTGCCCCATAAAGTAGTTCTAAAGGCTAGATGCTATGATACAGGTATGTTTACAGGATGTATCATGCAGGTATATCTAGTTGTTAAAGTACAGTCTCTAGCACATTAAACCACACATTTCCGTTACAAAAAAACACTTAAGACAATTAAATAAGATGCCTCCGAGTTACCTTGATGTCCCATCGTCTGTACAGTCAGCGTCAAATAGTTCGTGCCATCCAAAGTGGCCATAAAAAACCGACTCCAAAAAACCTACACTAAAAAGTAGAAAAATAATTACTAATTACTTATTTATTAGGACGAATTAATATTTATGTAGGTTTACCATGATTGATACTTCTGGTGTTGGTGCCAAGACTATGAAACATGTGAAGTTTGCCTTCTTATTATATAAAACTTACTAGCTTTTGCCCGCGGCTTCACCCGCGTGAAATTTAGTGTCACAAGTCGGCATAAATTATAGCCTATATGTTAATCTGGGTTACAAACAATAATACTGTAAAGTTTCAACAAAATCCGTTCAGTAGTTTTTACGTGAAAGAGTAACAAACATCCAGACATCCAGACATCTAGACATCCAGACATCCAAACTTTCGCATTTATAATATTAGTAGGATAGTAGGATACCTATAAAACTTATGAAAAAGTTTGAAAAACGATATACGTGCCTATAAAATTTGAGGGTTGCCCTCGATTTTCTTAGGATCCCATCATCAGATCCTGACTTGGTGACAATGTGAAGTCACACCTCAGAAGTGTACCCTATCGAACAAAAGAAAATTTTGAAAATCGGTCCACATTTGACGGAGTAATCGGTGAACATACATAGAAAAAAAAACATACAGTCGAACATAATAACCTCCTCCTTTTTTTAAGTCGGTTAAAAATGACAACACCACCTTATTCCAATTGAATCAAAGACGTATTGCGAACTTTTTGACTTCTTTGGGTGTCACGAACTATTTGACGCTGACTGTACTGTTTAAGGATAACAACAATGAACTCATTTTCCAAGTTTGACTCGAATGAAGCTAACGTCATCAGTTGATATCATCTACTTCTATTTTTGGACAACATCCACCAACTCAGTGACTATAATTTTGTGCCATATTTGTACTCGCAACTGGGAATTAATATCTTCCAATTAATTTGGGACTTAGGAATAGGAACGTCAAAATTAATAGCTAATATAAAAAATTGGGACTTAATGAAAAAAGTGCCTTGAAAGACTAACGAAACTCAAAATTCGATTCAATTAGGGTTGAATTTCAATGTAATACGAAGCATGATTAGTTCCTATTATATTTTTAACAGCTACACACACACCTAGCACCATACATAATTATATCAATCAATTCCTACTATAAAATATTCACCTCTACGTACTTGTTCCCAGGTATAATGCTAAAATACTAGAGCTCATGTCACATTTACCACCCTCGGGATGTTACAGTTGTAACAGAGGAGAGTTGTGACATTGTCGAATTTTGGAAACCTATTAACTATCAGCTAGCTCGCAACAGCGCGTATTTAGGGGATTAAAAACGCGCACTGTTACGAGCTCGCTAGTCTACTCTATCTATACAGTGTGTCCGGGCTTGTAGTGATCAAACTTTAAGGGCGTAATCTGTGGACAATTTTATCGAAGAAAATACTTTAAATTTGGGGCTTGACCCATTTCTCACAAAATTACGAGGATTTAAGTTTTTAATTTTTAGTTTTCACCTCTTCCTTCAAAAACAAGTGAAAGCGTGGGTAGCTTAACACTAATAAGCAAAAATTTTATATTATGCGATAGCCAATAAATTTATCTATTAGCAGAAGTAAAAAACAGATACAAGTTTCATACATTTTAAGGGAGTAAGAATAGATTTAATTAGAAAAAAACATGACTTTTTTCACTTCTTTTTCAGTTATTTTCCAACACAAGAAAAACCAGATCGTTAAGGTATGAATTATTTGCATTGTATTATTNGAACAAAGTTCGCCGGGTCAGCTAGTAATATTATAAATGCGAAATGAACTCTGTCTGTCTGTCTGTCTGTCTCGCTTTCACGCTTAAACCACTGAACCGATTTTGATGAAATTTGGCATAGATATAATTTGAGTCCCGAGAAAGGACATAGGATGGTTTTTATCCCGGTTTTTGAAACAGAGCGCGCGCGATAACATTTTTCTGTGACAGACAAAATTCCACGCGAGCGAAGCCGCGGGTGAAAAGCTAGTAGTTAATAAGTTCCAAAAAATCGCCAATGTCACAACTCACTTTTGTCTCCCGTTCTCCCTAACATTCATCCCATGACTCTAGTATAAGACTTATAATGCTAAAATGCTAACTCATCTACTGCCACCATCGGAACCTAAACCCTCAACCTTACTCATTGCTACCCCTGTACCTTCCAGGTGGTCCTCGAATGCACAATAAAGAAGGACTTCCAATACAACAAGGTGATGCCAACCTTCCACCACTGGGTGACCGACGAGAAACGCTTTGGGCTTACCTTTCAAACGGCTGCGGACGCGCGGGCTTTCGACAAGGGCGTCAGGACTGCTATTGAGGAGCTGCTAGACGGTAAGGCTTAGGGAATAGAGTCCATTATTGAACGAACAACTTACCCATATCCACTTGAACTTCTTGTGACTTACTAACCCCCTTCAGTGGAATTGGAAACCAGTTGTCAACGAAATAGAGTTCCTTATTGCTTGATGATAGCCTATAGCCTTCGACAAGGGCGTCAGAACTGCTATTGAGGAGCTGCTAGACGGTAAGGCTTAGGGAATAGAGTCCATTATTGAAGGGACAGCTTACTCATATCCACTTCAACTTCTTGTGACTTACCTATTGCTTGAAGATATCCTATAGCCTTCGACAAGGGCGTTAGGACTACTATTGAGGAGCTGCTAGACGGTAAGGCTTAGGGAATAGAGTCCATTATTGAACAGCAACTTCTAATGACGTAGTTACTACAGGCAATGTCTTAAGCCCTGGAGATAAAGTTCATAATGGAACCAGCAAGGTGATGCTTACCTTCCAAACGGCTCAGACGCGAGGGCCTTCGACAAAGGCGTCAGGACTATTGAGGAGCTGCTAGACGGTAAGTCTTAGGGAATAGAGTCCATTATTGAAGGGACAGCTTAGCTATCCCCACTACAACTTCTTGTGACTTACCTACTTACTTCAATCGAATGAGGGTTTTCGCGTATGAAAGATCCGCTAGATGGCGGGACGTGGATGTGGGGTCTGCTGACTGCTGCGTGATTGGTGAATTTTGACATATCTGTCAATGTCATGTCAAAAATAACCAATCATGCAGCATTTGGACCTTGCGTCTACGTATTAATTGCCATCTGGCGGATTTTTCATACGCGAACACCCTCATTGCCAACTAGTTGTTTGAACTCTTGCAACGAAATAGAGTTCCTTATTGCTTGAAGATAGCTTAGTCTTCGACAAGGGCGTCAGGACTGTTATTGAGGAGCTGCTAGACGGTAAGGCTTAGGAAATAGAGTCCATTATTGAACTTTTAACGAAGTATCTGCTATAGTCGAAATTCTGGACTGTCTTAGGTTTTAGAGATGGAGCCCTTTATTGAACTTCTGCATCTTGTGACGTGTTCACTACCGTGGAATGCTGGATGGTAAGTCTTAAGCGCTGGAGATAGAGCCCATTATGGAACTAACTAGGTAAAGCTGGTCAAGCTGAAGATCCCGACTGTAAACGTGTTGCAAAGTTGCAATGGTGAGAAAGAGAAGTGGAATTAGTATAATTAAAAGTTCATGCTGAATTTAGGTCAACTAACCAACTCACATCTTAGTAACAAAATAATATCATCTGTTTTCTAGATATTATGCTCAGTATTTAAAAATACAAAGTACCTACAACCCGTTAGAGTTATAGTTCCAAAATACTGGACTGTCCTGTCGATGACATTGACAGTGGGGCGCCACCGTCAATACCGGATCGCTGGTTCAGATTTTTGCCATGTTGGAAACCATATAGTTGAACGATGGTAGCGCCCCCCTGTCATTGAGTTTGGCGGGACAGTTCAGCGTGGGTCATCTATAACTGCGTACATGGCAGCCGTGACGTCACATCGACGCATCAGTGCGCAGTTAGCTCTCATCGGGCTGTAGTCAATAAAATAATAATAAATGCTTGATTATTATAATAAGTAGATAATTGTATTTGCCGCTAACTGTGAACTAATTTATCTAATGTGCTTTCTTTTTGCCTCCCCTACCGTATACTGGATTCCTTCACGGTGAGTACAACACTGCAAGTCACAAAAACAAAAAATTGTATTACAATTCTTTAATTTATTCAAATTCAAATTTCAAATTCAAATTCAAATTTGACATTGGCACATTGACATTGACACATTGGCAGTTTCAGTATGGGAAATATGTCAAAATGACATGTTTACTCTGAGATTAATATTTACTCTTGTTTGGTCGAATCCACCCTATGTTTTGTTCAGTTATTTTCTTTGGTACAGAAATAAAGACTTTTCTTTATATATTCTTTTCTAATTTTTAAACTTTATTATACAAATTGCGTTACCCAACCAATGTTCTTTTCTTTTCTTGAGTCTGACCTTAAAATCTTATCATAACACTACAATTTCGCAAATGTAATGAAAATTTTTAACTTTTTATCCGTTTCAAACGATTCACGATCACGATTACATGATGACCCTTTCAAGTTAAATCCATATCAATAAGTGTAACGTTTTGTTTTCACAAATATGAAGATTTTTTCAAAACGTCTATACTGTTTCAAATACCTTAGTACAAACCCCCACCCACTATAAAAATTTGGCAATGCAGTCATAACTTTTTAATGTAAGTTTAAAAATTAGTAATTTAGTAATCATAGAGATATAGAGAGATGCGGTGAGTTCAAAACTCAGTGTCGCATTAGAAATTCACACACACAAAGTAACCAAAATATGTGTTCATTATCCACTGCGGCATCAGTACTCAACGTTCGAATAATATTTTGTACTACGCAAGCAATGTAAGCTGTTTACATTATGACGTCGCTGCTGTCATCATTGCTGTCGCGAGCAATGTGTTCTGTTTTTGGGCATATTGCTGCGACACCGGCGCCGCCCCCTTGTCACACCTCCCTTTAGTTTCTATGATCTGTGGTAGTAATGTTCGAGTAACAGCATACATTGTAATTTTTCTAAGACAGACCACAGTACTTTGTGATCAACTTCCCTCAACAATGTCGCGCAACATTTGTTCCAGGTCTGGGTGGCGCGTGGCCGTCACTTCACGCGTACAAAAAACTCAACCCAGCCCCCAAAGAGGATGACGAGGAGCAGAACATATTTGAGGTAAGCTGCAAATGGTGTGGTCATTATATGGAAAACTTTATCATCATCATTATTTCAGCCTACGATAACTGGGACGACTCACGTGGAGAACACACATTTTTACCAAACTTAAACAGCTGGGACTGCAAGTACGAAAACTCTACTGGTTAATAGGCTGCCGATCGCAATTGTCAATGCATAATAAACTTCTCCTGTATAAGACAATACTAAAACCAATCTGGACCTATGGTATCCAACTATGGGGCACAGCCTCACATTCCAACATCGAAATCGTACAGAGATTTCAGAACAAAATGCTGAGAATGATAAAAATGCTCCCTGGTATGTCACAAATGAACAGCTGCATCATAACCTACAAATCAACACAGTCAGTCAGGAAGTTGTACATCATACAAAATCGTACAAAAAACGGATCGCAAACCACCCTAACCCCTTGGCGAAACCTCTGATGGACGAAACCCAGACACATCGTAGACATAAACGAAAAACTCCACAGGACACACTTAAAACCCAATAAAGTGAAGTAGGATGTGACACAGGCCACATACCGAGCAAGACATGACATATCCCAACAAACTCAATGTTCCAGCAAGGCAACAGATTGTAGTGAAAAAGAGAATAAAAAAAAAATTTTCAGCCATTGGACGTCCACTGCTGAACATAGGCCTACCCTAATGATTTCTACTAGGGCCGGTTGGTAGCGTAAAAATCACTACCAAAGACATAGAAAATGCCATTAGACTGGCTGTTTTGAACTAAGCTTCGACGTTTCGTTTCGCATAAATATGTTCGTGAACAAAAATGGCATTGTAGACCGGTATCCGAACCACTACCCCAAACAGCCGTTAAACTCTTTTATCATAAACGTATTTAGCCGATGATCTGCAGATAAGAGAAGATATGTGACTGCTAATCATTAAAAAAAATCAATTACATATTCATATTCCATAGACAATTTTTTTTTTAATTTTTCCTTTCCTCCTGCTCCAACGAACTTTCAAAAATTATTAGTTTATCCATTCTTGAATTTTAGTTTTACATATAAAATTGTTCTATTCCTCAACTTCATTCATTATGACCCATTAATGTATATTAATATGGGTAATATTTACATAGTTAATGCGATAATACGTGGGTAATGCACGTAACGCGATAGTTCCGGTTCATAATAATATTTCAATGGATTGCTAAAAATTGGACAATAATCTTATTATGTTAAGGTCGAGTAAGCAAGGCTTCTTCAAAGTTAGTTGCGAATAAGTCACTGGTGTAGTAACAGTTTTGGACTGAAGAATTTGTAGTAATAAAAGTGTTGGAAGATAGAATTTATTTATGAAAGGTTTTAATAATAAAAAATAGTTGAGATGGAGACAGAAATGCAGGCAAGTGAAACTAGGGCGGTGTTTTAAACAATGTTTTCTGTAATGTATCGTAATGAGGGCTATCGTTTTTATACTTAACAGTTGGCACCCCTGGCGATTGACAGGCCCTTACTCTACAGTGGCGCCATCTTGATGAGTGCAAATGCGATAGTCCTCCTACCACTTTAGCGCTCACCAGTTGGTGCCACTGTCTTCGCTACTAGCAAGTGACAGGACCTTACTCTACAGTGGCGCAGACTGGTGAGCGCTAAAACGACATAGCCCTCATTAAGTCGACAAGGAAAATGAAAACAAATAAAATACGTAAAACTTATTCACAACAATTATTTTTTTAAAGTGCAACTGAATCAATCCGACATTTTTATTTTTCATCGTTGTAGGAAAAATCTTACAGAACAACAATATTGGAAGAAAAGGTATTTAAAAGTCCTATTGATATCTCAAAAGGATCTCTCGAATAACAACATTTTGTATGGGACCAAAGTCTTAATCTCAAAAATAAATCCATTTCCCCATACAAATTGTAAAACTGTTTTTTGAGTGTTGAATTTTGAACCAAACATTGATGTATTTTTGTTGGTAAATTAGAGGTCTCGTAAAAGCCGTGCTTTATTGCTGTCGTGACTGTGCGACGGGCGCCCGCAGTGAGTGTGCGAGCGCGACAGCAACATAATTACGCGCGAGCGATAAGGATGGGTAGCTTGGGGTCATTGGACAAAATTCTACGTGCTCACGGACCAGGCTTTAGTTGACACTAAATAACCTGTGGGCTAATTGTGAGTTAAAAAAATGTATGAAAAATTTAGTTCTTGAACGTTTCCGCTAGGGGCTGTACAATCCGTCATACATTTAATTTAATTTTTTGACGCGTTCACCAGTGAGCGCGTTTGATGTGAACTCACACGAGGCCCTCTGATGATGATGATGAATTGATGAAAGAAAGAAAGAAATATACATTTATTACAATGGACATCACACAAATACAGGCAATTACATAGACATGACAGTGGCACATAATAATGGAACAAGAAAAAAAACAAGAGTAAACTGAGCAGTGCCACCCATTCACCAACAAGATGCCCACTGCAACGGGACCCCACTCAGCATATGCCGTGGCCCACGGTGACGAAGGCCACGGCGCTGGTTTTCAGTGTGCCCCATGCCGAGAGAGGGTCATGGACCATTGGTAAAATAAATAAAATAGTAAGCTGCATAATATTTTCTAAACATACATAAATAGATGATGAATGATGATGTTACGGTTAATGTGATAAATTGAAAATTATTAATAATAACCGGTTATTATGAATAATTACCGACAGTCGCGGTAAAAGTGATAAATTAATCACATTTTGATTATTTAATAATTCAAGCTTAGTACTAACAAATTTAATAAAAGAGAACAACATCTTGTGTAGGTACGTGCTCGTGTACAGCCAAATTTTTGAACGTTTTGCTATCATAATATTAATATAATTTGGCATAATGAGTTTGGAGTGTTTCTTGCATAATATTACTTTTCCATGGTGCCTATAACATAATGTTTTGATTTAAAGTGAAAAATAGGTTAAGGTGCGGCGGGGGTGGCCCTTGGGCCACCCCTAAGCCGCCTATTTAGTTTTATACACACATAAATGACCTCATATTATTAATCACATTTACCAAATCATGCGGTAATTATTCATAATAACCGGCGATTATTCATAATTTTCACATTTATCACTTTGACAGTAACAATGACATAATCTATCTTATTCTTTTCTAGTGTCTGAATCTCCCTTCGGACTCTCGCTCCAGCTCCGAGAATTCCACCGCCAGCCGCCGCCGGCCGGACCAGCTCACCCAGACGCCGATTCTGTCCGCCATTACGCTGCCCACGCACCCGCGCCCAGGTGAGTCCCACGCCCACTGCTGGGCTAGGACCAGATAAAGCCCAGTTTGCCATACGAAGATCTAACTAAATGTTTAGGAAAGCCCGGTCCGTGAGCACGTAGAATTTTGTCCAATGACCATTAGCTACCCAACCTTATCGCTCGCGCGTAATTATATTGCTGTCGCGACTGTGCGACGGGCACCCGCAGTGAGTGTGCGAGCGCGACAGCAACATAATAACGCGCGAGCGATAAGGATGGGTAGCTTGGGGTCATTGGACAAAATTCTACGTGCTCACAGACCGGGCTTTAGTCACAATAACAGCTCATCCAGACGCAGATACTGTCCGCCATTACGTTTCACACGCACCCGCGTCCAGGTGAGTCCCACACCCACTGCTGGGCTTACATCTCTAGCAGTCGCTAGTACCAGCTCACCCAGACACCGATACTGTCCGCCATTACGCTGCCCACGCACCCGCGCCCAGGTGAGTCCCACGCCCACTGCTGGGCTTAGATCTTTGACCGCCACAGGTATAACAAACAGGAATTTGTCTCCTGTCCACCATCGCGCTGCTCACTCACCCGCGCCTAGATGAGTCCCACGCCCACTGCTGGGCATAGATGTACAGCCACCACAGCTTTAATATACTCGCCAAATACTCAGTCTGCCATCATGTTTCTCACGTGAGCCCCACGCCCACAGCTGGGCTTACATCTCCAGCAGTCGCTAGTACCAGCTCACCCAGACGCCGATACTGTCCGCCATTACGCTGCCCACGCACCCGCGCCCAGGTGAGTCCCACGCCCATAGCTGGGCATAGATATACAGCTCAACTAAAGCCTGGTCCGTGAGCACGTAGAATTTTGTCCAATGACCCAAGCTACCCATCCTTATCGCTCGCGCGTAATTATGTTGCTGTCGCGCTCGCACACTCACTGCGGGCGCCCGTCGCTGCAATATAATTACGCGCGAGCGATAAGGCCTCAGCCTCGACTTAGCGGAGGCCTCAGCCTCGAACTTAGCGGGCAGCGGGGCGGCGGCGGCGGCGGCGCGGGAGCGGGGCGGGCAACGCAGACCCGTTCTCGAAACCAGCGGGCAGCTCGCGCGGCGCTTTAGCGGCGAAGTGTTGTGTTCGGGGTTTGTATTGTCGAGATATTTGTTTTTATTCGCAAACGAAATGTCTGAACAACGGCGACAATTTTATTTCGATTCAAATTTATTCCTAACGCTCGATTTATTGTGGGCAAAAAAAGGAGTGCGCTGCCCGCTCGTTACCCGCTCCCTCGCCGCTGCCCGCTCGTTGCCCGCTCCGGCGCCGCTGCCGCGCCGCTGTTTTCGAGAACCGGTCTATTTGATTTCACGCATAAGATCCTGCCGCTGCCGCGCCGCCGCCGCTCCCGCCCCGCTGCCCGCTAAGTTCGAGGCTGAGGCCTAAGGATGGGTAGCTTGGGGTCATTGGACAAAATTCTACGTGCTCACGGACCAGGCTTTAGATAGACGCAAAAAAAAGACGGATGCCTTTCATCTCTGCTATTACGGTGCCCACGCACCCGCGCCCAGGTGAGTTCCACGCCCACTGCTGGGCTTAAATCTTCAGAAGCTCCTTATGCTAACTCACCCAGTTTCCTATCATCTTTGCTATTACGGTGACCACGCACCCGCGCCCAGGTGAGTCCCACGCCCACAGCTGGGCTTTGAACTTTAGCTTTCGCAGCAACAATATACTCGCGAAATGCTCAGTTTGTCATGTAGAAGATGAACATGCTCAAGCTGTAAGGGCCCTTTCCCACTTTTTAGGGCAATCCCGTTTTGCGGGATTCAGTAATGCAGGATCCCGAAAAAATTGGACTGTCGCGGTCGTGTCGTCGTCGTTTCAGCCGAAAGACGTCCACTGCTGGACAAAGGCCTCCCCCAAGGATTTCTACAAAGACCGGTCCTGCACCGCTCGCATCCAGGCACCTCCCGCGACCTTTACCAGATCGTCGGTCCACCTAGTGGGAGGCCTGCCCACGCTACGTCTTCCGGCTCGTGGTCGCCACTCAAGAACTTTCCTCCCCCAGCGGCCGTCAGCTCTACGAGCTATGTGCCCCGCCCACTGCCACTTGATTTTAGCGAATTTGCGGGCTATGTCAGTCACTCTGGTTCTCCTGCGGATCTCCTCATTTCTGATTCGATCACGCAGGGAAACTCCGAGCATAGCCCGCTCCATCGCCCTTTGGGTGACCTTGAGCCTTCTTATGAGGCCCATAGTAAGCGACCACGTCTCAGATCCGTATACATCATTGGCAACACACACTGGTTCAAGACTTTTGACTTGAGACACTGCGGTATTTCGGACGTTCATTCTAACATTCATAGTCCTATAAATAAGTATTTTTCCTTACCTACTCATACCACCTTACATAATTTATCTAACTAAATCAATTTGGTTGCAGACTCTCTGAAGCAGTACGAAGTGCAATTCGACGACAAAGTGGGCGACGACTCCGATCCTGATCGCTGCCCCTACGTGCATCTTTCGGCGGTAAGTACCATCATCATCATTATTTCAGCATATGGTCGAGATTTGGCGAAATTCTGCCGATTTTTCGCTTTTAGTCGGCCGTAGTTTGAGCGCGATTTTAAGGCCCAGAACACACGGTGAAACGCAACTGCAACGAATCTGCAACTTCTAGTTACTTTTGAGTTGCATCTAAGTTTCTCCCATAGCATCCGTTGAGAGACCACACATGACGCGACCAGTTTGAAGCCGGTTTGAACTGGTCAAACTGGTCGCGTCAAGTGTGGTATCTCAACGGAATCTATGGCAGAAACTTAGATGCAACTCAAAAGTAACTAGAAGTTGCAGTTTCGTTGCAGTTGCGTTTTACCGTGTTTTCTGGGCCTAATTTGTATGAAAATCAAATCGGTGTAATGTGCGCACTTCCATACATACCCATATTGATTAACTGCCCGACTAAACTATCGGCCGACAAAAAGTTGGTGGTCTGCGCCTAGACTAAGAACAAAATATCCCGAAAATCAACTCTATTTTGATAGTAAATGACAAAATCCTGAAAATATTTTATCTCCCATGATTCCGATGCTATACTGTCCGCCATCACGCTGTCCACGTAATCGTTCCCAAGTGAGTCCCACTGCTGGGCTTAGAACTTTCTCTTTTTCTCTCTATTTCTGCCACAGGACGTCCACTGCTGAACATAGGCCTCCCCCAATGCAACTTTTCCTCTATATTTCATTAATTACCTAAGTTTGCTTTATCGAAATCTTTTGCGCGAAACTGCAAACGGGATGTTCGTTGAAAGTTAATATTAAAACACGTATCTACTAAACGAGATCCTGCAAAAAACGGGATGTTTTCGTCGGAAAGAGCCCTAAAACGAAACACTCAGTAAGGCAATGCCTAGAAAACCCCTTAACATTGCGGAAGAGAAGTTAATAAATAATAATAATAATAAATAAATAATATTTCAATATAAGATGCCGAAAGATATTATAGCCTGACCAGGAACATAAAAACCCTGGCATAGAGGCGCTTCAATTGCATTTGATAGTGCAACACTGAGTACAGTCGTACATGTGTTAAATTAATAGGCTAAATTTATGTATCAGGATTCAGGATTACGGGCTAATTTGATATTTTCATAAATGAACGAAAAATGTTGTTAAAGGTAACCTGGCTTAAATAAATTAAATGAAACCATCAATCGAGCTAGTAGGATTTATTTTATTATTCATCAATAATCAAATTCAGAACTTGAATATTCAACTGCAATATTATGTCTGCTCATGAACGCTTCAAACTCGGTACTTCTTTCCCAATTCCATAAAATTCAAAACTTAGAAAGTGACAAAAAACTTTAAAATAGGTAGTTGAAACAGACTACAGCAAATTTTCATAGTGGACTGTACTATATTAATATGGATAAATACACTTATGAGTAATAAATTTATGAAAACAAATATTAGGATACATCACATTTATGAATATTATAGTTATTTATTCGAATGATTATGAGTTTCGATCATTAGTATAGAAAAATATATGAAAACAAATATTAGTAAAAACTAAGTGTATGATTAGTGATATTATGAATATCAATGATTATGTTTTTAAATATGTAGGTTTTAAATTTTTTATGAAGAATGATCATTATGGTATCAAATTGTATGAGAAATATTTTCGGATTTCCAATGATAGGAATTGAAAAGTTATGTAAGAAAATGCGCTACCGAGCTTTACATGTGTGGTGGCTCGCTACTGTTCGTTTTCCGAAAGTTTTGACAGTTCTGATTTCGTTATGTGCATGTACGTACACGTACACACACAAGTAAAGCTCACTCGCCTTCGTGAGTTGCAAAAACTATACGATTTGTATACTAATTTATGCTTATCCAAAAATGTGCAAATAAATATTTTAATTTGATAATCTGTATACATTTTATATCGAGTGAACGATTCTTTATGCGACTTAAAATGAGAATAATTATTCAAAATTTTCCGTCAATTCAATACAGATTTTGTCTACAATGTTATTTCTTTGTCATTAGTTTCTATTTATTAAAGTAAAAAGTATAATAGTGTGCTTCGAAAAGAAATATTTTTCCTATGACGTATCAAATACCTAGGCTCTCCGATTACAGGGCATTGATGCAAAATTCGATAATTAGCTACGAAATTTAGTACGTTCTATTTGAGCTATAGGTCTAATGGGGCTACCCAGGCTTCATTCATCATCATCGTCATCAGACCTCTTAGTCTCCACTAGGAAGACGACCCGGAGGCAAATAAGGGGTTTGCCTCCCGCAACCTTAACCAGATCGTCGGTCCACCTAGTGCAGTCTTTCCCAAAGTGGGCGATAACGCCCCCTTGTGGGCGCTGCAGACTTAAAGGGGGGCGGTAAGAGACCCAGAAAAAAAACGGGACGTTGTGTTGTGAGAGGCGTCATTTACTAGGAGGTCTCTTAGACACCGACTGAGCACTCGACTCTCGACTACAAATGGGGGCGCTAAAAATAATTTATTCTCAAAGTGGGCAAAATAAGTTTGGGAACCGCTGACCTAGTGGAAGGGCCTGTCCACTACGTCTTCCGGCTCGTGGTCGCCGCTCGAGAACTTTTCTGCCCCAACGGCTTTCAGCTCTGCGAGCTATGTGCCCCACCCACTGCCACTAGATTTTAGCGATTCTGCGGGCTATGTTAGTCACTTTGGTTCTCCTGCAGATCTTATCAATGTTTTTTATAAAAAACATCCTTGGAAATTGGAAGTTAAACAAAGCTTGTACGGATCACAAATACATATAATATGGATGCGTACAGCGCAGGTCCAATCGTTGTAGATATCATTGGGGAGACCTACTTTCAGCAGTGGACGTCTTTTATTTCACAAGCAAACTTACGAACTAGTAACCTTTGACCCGTAAGGCAGTAGGAATATATTCCCCCATATCTTTAACCTTATTATCATGTGGTAATATAATTCCCACCACATCATAAACCCTATTCTCATGTTTTAAGCTCCAAAAAAAAATTTTTTTAAGCTCAAAAAAAAATTTTTTTTACATATGCCCCGGATTAAAACATCGTGTCCTTTGGCCACAGATCCACGACTACACATACCCAGCCGTGAGCGCCGCTGGCGTGATCAGCTCGGAGAAGTCTTCGCCCAACACCAAGCCGCCTCTGCTCAAGCGAGACTCTGGTAAGTTAGCAAAATTACTTGGTTATCTATATATATATATATGTCTATCTATATAAATAAAAATGAATTGATGTTCGTTAGTCTGATTAAAATTCGAGAACGGCTGGGCCGATTGAGCTGATTTTGGTTTTAAAATGTTTGTCGTAGTCCAGGGTAGGTCTAAACGGTGAGCAAATACGCGCGCGATATTGTTTTTCTATGACAGACAAAATTCCACGCGGGCGAAGCCGCGGGCGGAAAGCTAGTTTTGCAATAAAATTGTGTTTCTCTACATAATATTTTGTAATATTAAGAAGAGAGCAAAATGAAAAACCATATTTTTCTACGTTTGTTTGAAAGTGACGTCTTTATTCCTTTTTCTTATTTTGCTTTTATATTCTGTCCTTGACAAATTGTGTATGTTGTCTACTGCATTGGTTCCCAAAGTGGGGGGCGGTTTAAAGGGGGGCGTGGCCCATCTGTATGCTTAACTATAAAACACCTGCGACCACTGAGAGAATGCATTCCAAACTGCTCGATACGACCAACAAATTTTAATAATCTTGACTGGAGGAGCGGAATGTTTTGTATGGTCGAAAGGGGGCGCGTCTCAAATAAGTTAGGGAACCCCTGGTTATCGGTTCTGTACAAACGGTAGCATGTCAGACTTGATGTTGAAAAAACAATCATTACAACTACATAAGAAGACACAGTGACTAGATGTGCTGTTTGTATTTTTTAGAGTTTTATTGTAATGCGTTTGACTGCGAATCAACTCAACTGATTGCTTGAAGCGAGAAACAACATATTCCTGCGCCATTTTGTGTAAATTATCTTACATTTATTATCATCTTCATTATCGTTTCATTTGGTGGAATCGAATTAAATGTAAATTCATTGCTTAAAAAGCCCAACATTCGCTCATCATACTTGAGGTTTAGTTTACTTAGCTCCTTTGAGGTTTGGTTTTTATAATATCAGTGAAATATCTAACCTAATACTCAATATTCAATCGTTTATTACATTGCACATAGGCTAGTTTCCTAAAAAAAATTTTTTAGTCCGTCAATTTTAGTATAAAAAAATATTGGACACGTATATTTTTAATTGTTAATCAAACAAATAATTACAAAGTTATAGTGCGTTGAAGTTCCGCGCGACGTCACAAAGTGCTGCACTTTTACGCACTCACTGACGTCACGGGCCTTTTCTTTAGAACTTTGGCACGCTTTATCTCTTTACATTTTCATTAGTTGTAAAAAGTGAAAAATACGTGTCGAGTAGTTTTCAACCGACTTCAAAAAAGGAGGAGGTTCTCAATTCGACCCGTATGTTTTTTTTTTTTTCTATGTTTGTTACGCGATAACTCCGCCAATTATGAACCGATTTAAAAAAAAATTTTTTCGGCGTATAGGTAATACTTCAAGGGTGGTCCCATTTAAATTTAATAATAGAAAAAACAACCCCCAAGGGTGGAAAATTGGGGATGAACTTTTTTATACGCAATATCTCCGCCGATTATAAATCAATTTGAACGATTCTTTTTTTGTTGAATAGGTATTATCAAAAGGGTGGTTTCATGCGAATTTGAAGAAAATATTTCACCCCCAAGGGTGGAAAATTGGGGATGAACTTTTTTATACGCAATATTTTTAATTTTTAGTTTTTTTTTTGTGTTCACGCATTTGAAGTCGGTTTTATTTTTTTAAAAGTTAATTTATTGATAAGCTAACTGACGGACTAATTAAAACTCTTGCTTTTTTAGTACCCTATTTAAGCACTTATACAATGTGGAGTCCAGGGATGTTATGGTTATGAAGTTTCGGTTATGGATACGGATATTATAATAATATTATATCGGTTTCGGTTACGGTTTAGGATAGTAAATCATTTCGGATCCGAAAGTTTCGGATAATTTCGGTTATGGATATTACAATTTTAAGAAGGTAAAATTCAAATGGCAAGATGCTGCGTGACCCACATAGGTAGTCACTTTGTGTACTATGACGGTACCTATGATAAAGGTAAAACAGGCGGGTATTTCAGAATGGTGCCGATGCCAGACAAGTAACAAAAATATTAAAAATATGTATTAAGATTTAGACTCCGCCTTTATCCGAAACTTTTGAATCGGTTACGGATATTTTTTTATTTCCGATATCCGATAGTTTCGGTTTCGGTTACGGATATCCATAACATCCCTGATGTGGACCCAGTTAGGGCACAGCAACTTTAGAAAGGAAGTAGAACGAAAATCTTAATAGGACTGATGACGATGCTGATGACGATTGTTTTGTATCTCCAGGGTCAATAAAAAAGATGCGTGGGTACACCGGACCGCCGCCGCTGCCCGGAAAGAAGCCGCCGGATACCACCTTCCAAGCCAGGATCAAATGCAGGTGGGATTTATAGGCTTGATGGACTGACGACCTTAAGATAATAGCGACTGGTTGGGAAAAAGATTGTGATTTTGTGGCAGCTACTTAACATTGGTTACAAAACCTGCCAGGCCAGAAACAAGTGCAGGTGAGATATAATAGGCTTGATGGACTGACGACCTTAAGATATTAGCAGCGGCTGGTTGGGAAGAATATTGTGCTCTTGTGGCAGCTACTTGACATTGGTTACAAAACCTTCCAGGTCAGAATCAAGTGCAGGTAAGATATAATAGGCTTGATGGACCGACGACCTTAAGATAACAGCGACTGGTTGGGAAGAATATTGTGCTCTTGTGGCAGCTACTTGACATTGGTTACAAAACCTTCTAGGACAGAATCAGGTGCAGGTAAGATATTATAGGCTTGATGGACTGACGACCTTAAGATAATAGCAGCGGCTGGTTGGGAAGAATATTGTGCTCTTGTGGCAGCTACTTGACATTGGTTACAAAACCTTCCAGGACAGAATCAAGTGCAGGTGAGATACAATAGGCTTGATGGACTGACGACCTTAAGATAATAGTAGCTGCTGGTTGGGAAGAAAATTGTGCTCTTGTGGCAGCTACTTGACATTGGTTACAAAACCTTCCAAGCCAGGATCAAATGCAGGTGAGATTTATAGGCTTGATGGACTGACGACCTTAAGATAATAGCAGCGGCTGGTTGGGAAGAATATTGTGCTCTTGTGGCAGCTACTTGACATTGGTTACAAAACCTTCCAGGTCAGAATCAAGTGCAGGTGAGATATAATAGGCTTGATGGACTGACGACCTTAAGATAATAGCAACGGCTGGTTGGGAAGAATATTGTGCTCTTGTGGCAGCTACTTGACATTGGTTACAAAACCTTCCAGGACAGAATCAAATGCAGGTGAGATATCAGGCTTGATGGACAGACGACCTTAAGATAATAGCGACTGGTTGGGAAGAAAATTGTGCTCTTGTGGCAACTACTTGACATTGGTTACAAATCGGCATGGGACACACTGAAAACCAGCGTCGTGGCTTTCCTCACCGGGGGGCCACGGCATATGCTGAGTGGGGTCCCATTGCGATGGGCATCGCTGTGCGACAGGGTGGCACTGCTCAGTTTACTTTCTCTTCCATTGTATGTTTTATGTGTTACCTCTGACTTGTTTTCTTTTTTTTACCTCTTTTGTCTTTTGTGATGTCAGATTTTAAACTTTCGCGTGCCATTTCAACTAAAATAAAAAGACCCGCGTTGAGACCCGTGTCTTACTATTTTGTGATGTCCATGGCAAAAAATCTTTCTTTCAAATGTATATGTTACGGTCAAAGTGATAAATGTGAAAATTATGAATAATCGCCGGTTATTATGAATAATTACCGCATGATTTGGTAAATGTGATTAATATGAGATCATTTATGTGTGTTTAAAACTAAATAGGCGGCTTAGGGGTGGCCCAAGGGCCACCCCCGCCGCACCTTAACCTATTTTTCACTTTAAATCAAAACATTATGTTATAGGCATCATGGAAAAGTAATATTATGCAAGAAACATTCTAAACTCATTATGCCAAATTATATTAATATGTGATATCAAAACGTTCAAAAGTTTGGCTGTACACGAGCACGTACACAAGATGTTGTTCTCTTTTATGAAATTTGTTAGTACTAAGGTTGAATTATTAAATAATCACTGTTAAATGTGATTAATTTATTACTTTTACCGCGACTGTCGGTAATTATTCATAATAACCGGTTATTATTAATAATTTTCAATTTATCACATTAACCGTAACATATACACACTTTATAATTAAGCTTCTATAGGGTAGAAGGCCCGGCTACCTCAAGAAGATAGCAATGGCTGGATGAAAAATTTACATGTTCTTTGTAACTAGTGCTACTTACAACGATATCATCCAGCTATACGCGTTGTTCCAGGCATTGCCACGAGTGGTACTTGGAGAGCGCAAACCGCGCCGGCGCATGCGAGTACGCGCCGGACTGCTGCAAGTCTTGCGTGGAATGCGTCAGCTGCATCAAGTGCGCTCAGGTAATATGATATAGGTGGTGTGGGTATCTGTTGATAATCTGTAAATGATTCCAATAGAGAGAAGAACAGAGCTTATGATGACCAGATGGGAAAACATTAATTTAATTGATGAACGAATGTTGGTTTTAATAATTACGACAAATTGTCTATTTCTGTATGTGCATAAACCTATGTCTGATTGCGCTCAACTCTATTTATTTGCTGATAAGCATTTACACTTGAAATCATAGATATATGATTTCAAGTATAAATGCTCGCGCACATCAATCTAACAAATGCCACGAGTGGCATTCGAACTCCCAACTACAACTAGATAAGTTTTATGAAATTGTATTGAGAAATATCACCATTCACCTGCATCAAGCAACTAAGTTTGTAAAAAGTGAAGGGCGTTGGCCCGAGAATACTATTGTATCTACTATTTAGGTCATGTCCATTTTTCCCCGACAGACATCCCCTGAATGGAGGAAAATGGGGATACTCTACTTATTTACACTCTCTATAGACATACGCCCGTATTCACAAACGATGCTAGCTTATGTGAAGCAGCAAATCGAACGCACAGCGTTGAATAGAGCTCTGTGATTGGTTCGTGTGTCACCCTTAGTGTCCACGCGCACTGTGAGACCTCATAGTAATGTTTGTGAATACGGGCGATAAAGTGTTTCAGTGAACCAATCAATAAAGCTAGCGATTACTAACCAATACCACAGAATAATAATAAGTACTACGTATAGAAGGTTTTCTTCGCGAAAGTATTTAAAAAAATGTATGCTCAATGTCGTTAATAATATGGTGTAATTTAACTTGTCTCAAGAGTCGAGCACCATTTTGTTGACAAAAGTCAGTGATCAGTACTGCGCCGAAGCCATAGGGCTGACTTCGGTAAAATGATGTGTGACGTTCGTGCCAAACTGCGGAAAATGGCGGAGGAAATACATGAAAAAGCTTGAACTATATTTTGTGTCTCTATTATTATTCAGGCAGTCAAAATACTGCACAGTATTAATTACATCGCCGTTTTTACATAAATGTTTATTGTGTTTACAATGCAAAAGGGCGAAGAATACACGTGCGTTAGGGTGTCCCGAAATATCTTTTTTTATATTTTCGCTACACAAGACCCCTCAAAAGTTGCGTAATAAGATGTAAATTAGCGTAAAAATAATTAAAAAAATATAAAATAATGTCTCAAGGGCTCTACCGGCATTTTGATGTCTGAAAAAATCACTTAATCAGCCCTTCACTGTTTGTCATCTATTATATTTTTTTCACAATTATTTCATTTTATTTTGTAATTACAGTGGTAGTGGAACCCTAAGATATGATTTGCAGGCAATAACAGACTGTTTCCAGTGAGGAATAGGTTTGGTTCGAACTCGCAGAATTCATATTTTGACTTGTTTTTCTCAAATTTCCTACTTCTTCGGCGAGGCTGTTGGTATTATTTCTGTTGAGGTTTTATTGCTGTAAGGTATTGCACCGCACTTTTTTGTTATAATATTACATACTTTTAGCATAAATTTAATAAACATTTACCAAATATATGGTAGTAATATACTTTTTGATTTTTTTCAGGTAAAAAGTACCTAGCCAAAAATCTTTAAAATATTATATTTAAACAGAATACTAATTAACATGTTTAATAGTTTTAGCATACTATTAAATATAAATAACATTTAAGAACGTTACATACACTTTCTAGCTGAAGTTTTTGTTCTGTACCCAGTTTTTTATCAATGGTGAACTTCAACGGAAGTAAACATATATTTTTAGTTATGAAACGCATACATGTTATATACCAAATTAAAGGCAATTTAATACACTTCTTTGGTTCGTGTAAAACTTTTAGTAGAATATAAGACATTTTGTAAAAAAATGATTTAAAAAGTAGTATCACAAAAATGTAAAAATAATCAATTTTCCTTTAATTACTAAGTAAAGGTTGATTTTATCGATACAATTCATACCACAAAATATCAAGCGCATACGTAGAGCTTTGATTTAAATAAAAAAGTAATCAAATCGGACAAATGGTTTTCAAGTTATGGTTGATTTTCTAAAATATACTGCAATTTTTGTTAGCTTCCACTCAGAGATGCCAATCATTGTTTTATAATAGCGTGATAAAATCATTAACCTGCTGTGAGAAAGGAATTGAGTACCCCCAAATTAAATCGATGTCTTGGTGGACCCATGGATTAATAAGGAACACATTAAAATCTTGCGCGTAAATGCCTAATTCTGGTCAAAAAGCCAATTCTGTTTTTAAAGCATTTATGGATTTATTGGTTTTTCAACTATTTTAAACCTTGCTGTGACTCATTGTGTACCCTCAAATTTCATAAAAATGCTATTTTTGTATTATTTATAGTTTATGTTGGGAACTCCTAAAATAGCAATTTTAAAATTGTTCAAGGACAGGTAGAGGCCTCAAGATGACATATATCTAATAAAATTTAATGTTAATCGTAATCTATATGTCAAAACGCAACTTTTGATACCTCTTGCGTAACCGTAGCTCAAAAAAAAATTTTTCCCATACAACGACGGGACACCCTAACGTGCGTGCGTCAATGCTCGCTCGTGATTGTCCTGTCGATTAGATATCCCAGGAGGTGTAGTCGCGCGTGTTTTGTTTTCGATGCAAACTCGCGGAGATGAACAGAGGTGGAATTGTGTAAAGCAATCGTTATCATTTGACAGTTCATAACGTACGATTATTCTGTCAAACGCTTTGTTTAACTGACTTTATCGTACGTTATGAACTGTCAAATGATTACGATTGCTTTACACAATAGGGATGATGACTGGGTAATGAAATCGAAATTCTATTTAGTCCGTCAGACAGAAAATTAGAAAATATTAGACTCATATTTTTTATTTATTTCCATAATCGAATAATTACAGTTGAGTTGAAATGTTGCGTGACGTCACTCTTGAGTAAAAATTCTACTCAAGCGTGACGTAACGCGCCATTTCAACTCGATTTAGCACTGTTATTATTTAATTAAGAACGAAAATAAAAAATATGAGTCTAATATTTTCTAATGATCTTTTTGACGGACAAATAATTGAAATTTCTATCTAACCTGTTGTAATAATATGATGTTTTTCTTCAGTGCATGCTATACCACTGCATGTCTGACGGCGAGGGCGATTTCATGCATCCCTGCGCCTGCGGCCCTCCCGACGACGCCTGCACCAAACGGTCAGTACCAAAACTATACAGGGTGTTAGGTAAATGGGTATATGAGCCGACACTAGCCCATGTTAACATGTTGTTACAAATCGGATTTTATAAAATTTATTTTGTATGAAAATTAAAAAAAAAATGATATCAAATTTCTGACTTCACCACACCATTTATATGCCCATGTTAACATGGGCTAGTGTCGGCTCATATACCCATTTACCTAACACCTTGTATACAGGTCCACAATGAAAAGGAGTACTGTGGGCTGAGTGTGTGTTTACATCAAACGCGCTCACTAGTGAACACGTTTAAAAATTGTATGAAAATTTTAGTTTTTGATAGTTTCCCGCTAGGGGCGCTGTACTTAAAGGTATTAAACCTTTGTTTGTCACCTGTCATCCGCTTTGCAATGGAGGGAAGTCGAACCTTAATTTCGAACTCCTCCTATGTTCTTCTGATTAATTTCGTTGCGGGTCCAATGACAGTTTAACTTTCCCCCGGGACAAACTTGACCTTCATTGGTTGGGTTTTTGTGGCGGTCAAGCTGTAGATCCTGGCTACACAGGAGTTGCAGCGGTGGGAACGAGAGGTGGGAATAGTCCCGTTTAGGGGCGCTGTACAATCTGTCATACATTTAATGTCATTTTTTGACGCACTCACTAGTGAGCGCGTTTGAAACAAACTCACACTCAGCCCTCTGTATAAAGAAACCCTTTTTTCACTTCTCCATCTCCTTTTAAACACATATCAGGGTGGAGACCATGTTGTCTGGAAGTAATCGCTTCCTAGCGATAGGACCACAAATCTTATCACATATAGATAAAACCTTATCGACACGACAAGAAGAAGAAGCGTTAAGATCTAGAATTATGCTTATGCGATCATTTATCTCTTTGTTTATGTACTTAATTTTCTGTTCGGCCTAAAGTTTTACTTAAAATTTGAATTTTTAAGTATTCGGCATAAAAACAGTCGGTTTCTTAAAAAAAAAGAAGTATTGTCACTTCAACGATATGGCATAAAGTTCGCCTTTTGTACTTCAATATTGTGTGCAATAAAGTTTTTAAAAAAGTGTCTATCCATCTATCTTTCCTATTAAAACGATTCCTTATCTTTACGATGAAGCCTAGACTGTAAACTGTTTGTACACCTATTACAAATAAATAAAAAACGGTACCGTATATTTTTCTAAAAAAAACACTAAAAACATTTCCAGCTGGATCGGCATCACCCTCCTAAGCCTGATAGTGCCGTGCCTGTGGTGTTATTTGCCTCTCCGCTGTGTGCACCGCACCGCGCGCTCCGCTTCGCTCGCCGGCGGGCTCCACGCGCCCATTAACTAGCGGAGAGCCGGCCCGCTCACTCGGGCTCCCGGCAGAGACAATGACAATGACAAACGTGACAGTGACGAGTGCGCGAATTTCGGCCAAAAGTCCGTATACAAGCTCCCTCACGGAGAAGTGTTAATCCGCAGCGATTCCGCGGACTCCAGCAGTCAATTTAACGTAGATACCATTATACACCCCGTTCGAGGTGAGTATAGCACTCCGATTATTCGTACCGGTCTTGCTGACGGTCAAAACGCTACGGGCGATGCTAGTGGTAGGAAAACGGGCGACGAAGATGAGGCCGACCAGTATTGTAGCACGAATTATGAGCAACCTTCGTGTTCTACAAGCAATAAGGATGGTACCAACAAGCATGCAACAGTTAAAGTTCGACTTGAGACACCGGTCGATTCTGATTCAGACGATGAGCTTGAAAATGAAATCCCACCGTTACACCAATATTTAGGTGCCAATAATATGATCGAAATTGATTGGCTGCGGGCTCATAAACCTGCCCTAGAAAGCGACTTCGGAAGCTGGGAAAGTGGAAACCGCACGCCGCCTGAGTATGAGCGTGTTCCTGCTTTACCCGCTAAAGGCCAAACCTACCATGAATTTGAACCCGCTCTTACAAAAGAAGAACCGGAACTTGGTGGTGTAGGAAAGGTAAGTGATGGAGGTGAAGAAAGTGACAATCTTGAGGGTCGTTTTACTAATGTATCTAAGAAGCATGATATTCGAACGTTAAAAAATAGTACAGTCAAGTCGCTCGAACAGAGAGAGAGTGAAATAGTTAAACGCCTATGCGAATTTGATTTTCTTTCAGAAACAAGCGATACTGCAGAAGGGGACAATAGTATAGCTCGCAGACGTAAACACGAAACAATAGGCGCTAAAGTCGTTATTGCATGTGATGGTCCGTTTTCAGATTCATCTACTGATATCCCGTCATCGGTATTAACTAATGTGCTTGTAGCAGCAACTGAGGAGATCGAACTTTCAGATGATAATGAAAAATCGGACAAAAGTTCTTTCTCTGAAATGCTTGATACTGCGCGCAAAATGTCATCAAGCTATATCACGTTGGTAGAAGACGACGATGATGTAGAATACATTGATGCTGAAGAAATAGGTGAAATCGTAGTCCCAGATGCTGGTAGTCGTGACGAACATCTTGAAAATATATTTTTTTTATTCTTAGATAGGCCTCAAAATATTGCAACTTCTGAATCGCAACCGGATCCACAAACATCTGATAATGTCAATGATGACAAACCGCTTTCAGAAGAAGTTAACAAAGAGATCCAAACACCAGCAAAAAACCTATCAATAGTAGTAGATGACAGTGCCGACTTGATAGTGCCTGAACCTGTCAAGTCTTTAGATGATGAAAAAAGTGGTCAAGGCAGTATTAGTACTACACCTACTGCCAAAGCTTCATCGCCTTTAGAAAAACATTTGCTTTCGCCTAAAAGTGAAACATCTAGCCAAAAAACTGTAGAGAAACAAACTAAATCTGATGATAGCCGCAAACATGGACCTATGTCTCCTAAAAAAAGCATTGCACCATCTAATGTAGCCAAGACTAAGCCTGAAATCGAAACAGACAGCAAAAAGAAACAAAGAAGCAAATCTGAGAGTTCTGCTAGCAAAAAGGGGTCGACTTCATCAGATAAATTTCCATCAGCAAAACGAGATGCTTCAAAAAATAGAGATTACCGACGAAGATCTTCGTCCACCGGAGAAAAACGCCCCAAACCAAGAAAACTAACCGTTTCGACCGAAATATCAAGTAGGGACAGAATACAAAACATAATTTCAGACCAAAAATTAAAGAAGCCTGGTCAACCCAGTCCATGTAAATCTAATTCAAAATGTTGTGTCATTGCAAAACTACATGCGCTATTTTGTGAAAAACATAAAAATCTTCGGATGCCAGTAGACGAAAGCGAATCGGATAAAAGTTGTCGTTCTGGTAACACAGATAGTACTACCTTACCAGAGTTAGATAGAATTTCTGAAAGACTTCTTCCAATTAGAGGGACTTTAACACTCATCAAAGGAAAAGCTGATAGAAGTCCTACGTCAAGTTGGGGCAGTGTCAGTTCGCTTTTAGAAGATCTGACCTGGAAAAAACGCGACGAGAACGATCAAAGTAACAGTTTGATGTCTTCTTTTTCTACACTATTTATTCAATCACAGATTCAAGTCGATGTACATAGAGAAATGTCATCAAAGTCCACAATTTATGATGAGACAAAGCCTCCTAAAGGTATTTATTCAGAATCTGATACGTCGTCGGAATACAGTCAGTGTAAAGACATGAGAATCACTTGCGAAAAGGTCATCAAAGGAACACTTTCAAATAACACTGATATTTATACGAAATCACAATATTGTATAAATAGCATAACATTCGGTTTACGTCGGTCTTTATCAGACGAGACTTTGTGTCCGATCGAAGTATATACTCCCGAAGAACCTAAAGTGAGATCACCGCTAGGCAACTTATTTAATCCTAATAACTGCGACGCTTGCATATTCTTGTTGCTGATAGAAACGCTAATAGTCCGCGAAAAGAATATCCATCTATCAAACCGCAAAACGGATGCGTGTCTAGTTCACAATGTTTACTTAGATTACGAAAATTCTCACATACACCATCACTTACTGAAGAAAATGCCGTTATGCGACCATTGCAACTTTCCATCTGTTGAAAAAACAATATTGCAATTAGTGCGATACAGACATGGAGTACTCATACACAAAGATGATGGTTTAGCACCAATCTATGCAATGATACCGTCATATTCAGACGAAAATGAAACTATAGGAAGAATTGTCCATTTAACCAAAAAAAATGTTATGGACTTCGGTCACAAATCCGCAGACTTCTGCCCAATTAGTGTCAAAATTGCAGACAGATACATCCTTTTCCCAAAGCTTATTGACACTTCTGTGTGGGCTAGATTTAGATTGAAGCGCCGTGATACTCCTTATAAGAAACCTATGTCAAAAATTAAGTGCAAAAACGTGGAGCCAATGGAAGACATACCTGAGCTAAACGAAAATGTCAACGAGGATTCTAGGGTAAAAGTAAAGCCAGAACGTCAAACGATGAAAGTTACGCCAAAGAAAAAGAGACCATCCAAACGGAAAGCTAAAAAGTGCGTAGCAAAGAAACGGTCCGTTCAAACGACAAATGCGCAACAAAGTCGCAAAAATGGCTCAAGCTCTGATACCTCAGGAACTTCTAAAAATACCGTTATGTCACCACCCGCTTCCATTTCAACAGCTGACAGTGATACAACTTCTACGAATGGTAAACGTAAAAGATATGTACTGAAAAAATGGCCTGTGAAATTGTCTCCAAAGTCACAAAAGAAAATAGTAAACAAAAATGAAAAGCAAGTTGCTACTAAAGATTCTTCAAAAGTTTCCCAATCTACGGGCGCTGACAAACTACCCAAACCCAAACCTAAAAGAAAAACAACTCATAAATCAAGGGCTAAGAAAAAAGGTGATAAACCTATCGAACAAATTGATGGTATTGTGTTGGTTCGAAAGAGGCGCCCGTGGTGGAAATGTCCCAAAAAAGAGGACGAAGAAGCTAAGAAAAAGAGCATTGAAGCTGCCCGTAAAAAGAATCTTGAATATTACAAGAAATTCATACATCCGACGTATCAACAGCCATTTTACAGTTACATCTTTAAATCTCCGAAAGGTAGGTATTGGGAAACTAATGTGGTGACCAGACAAGACGTTCTGGCACAAAGGCTTGCCTATCATTATCTTCGACGACTTACATTACATCGTTCAAGTCAAAAAAAGGATTTGGAAAAAATCAAGTCATCTTTAACCGATTTTCAATCATTCAAGTACGAGGAACGACGCGCGGCTCTACGAAATTTAATACATTCAGAATCTATAACCAGCGATGAGATAGATCTGAACGAATCTCAAGAAAAAGAACATGACGTTGAAGATTATTCTGTCGAGGAATTGACCACGAGTGAACAAGAACCAGAAAGTTCTCTTAACCTCGCTGAATATGATCTGAGCAAGATTGAATACCATTTTGAAGACTGCCCTATCATCCAAGCAGGAGCTACACCATATAAACATTTCTTAAAACTATTAGAGGTGCACAAAACTAGCTCTGAAGAATCATGGATAGAATATCACGTAGAAGACTGCTCGTACTATCTGATTGATGGGAATATTGTGGACGATTTCAAAGTCGTGGACCTAGTTTTAGTAGAAAAGAAAAATGATACCATTTGTGACTGTGCGGAAAAATTAATTAAAGGCGCCAATACTTATCAACAGGACAGCTCTTCTCAGATGTTCCACCACGACCTGTGTCTCTTGTTCCCGCATCAAATGGAAATTGGGGATATTGATCTACAAAGCTTATTCCATCCAAATATACCATCTAGACAGTTTCACAAAAGAGATTTTCTACGTTTCTATTTCATTTCCAAGAGTCCCGAAAATACGGAAGAGACACCAGTCATCAATTATCGAGATGTTCCTATTAGCAAATTTGAACAAGTCCAGAAAAACATAAAAATCACTCTCAGTCAACTTGACCAAGGACAAGCGGGCACAAGCGCTGATTCTCTTCCTTGCACTAGCCCAGTAGCTTCAACTTCGACTCAGACTACGATCAAAACATATCAGCTAGGAGATGGTGACGACATAGAAAGTATACTACATCATCACGATGAACAGCTAAGTGAAGATCAGTTCATTTTATCACCTCCTCGAGCAGATAGCGAAAGCGAGGATAGCGATACTGTATACAGTCTCGAAGAATGTTTGTTGTTTGCGAACGAACATTTGACAGATGATAGCATGTCAACATCTACACCAGACCTCACAGAAGGGATCGAATACCAGAATCTAAGTAAGCATTCCGAGGAATGTTCACCGAGCGGAAGTGCATACAGTATCAGTCAGTTTGCGATTTCACCTAGAGCGTCTATTCTGCCCCAAGATTTTAAATCCATTCACTCTGGGAAAACTATCACATTGCCGTATAGTCAAATCATGTCGCCTCCCCTGAAACCACAAGAAGTGGAGGCAGCTGGAAAACACATTAAGACCGTTGAACCTCAGCCATCTACCAGCAAAGATTGTAACACATCTATGGAGCCGATTCAGCATATTCCTGTGCCAGAGGTGTATATGTCTATTCTGAAACGGCGTTTCAAGTCCCACGAAGATTTATCGACTTTTGACGACCTAATTGAAGATGACACGCGTGCCCTGAGCGCTCTGCCACCAATATTAATGGACTCTCCTAGACAAGATGATCAGGGAATGTCGCAAAAGGAACAAGAATGTCTGGATTGCGAATGGGAGAAGTTTAGAAAACTACGCGAGCAGTTCGGAGCCAGTGAGGCCTCGTACAAAAGATGTGGAGTTTTAGGACATTCTTTCTGCTATGAGTATCCTTTAGCAGAAGAACTTTTACCAAGGGAAAGTTTATCTGCACCGTGTCCGGGCACTTACCATGAGGTCGCAAGCCAAGCAGAGGGTTATCGTAGACAAAGCTCGCTTACTGAACGCATAGCACAAACTAGCCAAAGTGATCCATCTCATAGCGATATGGAGTTACAAGATGCGTCCGATGACGATCATATGGCATCCTACTAATGGATAGATAGACATTATATTCCGATTATTTAAACCAAGTTCAAGACACTGATCAAACTGAAGTGTCATTTATAGGAAAGGGAATTAGGAGCAATGTCCTTTGTAGCATATTAGCTCGAAGGACCAGCTCACTTTTGAAGAGAAAACTTCTACAAATCGTAAGGCAAAAATATGTTTGCCTGAGTAGATATGTCAAAATGCTTTACATACGTAAAAGTACCTAAATCGTTTTGACTTATCTACTTATTTAACTTTGAATATTTTAAAGTGATCAGTGAATTTATGACTGCATTTGTGCAATATAAATTCACTGCACACAAAGACTCAATTGCGTTGTCATTGAGTCTTGCCAAATGAGTTAATGTGTATGTTTATAAACGATTAATCTTAATTAATAAATGGTTTATGATTGTGTGAATGACGAAGCATTCCAGAATAGTAAAACTACCCTCGTAATAGATAACTGTACCTCCATCGGTCTTAGAAGATTTAAGTGTAAAAGAAAAACAGAAATACCACCATAATGTGCGTGAGTGTCGTGGATTCTTTAAGGCATTCGCCTGAGTATTTAGTCGCATTTCGCGATCTTTAGGGCTCAGGCCCACCGTCTAGGGACGGTTTATGTGTTTGAGAACTGTAAGCAACGGCAAAGCTGTACTTTTGGAGCGGATTCCCAAAGAAGTAAGGGAATCATCGATATGTTGATTTGTTGACGCGAAGCGCAACGTGCAAAAAGCTCCAGTACTAAAATAGAATAAGGTTTAATTTCAACCACCAGAAGTGTGGACTACATATAATTGTCTACGTGTTAAGTGGTAGGCCTCGGGCCGTTACAGTGCGTACGAAGCTTGTGTTGGACATATTTGTGCGGGCAACACTTAGTGACGATTCGAAGAAGGAACGCTGTGTGTTACGTGTTTAAAAATTACGAAACCTTGTATTTAAAAGTGGCAACACAACAACCAAGGCCATTTTCTTTTTAAATTCACTCGGATCTTTTCTACTAGTGACGCCAGTATTATGATTTTTAAATCGATGTAATTTTGAAGCCATTGTTGCCATAATGTTGCCACTTGATAAGGACTATTTTAAATATTCAGTGTTTTAGCGAATATATTCGCTTTGTCGATTCGCCATGGTTCTAGACTTCTTTGTATACAAACTTGAAACTATGTATTGTGCCATAAGTAATACGTAACTACGATGTTTGAAATAGCTTATAATTTAAAATCAAGTCTTTCTTACTTTCCGCGAGTGTTTTGTGAGTCTTCCATGACATTTGATGTTTAAATTTTTCCTCGTTTACGCATTGTAGGTATTTGTATAATTAGATCTGTTTTGTAAATCTCGAAAGTTAAACTTTTGCAAATTTTATTGATTATTGATTGATTGATGTAGACTCAACAAATAATATTTATGATATACAAAGGTTAACATATCTCATGTTTGTTATTGTACTATAAAAGCTTCTGTCATTTTTTAAACTTTATGTAAAACTGAGACAGCTCAGTGTCTCTTTTGATTACTTTAACATCAACAATTATTTATAACGTAATTTATTGTGTAGTGTACGCATTTTTTAGAATTATTCTGTAATACGGGTAGTACATATTGTTACCTAGGAAGGCATTTTTGTTAGTTAATTTGACTTCTGTTTATTTTCACAATGTCGATTGAATGTTTTTTTGCAAATTTTGTCTAATAATAAAATTTAATATAACTATGTGTAAACTTGCTATTTGTAATGTCACTTTAAGCAAGAAATCATATTTATTATTAGTGTTAAAATATAGTTGAACTTAATATGTTGAAAGTTTAAAACATTATATGAATGTTCATGTGAAAAAAAATACATTAAAATTGTGAATAGGATAAGTGTATTGAAGTAATTATAAATTCACACATTTGTCACCTTTACTTTGTGAATCTAAATTTTTTCTAGTCTTTTTGAAAAAAAATCAATATTTTTTACATTCGATCACATTTTTTTACTCATTCAGTTTAATAAAAAAAAATGACCAAATGTTTTTGTATATTTATAAATAAGAAATTGGTATCTTCACGCAAATGGCTATGGTTTCATGGACCTTCGAGGATGTGGACTCGTGTTCAGACCACATACAAAAACAGTAGTTGAATAAGTATTTTTTCAGGTAAAAAAATACAAAATCGTCCTGATTTTCGTGAGACAGGGCTCACTTGCGGATTTTTCGACGATTTTTTATTTTAACTTGTTTCGGCGATCTTAGAATTGCCGAAGCAACTTTTGACAGGATCTAATACGTCATATTAATTAAATATTTTACAGATTTGGCATTAAATCTAATTAAAAACCAGTCTGCAGCCTCCAACCGTCCAGACGCCTAATCATTTGTGAGTAATTGTTACTCTGCGACGATATTTTCTATTAATACCGTATCAATAAGTAAATGTATTAAATGTTTAATTATATATTTAAGAACTATTTTAACTGTTTTTTAAATATTAACATCTTTGGTATGAAATTGGTTGATAAAAATATCCAAATTTATATTTCCCGAACTAGGAATATAAAGGGACTTTTTTTTAAATTACTATAGAGGATAAATTCTATTAAGGATAAAATAAAAGTATCAATGTTTAGTGTCTCGAATATATTAAGCATAAATGAATAAAACCACAAATACCAAAGTTTACTGTAACAAATCTGTGTAATAGGTCGACTGCAGTATTATGTACTGCACGATTCAGAAATGGTTGTTTAAATGAATAAATGTATTGACATATGAAATAAATACCTAATCGTAAATAAAAGGACTTGTTTATTTATGAACCACTGACATATCCATATAAATATCAAGTTTTTGAAATAAAATTTAGTGTCAATAAAACAACATTGTTAAAAATAAATTAATAAAGTATAATCACTAATTTCACAAACTAATATATTTACAATTAATAAAATCGATATCAAAAATATACTTATAACTCTAATTAATAGAAAACTTATGCCCGTTTTCACCATCAAGCCCTAATTTGTAAGTGATCCATATGGTAACAAATAAGAGGAATTTCGTTTACATAGGGGTCACTTAAAAATTAGGGATTGATGGTGAAAACGGGCATTAGTTTAACAAATAAAGTATCCAAAATTACATCTTAAACTTAAATTAATACATAACTTTTACCTAAACTGTAGGAAAAATAAAATAACAGTCAACAAAATGGCGACAGACGAGTTCTCCCGCGCTCCGGCGTTTGACAGCTCGCTGATACGTTCGAAAACTTGCGCCTGGGAAATGTTGTGCGCTTCGGGTTCCGATTCTTCGAGCATCGGCGATATGTCCGTGTACTCAGAAGTCGAAGGAATTGTTCTGCCGACTGAAAATATTGATTCAGTTTACTTTCGGGGAATACCACAGATTACAGAAACTAAAGGGAGATGTGAAAAGGGGGCTGGGCCGTAATGTAAACAGTTTACATTGCTTTGAGTACAAATACCGCAGTGGATAATGAGCACATATTTTGATTACTTTACTTACTTTGATTGTGAACTTCTGATGCGACACTGAGTTTCGAACTCAGCGCATTATTTGGCATCTCTCTATATGTATATTTAAGGGGAAAACAATACCTTCTGAGAAGATATATCTAACTAATGTAATGCCGCAAGTACACTGCGGAAAATTGACCAAGACGAAGCGCTAGATCGCATTCCGAAGTATGGACGACGCAAGGGTGGGGGAAGAAGAAAGTAACCGAGATGGTGTTCACACTATTACGTCTCGGCCAATTTGCCGCTTAGTGTACTTGCGCCATAAGGGTTATGCTTTCTAGTGATTTTGATATTACCTCCTGGTTCCGTAGCGAAATGTAAAACAGCAGAAGGTTTACTCCAACCAAATCTGAAACAAAAGTTTAAGGTAGAGCTCATCAAATCTCATTAAATTACTTGCTTTTTTTTTATAAATGAAAATTCAATATTGTTTGAGTCTTCTTTTCTTTTCTATCAAGTATTATCACTCTGTTCCTTCAAGTGCACATCGCCTCATACACAGTAGAAAACTGAAATTCTCTTACAAAACTTTTATAAGCGTATCCTAACACCAAAATGCTCAGGTATCAATAGCTGGTTGTACAACTTGCCATGACCATAATATCACATCACTCTACATGACAATCGCCTTCTTGGTTGCCGTGTACACAGTATAATGAGGACGTAATTTCCCTAATGGTATACCATGCATATGTACAGGAACTTCGAGTCTTTTAGCACTATAATCTGGCTCAAGTCAAAAATCGTCGTTGTGACTGGAAAATGGCCCTTAACGGAACCCTAAACATTCTCACCTGTTCCTCGAAGTGACAATCGCCTCATACACAGTAGAGGGCGTCAGTCCTCTCACAGTATACACCGCACTATGTATGTGTCCCTCTCGCGCTAAATTAACACCATGATCTTGCTCAACCATCACCAATATGACTGGAAAATGTCCCTAAACCATCTCACCTGTTCCTGGAAGTGACAATCGCCTCATACACAGTAGAGGGCGTCAGTCCTCTCACAGTATACACCGCACTATGTATGAGTCCCTCTCGCGCTATATCCTAACACCATGATCTTGCTCAACCATCACCAATGTGGCTGAAAAATTTCCCTAAACCTTCTCACCTGTTTCTGGAAGTGACAATCGCCTCATACACAGTAGAGGGCGTCAGTCCTCTCACGCCCTTCCCTCTCGCGCTATAACCTAACACCATGATCTTGCATAACTATCATCATCATCATCATCTCAGCCATAGGACGTCCACTGCTGAATATAGGCCTCCCCCAATGCTTTCAATATTGCCCGGTTGGTAGCGGCCTGCGTCCAGCGCCTTCCTGCTACCTTTATGATATCGTCAGTCCACCTTGTGGGTGGACGTCCCACGCTGCGTTTTCCGGTACGCAGCCTCCACTCCAGAACCTTGCTACCCCATCGGCCGAAAAACCTTCACCAATGTGACTGAAAAATGTCCTTAAACATTCTTACCTGTTTCTGGAAGTGACAATCGCTTCATAAACAGTAGAGGGCGTCAGTCCTCTCACAGTATACACCGCACTATGTATGGGTCCCTCTCGCGCGTCTCCCGGTACTATAATCCTGCTCCATCGGTTGACGGGCGCTTCTGTGGTAAAAGAATCGGGCTCTGGTGTGGCCAGGCGGCCATAGTAAGGCCGGATCCAGAGGTTGTATTCTGGAAGAAGATTAATTGTCTTTGCGTATGAGTTATATAGAATGAGTAATACTTTGAAAGAAATAAGGAAAGAAAAAATATTTAGTTGATACTAAAAATAATTGAAATGAAATGAAAAAATAAATAATGACTGACTGTATTGAGCATTGATTGAAAATTATGTGACCCTGTTTATTTTCATGAAACGGCTCTCATCTCTGCCTTTCACATTCAGATTTTTAGGTAATTTCGTATTTTAAACAAACATTAAGTAATCCTTAAAAGTTAGAAGAACTTCTTACCGATAATCGTAGAGTAGGAGTCCACTTCCCAAATGAGGGTGAAGCTGGTGGATGTAGCTTTATTCAGCGCGGAGTCTACCTTGAATGATGCTATGTTGGGCACTCCTGGAAAAACAAGTTGAAATCATTGCATCTCTATGGTTTTGTTCTGATGAAGAAATTGGAAACTATGACAAAATAGATTAGGAAGGAAGCAACCGGGCTTCCCGCGCCAATAGCAGTGACAAAAGACATCATAATCATGATGTCCCGATTCGAACATCCCTCCTAGACAAAGTAACATTCGTGACTGATTCATTTTCGAAATCGCAAAGGAAAAGCCTGAGCGAAACGATTTCGCAAAAAATTAAGCTGAACGTCCACCGCCGGCTAAACTAAATGAAAACTAAACTCAGTGAACTAAGCTAAGCTAAACTAGAACTAGGTACGTTGTCCGTCCACCAATAAATAAGCTAAAACTACGTTAGTGATAGTCAGTTTGTGCTAGAACGTCGAGTTAACCGAGCTAAGTTAGTTCCACTTAGCTGGGGCATTTCACGTAGCTTTAGCTGGCATAATTTGCGGTGGACGCACATGTATGAAAAACTATGCGAGCCGGCGGTGGACGTTCGGCTTTAAACTGTCACGTTTGTTCCGTTATCGGAAAGGGACAGAAAACCTACCTACTTTTCTGTCAATTTCATTTTTTTTTGCTACAATTGTAGCACAATAACTTAACTATGATAGAGGTTCCTAAAAGTTCTAGTTTACCTGTAAGCTTGAACTGCACATCGGCCATGCCCAGCTTGTTCTCGGCTCTGAAAGTGTAGTTGCCCAAGTCCCCCGCGCGAACCGTTCGGAAGATCAGTTGGTGGATGTTGTCTTGCACCAACATCACCACCCTGGAAGTAAGGAACAGATGGTTCAACGGTTGTGGTTATGGAGCATGGGTTTGAGGGTTGGTAGTTCGATCCCTGTCAACAGCTGTAAACTTAATCATACAAAGTTTAATAGCTAAGGAACATATAAAGAGTGCTTTCTTGGATGCTGCATTTAATTCCACCTGTATGAGGCATAAAGCCACAGAATGAAAGAAGATTAAAGAATGTTCTAAGCTTATTAGGATGTAAATTATGTTTTAAATTAAGTACGTATAACAAAATTCGTGCGTTTTACATCGTGAGCTACCCTAAAGGTAACTTCACATCTTTTACAATCAAATTAGTGTTAGTCTTACTTTTGTACTGTGCAGTAGCGGCGGGCGGTCCGCCCCGGGTGCCAAGCATCAGGGGGTGACACAAGTCGCGCAGATTAGTACTCACTGGCGGCATCTGCATGGCAAATCTGCGGTCTATGTCATGGATACGGGGGAGGGGGAGGGGAGGGGTGCAATTGTCTCTGAATCGGTAGGTAACCCCAAAAAGGGGTGCCTTAGGACTTATGACGGGGGGAGGGGGGTGATCGCCCCGGGTGCCAACCCATGCTACGCCGCCACTGGTACTGTGGTTGTATACCTGTCATCAGTCCGCACCGGCCTGCCGTCTCTATACCAGGCGGTCCTGGCAGGAGGCACCGCGAACTCCAAGCGTGCGGCCAGCGCGGCGCGGAGCCCTATCGCGGTGTGCACGAAGCTTCGCACCGCTGACACCACGGGCGCGTCTGGAACCAAAGAACCGCTTGTTCAAGATAGTTATGGCTATTATAGTCAAAACATTGCATTGGTCTCAAACTACTTAATCGATTCAAAAACGACTGCCTTAGGTGGAAATGGAACCCACGATCTTTCCCTTGCTGTGAGTATTTTCTGACTGCTGAACTACGGAGCATTATAGATATTGACTCTACCACTCATAAATCCAACTGCAAGTTTTTTTCTTTTGATAACAAAACAGGTACCTAAGTAGGCATTTGACCGCAATAAGTAAGATGAATCCCAGGATGGGACATTCCTGCCTTGTATGTAAGTGCCTATTCACTCTCGCTTAGAAGAGGTTCGGATTATTAGTTCGCTTTAGAAAGACATCAGCAGTCAGGGAAGTCCAGTCCCCAGGTGCTCTCAAGAAATTTAGCGAATCGCTTAGCGAAAAGCGCGAATTGGTGGAATGTCGAATAGTACGCTAAACACCCGATTCTCCGATAAAGGCTGGTGGATTAGATCGTGTAATTCCTTCGCACATTCTCCGAAGTGTAACCTGTAGAAAACCGATAGTTTGGAGCAGTTATTGGAACCTCACCATGGATCACAACCCTGATGGCAGCCTTCACGGCGTCCCCTACACCGTTGCTGACGACGCACTCGTAGACGCCCGCCAGCAACCGGTGCTCGGCGCGGAAGCGCAGGCGCTGCCGGTGTTCTAGCAGCGCCATTGGCTCGCCCTGGTGGTTGAGAATTATCATCATCATCAACAGCCCTTTACAGTCCACTACTGTACTATGAGCCTCCTCCACTATAGTGGAGGGTTTTGCCATAATCCCCACGCTTGGCAGGCGGGTTGGAGATCGCAGTTTAAAAGATTGATGTTTGTCAGAGAGCGCTTCTACTCGTTCTCTGTTTGATGTATAGTCCCTAAGTCGCCTCTTACGACACCCGCGGGAAGAGTAGGGGTTGGTGACAAATGTATTCTACTCTGCCGTCACCACACGGCATCATTATCATTAGAGGAGAGGAGAGGAGAGGAGAATTATCATATTCATCATTATCATCGTTGTCGTCATAGTCATTGTCATCGTTATCGTCATCATGTTTCATAATCATCAGGTCATTAGTCTACACGGAAGAAGCACGATCCTCTCTAATTTAAGAACCAGAAGCAAATGAAGAATTGTGGCTGCAGTTTTTTATTTATCAACTTGAGAAGGTGTATAAATACGATTTTATCAAGACCTTTCACTCTTCCCGAGGAAGGATACCTATCGTTAACCTCTCCTATGCTTTGTCTCAGATCTGTGCAACCTCCGTCAACTGCTATGTCTCAGATCTAAGACAAGACTACTTTGTCATTTTGAAACATCATTTGAAAACCGTAGCAGTTGGCGGTTGCAGTTTTGCGCGGCTCAATAGCACGCCAAAGGTTAATGGTGACTAAGGGATAAACAAACATGCGAAAATCAGTCCTCCCCAGCCCGTCTGGCCAGCGTGGGGAGTGTATGCCAAATCCTCCATTAGCCTCTGGTAAATTAGAGAGGGTTTTGCCTCTGCAGTCCATTGCAGGACTCGACTCCAGACTAAATGATAATGAGGTAGGACACAATGAATCAACTTTAAAACGGTGTTCTTCTTCTTTTCGTGTCGACAACAAAACCTACACAGTGTCAGCCCAAAACTCCGCCACAAGAGTGGTGTTTTGAATACGGGAATATTCCCACCTCTAGTTTCTACCGCTGCAACTCCTGTGTAAGCCCGGATCTACAGCTTAACCGCCCATAAAAACCCAACCAGTGAAGGTCAAGACAGTCCCGGGGGAAAGTTAACTGTCGTTGGACCTGCAACGAAATCAGAAGAACATAGGAGGCGTTTTGAATAGTGACTTTCTGCTCACGTTTTTCCTCCAATCCACGACCGGAGGAGGAGTCCCGGTGGTGTCGCAGCCGATGTCCACATACTCCCCTTTGCGGACCTCCAGGAACCCATCGTCGGGGATGGTCCTCACTGTTGGCGAGTCTGCAACATGATTATTGACCTTTAACTCCACTTCATGGGGCTTGAAGCCATGGTCTTTAGTTTGGCTTGTGACTTTTGCTTTATAATAGTAACTAGCGGCCGCCCGCGACTACGTACGCGTGGATCCCTTTTTACCCCCTCAGGGGAAGAATTTTGCAAAATCCTGTGAGCACCTACGTTCTAAAAGAAACCCAATACAATATTCGAGACTTCTAGCACTTGTAGTTTCTGAGATTTCGTGATGAGTGAGTGAGTCAATCAGTGACCTTTTGCTTTTGCCATTGTCCATTAACTCTTATTCGTTTGAGCTATAGGTATTTGCTTATTAACGTTAAAAAACGTATCCGTCAAAAACATACCTAATATTATTATTACTCACACTGCACTTCCACAGTATGTGTCTGTCTGATCGGCCCCCACGGTTCTGGCCGCAGCACCTGTAAACATAACAATTTGGTTAACATCTAGGAAGTCGGCTAATTGCGAGTAGGTGGCGGCGACGTGGGTAGTCCAATAGTTATTATCTTTTATTACTACTTGTATTACTTGTACCTGTATTACCTATTCTGCAGTATTTTTTTATCCACAACGAGGAAGCTCTTGGCCTGTACCTGATGGTAAGTGACGATCAGGCCGAAGGACTTAACTTATTAGTATTAGTATTTAGTACCTAGTAATTCCACCTCTCATTTCTACTACCGCTACAATTTTATTGTATTTCTTTTTAGAGAGCTTTCACATGGCGATTTAGCAGCGCGACTGACTCCCAAAAATTTCATACTATGCTATGTGACAGCGAATACATGCCTTCGCATTATAAAAACGCCTCTGGCTGCCCCGCCGCCGTCGCGCTTCTTTAGCCAGGAGTTTGGGCGCCAATTTAAGCCAAGCCGCCAAGTTAATTTAAGGCCAAGTTGCACGGTTGCACCACATTATATTAACCGCGACTATAACCATAACCGGTGTTTTTTGTATATAGAGTTTGACAGACTTTTGACGTTTGTTAAAGTCAAAGTAAGATGGTACAACCCAGCCTAACTCCTGTATAGCCAGGAGCTACAGTTTGGGCGCCAGTTTAACCGAACCAGTGAAGAACCAGTTATCTTGTGTCAGTATTACGATTTATTAAATCGTTTAATGGATACAATTAGCCAATCTTAACGAATATCTATGACGCCGGCGGAAAATGTAACGTAGGTAATTCCCGATCGCAATCACAAAAAACCTAAATTTTTAATTTTCTAGACATCGAAAGACTTCCGGTAATCTTCAATGATTTCAAGTATTGATAAATGAATATCCCAAAAAGGATTAGTCAATTGATTGGTGCACTTCAGTGACGGAAAAGAACCACTTGCGCCATGACAGACCACACACGCATAATTGCTTAACTGGCCGTTTCCGCTGCACCGCACTGTAAGAAAAAGACTAAAGTGTGATGCATACAGAATGCTATTTTGAATTCGACATTAGGTATTAATATGGAGAAAAATAGGTTATAAAGGTCCCGTTCACTTAGGTGACCATGTCCGTCTGAAAATTTTAGATAATTCGTAAAATATTATTCAATTTATCTTCTCTAATTTCTTTATCCAATTATAAACCATTATGGTAAACCTATTACATATTCCTATTTTACAAAAATGCTTAGCAACGATGGGAATTCGATATTTGATATAAAAATATCTTTTAATTTTATTTTTCAGATTGAATTCGTTGCATATTTTAACTACTAATTGCAGTGATGGAACGAGAGGAGTGATTACTCCCATTCATCATCATCATCAATTTAGCCACAGGACGTCCACTGCTGAACATAGGCCTCCCCCAATGATTTCCACAATGGCCGGTTGGTGGCGGCCTGCATCCAGCACCTTCCTGCTACCTTTTGAGGTCGTCGGTCCACCTCCCACTTAAGATAGGATATAGGTTAACTATTTATATTTACTGAAAACCATAAGCTTTTGTAGATCAACATTGTGAAAGTAGCCAAGTCCATTCGACCTGACTAGCTAAGAAATGCATATCAATAAATCAATATTTTTATTTTATTTAACTTCACGTCACAGTGTCTCTAATGAGTCTTCAGTATCGTTAGTTTTATTGTTGTAAACATGTTAACTCATCGCTACAGTCCACAGTAATCAGACTATATTTTGGTGCAAAATAGAGCCTATTACAATCACATAAGATGCAGTATTTACCTTGATGTACTGTATCTATCACAAATACATTGAGCAAGTGGTAGAGTCAGTTTTCACGGACAAAAGACCATCTCAAAGCGCCGACCGAAAGAGTTGTAAATTGATTAATTGAGTAATTGGGAGATCTATGAGCGACCGTTACTGTAAGGATGGGATCGTGTCGAAAGTAGGAGAATATATCGATGAAAACTAACCTAAAGTACCTTAAAATACTATCTCATAAGTATGCCTCATAAGTACATCTTTCCGCTTTACTCTCTGTGTGCATATGAATTTTAAAATAGTGTTCCTTGTAAATGAGTGGTTGCAATGATGATCATTTGAGGTCGGCATAGCAGACAATGTAGAGTTCTTTCCTTAGCTTAAAAGTGCTTAATGAAGCTACAAAATTAAATTATAATAAAACCGGTGCTATTTTTTTTATCCACAACGAGGTAGCTCTTGGCCTGTATCTCACCTGATGGTAAGTGACGAACAGGCTGACAGTGCAAGCGAGCTTCACCCGGAATCCTCAAACACAGAGGAGGAACTGGCTATCTTACCTCTAACTGCCGGAACACAACAATGCTGTTAACATTGTTGTTATGGCGACAGACTTAGAACAAGCCCTACCACCAACCACACCGAACAGAAAAATCTGCCCCCACTGGGAATCGAACTCGGGACCTCTGCATCTGAAGCAGATGGTCTTACCACTAGACGACAGAGGCGGTTAAAGCGGCGGTATTCGTGATTTAAGCCGGTATTGTTGCGCTATTTTGAATAACAGCTTTAGAACTTCATTTTCCGGTTTATCGATATCGATACATATTCGTTTCGCATCCCTATTACAAACTACATGTTAGTTAAGATCGAAGGGCGGTGTACATCCACCTAATTGCCGACGCCTAACTTTAATGGTATCGCAATTGATCCGCCACAAAAACTAAATTGTTGCTGATGATAATGACGGTGTTCGTGGGACACGATGATTGATGCTTGGCCAAATTGAATGATCATGATGATTCACAGACAAAAGTTTTGTTGGATAGTTACAAATTATTATACCGTAAATATTGTAAGAAGCTAGGAATAAATGTGCGAACTAAACATTAATTAGTCCTCCTCAAGCCATCTGGCTAACGTGAGGACTTGGGGATTGTAGACCAATTTCTCCTTTTTGCCTTTGATAGAGGGTCCTTGTGCAGTAGGTAGAGACATGCGCCCGTATTCACAAACATTACTATGAGGTCTCACAGTGCGCGTGGACGCACAGGGTGACACACGAACCAATCACAGAGCTCTATTCAACGCTGTGCGTTCTATTTGCTGCTTCACTTAAGCAAGCATCGTTTGTGAATACGAGCGTACGCGTAAGTTACTTGATGATGATTTAGTTACTTGGGTAGGAAGGCGATTATCTGCCGCTTTTAGGATTTCTTTACTTAACTAAGTACTTTGTTTTAAAATGAAATGAAATTCTTTTCTATTTTGTTTAGCTTACTTGAACAGTGCCGTAACAGCCCACCAAACTCTACATTTTTGTTCCAAAATCGCACTTATTACAAACTACACAAGATGCTACAGTTTTATAAGCTTGACATGCCGTGCCGTCTTCCGTAGTCTAATCTTCAATGATTTATTTCCTACTATCACGAGTTGGTTGCTCTAGATCTATCATGATTACAGATCACGAAAGGAAGCATATCCTTGCCCAAAATAAGTACTTAGGTACCTCTATGAGATGTGCCCCAGTTAAATAACCTCTGTGGTCTGCGGTGAGACCCTGTCTTAGACCCAGAGGTTTTCGATTTCTAATATTTCTAATAAATAAATAATTTCTAATTAAATTGGAGAAAAAATTTCTGCTCGGTTTGGTTAGTAACTATTCTAAATCCGCCTAGCTAGCTACCACCATCTTACCTAAGTCTGTAGGCATAACGGATTGATGACAGTTCGATCTTAAACGTTCGCGTTTACAACTTGGCGTTTCGCGATATAGCTTCTTTATCTTCTACAGTTCGATGTGCGTATGTGGCCTTACGTTAAAAATCCGGCTCAAAGGACCAAAGCGTCTCTCAGCCAGGAAACGACGTAATGAGGGCAATGGACTCTATTACAAAATACAGTTTATGTCTAAAGATGCCCGAACAGGTCTATCTACTATGGATGCAATAAAGAATTGAGTATTGAGTATTGAACCCATGAGGCCTAAGTTCCTGAGCTGTGCCGTGCCGTGCCGCAGTAGAGTTTGTTTAGTTAATTTAGATGAAAATTGACCGAGTTTGTTCCGCCACTTCTCACTTCCAGTCGAAAAAATCTTATTATTGGACCGTCCCAAAAATGCTCCGGTTGTGGGAAAAAAGTCCAGGAATTTATCAGTCCTTCAAGCCGTATGGCCGCCTGGATAGCTACTATAGTCATCTTACCTCGCAGGTATAATCAGCTGAGTCCTTAGCACCGAGGCGGTCGAGCTGCAGGCTGTAGTTGGCGTGCATCCTCACTCGTGGCGGCAGGAGCGTATGCGCATCCGCGCTGTCGCCTAGCAATGCGCCCGCTTTGTACCACCGCACGCGCAGCTTCACGTCTGCAATGGAAATTGGACTTTAAGTGTGGGGGGTAAGGTTGAGAATGGGTTTATCTGGGTTTATGCGATCTTTGTATGAGAAATTAGGACTTCAATTCATTGATAGTCAAACTACTTTAGCTTGTTGTACACCAGAAAAAGAGTTTAAACTCTTTCCTTCTTGCACATTAAATTACTGACGACAGCACATCAGACAAAACATTTTTGTTTAAAAATAAATAGCATCTATTACAGCTTAGAGCCGTATTAGATGGCATAGATACAATACATGTCGTAGAGGCATAGAGACATTTCGTCCATAGAGAAGAAAATGTGCTAGTTTATATCCGCAAGTAGTATTACCAGTATTACACATTTTAAGATAAGTTCATGTGACACGCATGATAATGTTTGCATTATGTGCGGAGATCGAACCCGCGACCTCTGCAACTCTGACATGTATGATAGTCCATTTTTCCAACTACTAGGCCTTACTTTTTACAAAGACTGCATCCTGAAAGTCCTTAATTTGTTATATTCCACTTTGATTATCTGGATTCTTAGGTGTCTTTTGATCACCCATGGATAGAAGTCCACATTGATCCCTTAGGTGATCAAAATCAAAAATATTTTATTCAATTTAGACCACAGGTGGCACTTATGAACGTCAAAATATAGTAAATAAAAAAAAAGGTAGCCCTTATGGGGCACTTTACATGTCTCCTTATCTTTTGGGTCGATACGATCTTATCCATAGACTCTTAATTTACATATATTGGAAAGGCTCTCTGCTATATTCTATCATCTGCTACCAGAATAATCTAGTAGTTTCCAAGCCAAGTTGGACTCTGCCCCAAGGATGCATCTTAGCACCTCGTGGCCGAGGGTCATAGTCAGACACAATTGGTACACAAAGATATAAATCTGGCCCTTTCCTGTCACAGTAACGATGTGGGTCCATGATCTGTGAAGGTAAGTGGACGCGGCATATTCAAATGACAGCTCAATGAGAGAAATGTTGACCCCCAAGTTCGATTATCGATGTATGAAGAATGAAAAGATCCTGTCATAAATGGAAAGTTCGTAACTTTTGTAATGTAGTTACCTACAGTTGAACCATTTAATATTAACGCACACTCCATTTTCCCATTCATTGCAGACCAATCTCTTTAAACTCTTACATATCTTATCTTACTAGGTTTTGCCCACGGATTCGCGCGTGAAATTAAATAATCTGTAAAGTTTCATCAAAATCCGTTCAGTAATTTTTGCGTAAAGGAGTAACAAACATGTTAACAGCCATACAAACTTTCGCATTTATAATATTAGTAGGATTATGTAAATGGCTAACGTATCTCACTCTCTCTCTCGAAAATTTCCCAATTTTCATTCGCATTTACTCTTAAGTATGGAGTTATTTGTTTTTACATTAGTTTCAGCTTCCTAAGTGTTTTACTTATTGCTCAATAGTTTACAAGGCAATGCCACGCCACCAATTACTGCAAATCAATCAATTAAATTGATTGGCGTTTTAATTCCAGTTGCAACAATTAGGACACATAATATTATTAATTTATTACGATATCGACTTGTTTACTTTATGAATGGTGTCTTTAGAAAGAAAAACAAAAATGGACACCTTTTTTGTAGATAAATTAATAAATTGCTTCCCTTTTTCATGCCAATTAAATACAAAATGAACGAAACCAAATAGAGCCTGAACTGTAGCTTCTTAGATAGTTTAGGGGTATCTTTACCTGATGGTGAGGTAAAAGAACTTTACTTCTAAACGTCCATGACTCGTAAGTGCTCTACGAACACGTTCTCGCGGGTATTACGCCCCTACCTCGATGGACTGATGACCTTAAAAAAAGTACTTTCAGTGGGTAGATGAAAAAAGCAGGAAATCGTGATGCCGCTGACGCCATGATTTCACATTGACCACGGGACTATTCCCACCTCTCGTTCCCACCGCTGCAACTCCTGAGTAGCCAGGATCTACAGCTTGACCGTCAATAAAAACCCAACCAGTGAAGGTCAAGTTTGTCCTGGGGGAAAGTTAAACTGTCATTGGACCCGCAACGAAATTAATCAGAAGAACATAGGAGGAGTTCGAATCTTCACCTTGACCTGTTAGCCTGAGGCCCAGTCCCGCGGTGAACTAGTTAGAGACTGAAATCGTAATCTCATCCTTAGGCCGCTTGTACACGCTAAAAAAGTCGCCTTGCCTACGCAACAATCCGTGTCGTTTCTACATACGAACCGTGTACATTTCTCCGGCGCTGACCAAGAAATATAATTCTGTCTGCTCTAGTCTAGAAGATACGACACGCGACAGACGCGCACTGCGTGGCAAATTTTCGTGGCTAAGTCCGACGAAATTCTTGTCTTGTCTGCGGCAGACACTGTGAAATGTCTTAGCGTGTATAGTCAGCGTCAAATAGTACGTGACACCCAAGCCAAAGTGGCCAAAAAGTTGACAACACAACCCTATTCCAATTGTGACAAAGACGTGTGCGAACTTTTTGGCTACTCTGGGTGTCACAAACTATTTGACGCTGAATGTTTATAAAGCCTTGTTATTCCTGTCAAAATGCCGCATCCACAATCCACTTTCTGTCATTGATGTCACCTCGATGTAATCTCTACGATGTGGAGTGTGAAGCATTGTCGGTACGTGACGCTAACAAACATTCGGTCCTTTTGTACAACTAACAAATGATTTATAGCACGTCATTGCTATTGTATGTGATCAACTTGGAAATAAATTGGTGTTTCCGCTGTTATTATGGCTAAGAAGAATTAATGTGTGTTGTGTGCAAGGATCACAGATTTTGTGTTAGAGAAAACACATAAAAGTAGCGCAGTACGATTTCCACTTTTTCATACCAAAGCTATACGAAAGCACTTTAACCCCCTTACTAATAAAAAGTTACACAGTTGTTGAACACTGTTTTAAAATGACATGTCCGTACTAAACGTCACTTTAAAACACTGTTCAACGAGCGTATAAGTTTTATTAGTAAGGGGTTAGGGGGTCTAATTTACTTAAATACACTGTTAAAAACATAACCCTCCTTCTGGCGCAGTCGGGTAACTATCACACACTACCTAATCACACTAAATTTTGCTTATTTTATGCGAAATAGATAACGACTACAAAAAATACCTTCATTACCTCCACATGTACAACTTAACTATAGGTTAGGTGTAATTTACAAAAACCAAAAGGCTATAGTAAAATCTAGTAAAATCTTCTTTTCCTTCTTTCCCATTATTTGGGGTAAAATCTAATAAAATAATTAGGTAGTACCTACTTGATAGAATATGTAAATAGAATACGATAAAGTGACCGTTAACTTGACTCTACATTTACGTACGTTGGACAGGTAAACAATTTAGAAGATTAAGTTGTAAAGTAATTTGTAAGTAAGCATAATCATCGTTTGATCCCAATCTACTTAATAACATGATTGTTTCAACAAATCCACGAGCAGTGGGCCAAATAATAATAGACTTTGTGTGATAGAGTACAGAATAATAGGTAATAAGTATGGATGGATAGAGTGCGTAGCAATGATTTTCCCACCAATGTGTACCTACAGTCAGTGTCAAAACTTCGTGACACCCAAAGCAGCCAAAAAAATCGCAGCACGTCTTCGTTACAATGTCAATACACGTTACGTTACAATGTAAACACCTCTTTGTGTTGTATACTTTTTGGCCACTTTGGTTACTAATCCTTACTAACAAACTATGGATGAAAGTCTGAAATAAATTGTTTATTATTATTATTATTTGGGTGTATCGAACTATTTGATGCTGTCTCTCTATATAGACAAAAGCACATAAAGCTTTTCTAAACGTCGTAACTTGGGCGGAGTTGCACCACCTAACTTTAAGGGTAACTTAACGATAATAACCGGTGCTTTTTGTATGGAGTTTGACAGATTTTTGACGTTTGTTAAAGTCAAAGTAAGATGGTGCAACCCAGCTTAAGAGCTTGACTCCCCTTGATTAGTAAACTACCTTTTTATAATGCAAGCAATAGGTATTATATTTATAATATAGCTACTAAATCTTGCTTTAGAACTACTTTCCATGTAAATGTTTTTGATATTTTTAATGGAACCTCTACATCTTAAAATTAAGAGGTTCCGCTTGTCTTCCGGATTGATGGCCTCTGTCAGATTAAGATCAAATGCTTTTTAACTCACTTGTTATTTTAATGTTATTGTTATTTGTATACGTCATCTTGACGGCTGTATGAAGTGATAGGTGAGATCGGTTCGAGTATAATAGCTTTGAACTGAAAAAGGTTACCAGACTTTCGTACGTCGTATCCAGCGAAGTGCGCAGTTAGCTCGATCGATTTGTCTCTATATCTGCAGGGTGTTAGGTAAATGGGTATACTATATATGCCGACACTAGCCCATGTTAACATGTGCATATAAATGGAATGGTGAAGTTCATTTAAATTTTTAAAATTTTCATACAAAATAAAATGTATAAAATCAGATTTGTATGAAAATTAAAATAATTAAAATGATGATATCAATTTCCTGACTTCACCATACCATTTATATGCATAATATGTTTACAGGCTGGTGTCGGCTCATATACCCATTTATCTAACACCCTGTATAAAAGAGGTCTATTCCACTTTGATCACCTGGCTTTGATGACCCAGGTGATCAAAGTCCACTTCCAGCGACAAATTAGTGTCCTTTGATCACCCACGGATATGTGCCCTGGGTGATCAAAGTGGACTCCAGTTAAATTATTATTTTAGTGTCCTTTGATCACCTACATACAAATCACACCTCATCTGAATAGACACGGTAAGCACTAACATTTTCTTAATTTAGACAATTTTTTTAACAGTTTTTACAGTTTACATTTTTTTTATATTTTAAAGCGTTACTTACCTAAACAATGTTTGTCCGTACATTAAGTATAAGAGGAGGTGTGATTTGTATGTAGGTGATCAAAGGACACTAAAATAATAATTTAACTGGAGTCCACTTTGATCACCCAGGGCATCATATCCGTGGGTGATCAAAGGACACTAAATTGTCGCTGGAAGTGGACTTTGACCACCTGGGTCATCAAAGCCAGGTGATCAAAGTGGAATAGACCATAAAAGAAAAGGTCACTGACTGACTCACTCATCACAAAATCTCGGAAACTACAAGTGTTAGAAGTCTCTTTGAATGGGGGATCCTTTAAGAACGTAGGTGCTCACTAAGACGGGATTTTACGAAACTCTACCTCTAGGGGGTAAAACGGGATCCACGCGTACGAAGTCGCGGGCGGCCGTTAGTTTATAATAATACTAGTGTAGAATAACTTTAAAAAAAAACGACTTCAAATGCGTGAGCACAAAAAAAAACGAAAACTTAAAAATATTGCGTATAAAAAAGTTCATCCCCAATTTTCCACCCTTGGGGGTGAAATATTTTCTTCAAATTCGCATGAAACCACCCTTTTGATAATACCTATTCAACAAAAAAATAATCGTTCAAATTGATTTATAATCGGCGGAGATATTGCGTAAAAAAAGTTCATCCCCAATTTTCCACCCTTGGGGGTTGTTTTTTCTATTATTAAATTTAAATGGGACCACCCTTGAGGTATTACCTATACGCCGAAAAAAGATTTGTTCAAATCGGTTCATAATTGGCGGAGTTATCGCGTAACAAACATAGAAAAAAAAACATACGGGTCGAATTGAGAACCTCCTCCTTTTTTGAAGTCGGTTGAAAAGACTCACCACCAGCGTCTTCCACATAACACGGCAGCAGAACAGTCTCATTCTCATAAGTCTTGACTGTCACTGGCACGCTGCGAAACTCGTCCTCGCTGCTAATCTCGTGTATGCTGAACAGCAACAGAACCTTGGTGAATGTCCTTAGAGCGGCCATTTTGACACTTATGGTATTTATGTCACTTTTATAGCACTAATTTTAAGTCACATTGGCTACGTCCAGAGCCACTGATGGTTTGAGAGTTGATTTGACATAGACCTTAAGCTAGAAATCCAGGTTTTCTTGTGTTTGTTTATTAAGGTTATTAATTAACCTGCCTCAAAATGGTAAATTGATTTAAAAAATTAGGTGTGAAGTCAATACATTATTAAAAACAAAGTTGCTTTCTTGTCTTTCTGTCCTAATGTATGCTTAGATCTTTAAAACTATGCAACGGATTTTGATGCGGTTTTTGTATATTAGATAGAGTGATTCAACGGGAAGGAACGCCCGCGTGGAATTTTGTCTGTCACAGAAAAACTTTATCGCGGCGCGTCCCTGTTTCAAAAACCGGGATAAAAACTTCCTACGTCTTTTCCCGGGACTCAAACTAAATCTATGCCAAATTTAATCAAAATCGGTTCAGTGGTTTAGGCGTGAAAGCGAGACAGACAGACAGACAGGTACTTAACACCCGTGTGAAGCCGGGGCGGGTCGCTAGTAAAAGATAAATAAAGTAACAAAGGGAAAAACTCATTTTAATAAGTTGGGATGTTTCTTAACCTGAAAAAAAAACTATTATTACATTACTAGGTCATCTTCAATGACATATTTATTATACCTAAGTATTCAGTGTTATTTCACAAGTAGGTACCTATAACTACCGAAGCAGAACACATTTTTCGTCGGGCATTGCAATTCAATAAAAATTATGTAAGAAAAACACTTGTTATACCTACTTTACTTCTTAAGTTACTTCATTATAAATTTTGTTATGTAATACCTGATAACAGCTATTATTTGTAGCACAATATTAATCTAGGTACTAGGTAATTTTTATTATGTTTTTTATTGTTGGGAAAAATACTTTATTCTTAAATAGGAAAAGTCCTAAATTACCGATACCGATATAACGCTTCTTGTAATAAAAGCAAGTAAACAATGTATTCTATTCTGTCTAAGTACCTACGTAACGTTATGGCTTTTAACTCTACTTACTTAGGTATATGAGTAAAAATCTTTAGTAATTATTTTCCAACACGTCTTAAAAAGTTAGAACCTGAAACTGGAAATATTTTAAACTGATCTACGAAAAAGCTTGTGTTAATCTGTTAGTAGTTTCATCAAGACCCATTCAGTAGTTTTTGCGTGAAAGCTTAAAGTAACAAACATCCATAAAAAATTTTGTAGGTAAGAGTAGGTAGGAGTTAGTCAGTTCTATGTACTAGGATATTGATAAGAGGAATCGTAGGATATCTATTAGATATCTAGCCTATCTACTAGGTTCCAGCTAGTCTAGCATTTTTCACAGACCGAAAATACTGCCAGAACCATTGTATTATAAAACTTTTTGGTTCTTTTTTATCTGTGATCGGCCGCCATAGCAGGTTCCCGGATTCACGCTCCACTCCTTCTTTTATTTTAGAGACGACATTAACTCTTTGCTAAAAAAACTCCTTTGTTTGTCATGGTACAGTTAACCCGAAATTAGGCTGGTTAAAATAAAGAAAAGAAGAGTTTTGTAGTATTTTTTTAAGGTTTTCGTAAGTTTTTGAAAGTTTTTTGAAACTCTTTTAGTATACAGTTAAGTTAGATTTTGCCTATGGATTAATTTACTAATGACTACATGACAAGAATAACTGTTTACTATAAATGTACGTAAATATGTAGAGTTGCCTAGCCTACATAGTTACTTAAACTAAAAATGATGTCTGTCTTACATACTAGATATTTTATTATTTTTAGAGTTATCCTAAGAACCAGGTAAGTATGTAAGTTGGTATCTCTTCTGCTATGATAATTAAATAACTTACAAGTAAAAGCCTAACTTTAAAAGACTAGAAAGACGACTGAAAAAAAACTCTTTTAGAGAAAGCTCACTAGTACGAGTAAGCTTTTTAAATCTTTGTTTGACTTTATTTAAATCCCAACTAATCCCAACTAATATTATAAATGCGAAAGTAAGTCTGTCTGTCTGTCTGTCTGTCTGTCTGTCTGTCTATCTGTCTGTTACGCTTTCCCGCTTAAACCTCGCAACCGATTTTGATGAAATTTGGCATAGAGATAGTTTGAGTCCCGGGAAAGAACATAGGATAGTTTTTATCCCGGTTTTTGAAACAGGGACGCGCGCGATAAAGTTTTTCTGTGACAGACAAAATTCCACGCGGGCGAAGCCGCGGGCGGAAAGCTAGTAAGTATATAAATCTGTGTATTTAAGTGTGTACAAAGGTAATAAAAAAATAAACGTCTACGACTTAAGCATGACTACAGCGTTTGACCCGAGTTGAGAATCGAACCTACATCCGTATCCTGTTTCTTAAGAGAGTAAATTCTAGGTTCAGTCAATGTTCTTTTACGATTCAAAAGTACCTTTGTTTAATTTTAAAGTCATGTACTTAATTTAATTTGAACTAACTACTTTAAATAGCAGCTCTACAATAAGTATACGTTTTAATTCCAATTTTTTGTATACTGTTAACTCAGGCCCAAAATAAAAAAATAATGTCACAAAACCAGAAAAAAAACAATCACTGTCAAACTTCACATAAATTCAAATTCCGAACGCACTCAAAACTTTTTCATTCACTGTCACTGCGCGTGCAAGTTGGCGGGAAACCGGGCGCGGACTGTCAGAGCGGCGCATGCGCGCGACGCATCCATGAATTATCCTTAAGGACAGGACACACTGAGACCCGATTTCCAGAAAGGAGAGTTTAAATTTCACATTTCCGGACCGAAGCTGAGCGGAGACGTGATGTAACTNAATAAATATTTTTTTGATTTTTGATTTTTGATTTTTTTTGAACGAAATCTGATTGTTTTTCAAACACAATATCCTTTCCTCTCCGCTATGGTGCCTGAAGTGCCTGAAGTCCGTATCTCTTGATTCGCAAAAGGTAATTAAATATTTTTTGTCCTGGTCTTTTAAATCTTTAGAAGTTTTTCACTTTATCTCAATATTTACTTAAGAAAGGAAAGAATATTTCTGTTTGCACACGCCCGGCTCGGATGAAATTTTAATTTTATGACGTCATAAAAGTTAAAGAATGATAAAGAGTGACCCTCCCTATGTATCCCAAGCCTTACAATAGAGTTAATTAATTGTATCACCTTTAATTCAGCCCAAGAAAGACATTCTAGCTTTTAATAGTTGGAATGCGAGCGACTTATTACAATTATCATTCTTAAATTGAAATTCATCTAGTTTCCTTGACAAGTTATACTCGTAATATAAGTACATAGCATAGTCTATGTTACAAACTGAATTTTGAAGTGCGTATTTGTGTAGACTGTAGGTACCTATTTGAATTAAGGACAAAAACGGTTTTTTTTTTCAAATATAATTAATATTTTAACAACTTCTAAAATAGTCAAAACTAAATTTTAATGTAAGAATTTCAAGGATAATTATAACAACCAAAAAATCTGAAACTTACACATGAAGAGCTTTACAATTTTATCCATTTTTCTTGTCGATTTTTACTGGTTTTTGGGCAATTTTACCTAACTTCTTTCGTTTCAGCCGAAAAACGTCCATTGCTGGACAAAGGCCTCCCCCAAGATTTACCTAACTTACATTAATTAACTAAATGTTATCAATACTACAGAAACAAAATACTTAAATATTCCGAAGTTTTTTTTTACATGGCTTTAATATGTTATGCCTAATCTTGCGTCTTGCCAGAGTCAAGTTATAAAAGGGGAAACGGGAAATAAAGGAAAATTGCCTATTTATTCCGAAGTTTAAGTATGAAAAATAAAAAAAATAACATAAGATTGGTTTTTCTTTGCGGCTAAGTATGTAGCCTGTCATATTAACTGATAAAGAAAAAAATGCCCGCCTTTTTTGAGACGCGCCTCTACAATCATTTCGAACATGAAGAATAATCGTTTACTATGAATTGGAATATCGATTTCTCGCCTACAAATGATTATTGACTCCGGAAACAGACAATAAATTTTGTATTTATCTGATTTGGAAATCTAATAATCTTGTTTCGATTTTGTAACTTTTGTAAGGGAGATTATAGCGTAAGTGATACTACGAAAATTCTATCAGGCGCTTCTAAAATGTGAAGTAAGTAGCTTATTGCATTAAAAAAGTCGTTATGCATGTGAATTATTCATCAAATTAGTAAAAATTCGACAAAATAAGGTAGGTAGGTACCTACCTCAAAAACTGCCTACTTTTTTATTTACTATTTGACGTTCATAAATGCTAAGTTCTAGTGAATGTAGAATATGTAAAGGCATTAGTTATTTTAAAGATAAATACATAACACAGGTATGTACTAGGTAGATAATTAGGTAACCCTGTATTACGGTGCCTGTGAGACCTATTGTATTATTAAAAGCTATTAGAAGTATTTGCCTGAAATTGTTTTACTCTGAAAATAACATTTCTTATTTAGTATAAAATCTTCAGGGAATGCATATTTAATGAATATTAATTACAATAAAAGCCCATTAACATTCAATCGACGTATCATCATCATTTCAACGAAAGAGACGACCCAAATGACGTCATTATAGTTTATGTGAGCTCTCTACAATAAAATTTTATGGTCATATTATTCATACAAAAGTTTTATTACACCAATTTTTAGGGCTATTTTCCGCCATTAAAGTTAAGTATCTCATTATCAAATTAAGTGCTTTACTTTTGCTCGGAAAGGTGATATTCATAAAACTCTAATTTATGGTTTTAACTAACTTAATCCTGCAGCTTTGCCCGGGAAATAGGTAATTCCAATAAAGATTTTATCTCGTTAAAAGTTTAATAAAGTTCTTTTCTGTCTTTCTTAGTTATTATACCTTAGTCAGTGAAACAATTTTTGACGCAGAAGTGAAATCCTCAAAAATGTTATCTGGATGTGATATACCTAGACCTACCTTTATAGCAAAGTTACCTGTGAATGTAACTTAATTAAAAGTAATCGATCGAATGCTAATCATAACAAAAACGTTATTTTAATTGGGTCTTTTTATCGCCTATTACTTCGCCCATTCCTTTAGACATACTCTGTATCTGTGGCCCATTCCCGCTCTATTTTTGTTATTTTTTCTGATTGATCAATGGCCAAGGCATTCAAAACGTACAGCCGCCGGGCATAAATGAAGGAGGTTCGTTAGCGATAGAATTCTTCTAATTAATATTATGTTTACAGAGATGTAGGTTGAGCTATTGGCTTGGCCATAACCGTGGCTAGTGGCTACTAATGAAGCTTGATACATCACATATCGTTGTTACAATTCGACAGGTTGTGGGAAGGGCAAGGAGTGCTTGAAAGCCAATAAATTGTATTAAGTGCTTTTTAGCATTTTATTATTATAATAAAGTGAATGTACCTAATTGTAGGTTTTTTTTTTCAATCTGGTAATTTGTTACCAGTTTAGGAGTATCATTGCTTTTTACATGACAAAGATGCAAAACTAAAAAAACAAATGTCTTATATCTTCGACTTTTTTTTTATGAACAGCATTGAGACTGGCTCCAAGTTATCAAAATATTTTAATGATAAGAGAAAAGTTCTATACTTTGATCGATTTTTCCCCGTTCGTCCTCGTAAACCTTTTATGTTGGCATTTCCAATTTCCTGATTAAAAAAAAGATTGGACTGTAAAAAAAATCACACCAACAAAAGGGCCTCGCCGCTACATGATCCAGCGCGTTACTCCACCATTCCGGCCCAGCTCTAGCCTTCTCTTACGGGCCCGAACTGCACAGAGAAGGCACCGGCTGGACTCGGTTGCTAGAGTTTAGTCCGGGCTCGCACCAAACCCAATGTGGCGGCGAGGCCCCAGCAGACTTGGCGAAATTATCAGCCGCTAGCCGACGAGTGACGTCACGACCACGTAATCATGCACGTACACAGTTTGCAACGATTGCATCGACTTATTGGAGAATTGATTTATCGTCAATAACACTGAAGCAATCGATTTTTGTGTTATTATCAATTCCTATTATTATTGGCAGAAAAGTAGGTAATTTGTGTTTGTGTAATACCTAAATAACATCCCAACCAGTTAAGTAATTGTTAATTTGATTACTTATATAAAATTACATTAATTGCACAGTAGATATATGAGCTAAAGCAGTACGGAAACTTAGCCCTTTCGGCGAGTTAAATACCTACACTTCAACTGAGTGTTAGGGTTGGCACTCTTAATCTTTATAAAATTAATAAGGTTCTGACTTATTTATTAAAACGTTTATTCAGGTTTTTTAATTATCAAATACCTAATGGAATAAATTAATTAACTAAGTAGTTAACAAAAAAATAAAACGTTAATGAGGCTCTATAAAAATCCAATACATAATCGAATAAATTGATTAAAAGTACTATTAGAGGCCGGTAGAAGATATTATTTTCTCATAAATAAAATACCGGATACTTACTTTCACATAGCTATTGCCTTATTTTAAATACAGTTCATCACTTAGTACAAAAGCGTGCGGAGCAAATTACTTTATCAAATACACATAAATTGTTAAAAAGCGTAATTACGTAATTTAAAAAGAACTATTACTAGATGAAATGTAAGCACTCTATTTAAAAAGTAATATTTAATAATTTTTACAATTCAGAATTATTACGAAGTTTAAAAAATGAAAGTTCTGGTTTTGAAGATGCCGAGTTCAAGCAGCCGTATACTACGCAATACACTCGTGGCATGTTTTTAAAAATACAGCGGACAGTGCTTGCAATAAAATTATTATTAAAAACAACGCGCGCGACACCCGCGACGGATGGACTGCGAGGTTCGCTTAGAGCTCGTGTAAAGCGTGCGTCTGTGTGCGTGAGTCTGATTTCGAGCGTTTGTATGAAGCTTCCGTACTGTTTGATTTATCTACTGTGTTAATTGCTTAGTGGCGAGAAAACGCACATTGAAAAAATATTGCTTAAAAAAATAAGTCAGGGACAGAGAATTCGCATGTATGGCAAATGTTTTATACACTGACCAATGTCAATATTAAGTAGGTATAAATATTGATACATAATGGTCAGTGGTTTCATGAAACAGATTATGAGTGGTTCAGAACGGACTACTATGCCGAGAGGTCCCGGGTTCGATTCCCGGCCGGGCAGAAATTGAAATGATGAATTTTAATTTCTGTGACGGGTCTGGGTGTGACTATGTATAATATGTATGTATTTAGTGAAATTGTCCAAAGATTTATTTATTATTTATTTATTATTGTCCAAATTGTCCAAAGATTTATTCTCTCTACTTCGAAGTATTTTAAAGCTTGTGTAGGTGTACTTACTCTTTTAGAAGTAGGTATTTTAGAGCGGAGTGCTTTTTGCGTAGCTACATAAAATTATGGTAAAAAAACTACAATTCCAGCTTGCATTGACTTCAGTTTGTCAGAATTTCATCATCATCATCATCATTTCAGCCATAGGACGTCCGCGTCCACTGCTGAACATAGGCCTCCCCCAATGCTTTCCATGTTGATCGATTGGTAGCATCTAGCGCTAACCTGCTACCTTTATGTTATCAGAATTTACCAGAAGAGTTTCCATAGATCTAGGTCAGTGGTTCTCAACCGGTGGTTCGCGGACCACTGGTGGTCCCTGGAGGCATTCCAAGTGGTCCACGATGGGCACTTGCACAATGCACACCTTGGTCAAAACCACTGTTAAACTGTATTTTGCAGTCAAACTGGTTTTTGACCAATTATGAGGTGGTCCCTGACAAGACAGAAATTTGGTAAAAATGACTTAAAGGTTAAGAACCACTGCTCTAGGTACTCTCATCAAGTAGGGCGCTAGTTTCGGGGTCACGAAGGTGCATATTACGACTTTGTCTCTACTAGATTTATTATTAAATTTAAAATTTTAAACAACTTGTTTTTCAACAAACAGTTCTTTATGTTTGTAGGTACATGTACATAGTTACAGTTGAATATTTCCTCAACATAAGCCAAGATCTTCCAATTGGCCGACAATGCTCGAATCGTTCATCGTATCATAAGCCATCCATCACAATGGAGCAGACTGTATTCAGGGCTAACGACTATACAGGATGTATGAATAAAAAAGCAATATTAAAAGTTTAAATTATTTAAGTTTAAATCAGACTTAGGTTGACAGTAAATATCTATAAGTGGCCAAAATCAGTACAGTGGCCACAAAGGGGGTCTTTACCTTAAGGCTCTAGTATGTTCCCCATTATTTAACTAGAATTCGATTTTTTTTCTTTGACTGTCTTAAATATGTAGGAAAAATGGGTACAATCTGTTAGTAATAGCACAAAATATTATAAGTACCTACTTTTAATGGTTTGACGACCCAGCAAGCAGCGGCGGCTCGATGTAAACATGTCCCAGCAGTGGACTTAAAGTAATTGAATTGAGATGATTATGAAATAGATCATGCTGTATGTATACAGGAGGAAAGTACCTAATAGACATCGAAGAATGTAACGTATTGTATAAAGCGGACCAGCGGAGCGGGCAAAGGTCGACCGCTGACGACACTGGTCAAAATTGACCTCTACGTCGATTGTTGACAAAATAGTTGAGCAAGTATTTTTATACACAAATCATTAAATAGAACTTTATAACACTAACTCAAATGCTTATTTATATCTTTTATAAATTATTCGGAAAATTATTGATTGATTATGAAGGAAGTTTCAAGGAAAAATAAATAGGAAAAAATAACTTTTTGTCACAGGCAACCACTCCCAGTCTCTCTATGGTCTCTTAACGACATGAAAGAATATATTGACAACTTACAAGTATTCGGCCAATGGTACAAATTTCCAGGCCAGGAAGGATTTAAAAAAAAAAAAAAAAAAAAAAAATCTCTATGGTCTCATCTGTGCAGCTGTGCTCCCAGTCATCCTTTTCGAAATGCGATTGCCATAAGATTAGGAACGTAATCCTTGTAGACAGTCGCTAAAACTGAATTCAAATACAGTTTATCTCCAATCTCTAGCGTATAAATTAGATAATTTATGGTAAAAGATTAAAAGATCAACCTATTTATTATGACCTCTCCAATATTTTAAACACTCCGCGACGATTCCTATGTTATTGGTTTTATGCAACAGGCAACACCTGAAAAAGACGTCTTACTTTTTTTCAACTAGCAACCCAGCACAAAATGTCCGACCCTGATCACCAAAATGACGTTGATGCACCTTGTGCAAAGAAAATAAAAATTTCACAACATAACGATAATAGTGTGAGTGAGAATAATTTGGAATTGAAAGAATTTATACCGGAGAAAATATTGAACAATAATACGAATAGGAAGACGGTTACCATTCAGGGTAAATTTAAGGGTAAAAGTGGCGTGGCTTTGGTTTTATTTGAGAAAAATGCGTTCAAAGAGGAAGATTTGAATGATACGGGCTATTTTTCGGCGGACACAGAGCTCAAAACGTTTTTCCAGAACGATATTTACGGAAATTACGAGTGCTTCCCGCTTCGCGCGTTGAATGGTAAGTAATTATTTTCTCCCTCCAACACTTTCGAAATTCTTGTCAAGGTTCCTTTTGCTAGTGATTACTCATCAAATAACATGGGCTAATTATATTATTTCGTTCGTGAAGGTTAAATTAGTGGTTTTAGTTTACACCAAAAGTGTCACGATGGTATAATAAAATTATGTGTGATGAAAATTCTGACATAATTTTCCTGTATGTGAATTATTTGCGAGGCTCAATTCTGTGCATTCTAAGCATATGGTTTCTTTGTTTAAAAGACGCAATTATCTAAAGTAAGTTTACTCTACATTAAAGATAATGTGATAACACGTTTTGTGTCAAAATTAACCTAGAGACAAATAAGTAGACATTTGTGATATCTAATTTCTACAAATAACTGGTTGATGCAAATGATTGAAGTTTTACATTCATACATATTAATGTATTGCGTAGGTACTTATTAGTAAGTCGTATAATCAAGTCAATTATTACATACCCACTATTGTTACAAGATCGCATAGCATTTATTTTAGTTGTTATGGTAATAATCGAACAGCAAATCATATGAAAGTCAATTATACAGTGTATTTTGGTTAACAGAAATCATTGAATTGTTTATATCAGTGTTTTTCAACCTGTGGGTCGTGACCACCTGGGGGTCGCGAAGCCTCTATAGAGGGGTCGCGAGAGATCGTAAAAATTACTTCAGAAAAAAAAACTTATAAGGGTCATTCCATGAAAATCTGTATATTTTCGACATCATTTTGTCCCAAACTTTTTTAAGATGCTTTTGAATACTTTATTAGTGTAAATTATAGTTTATTTATTTATTATGTTATGTCTAAAAGGGCCAGTCACTTTGTGCTTTATTTTAGGAGAAATTATAATTTTCAATTTTTTCATACTACATTACTCCTATATGACTTTTAATAAAGTATAAAACTTATCTGGGGGCACGGCAGTGCCCCCACCAAGTCGAGCAAAAAAGCGGCACGGCCGTACCATCCTTTTCTCGAAGCAATTCAGGCCATTTTCGACTACCTGTAACTTCGTTGTGGATAAAACTAGAAGGCTGAATTTTCATTAGCTATGCAGGCATTGTAAAGACACGGTATATTTTAAAATTTCATTCAATTTGAACCAGTAGTTTAGGAATTATAACGGGTCAAAGTTACTTAATTTTGTCACTCACTGACTCACTGACTATAAAATAAAAACAGTAATAATGCTAAATAACAGGCAATACTAAAAAAATACATAAAATACCCAAAAAAGGCCAAAAAATAATAAAAAATTATACTTTTTGAAAAAAATCTGCTTAAAAATTCATGTTTTTTTGGTTATTTGATCAATTTCTCCAAAAAATGCCCCTATAACTGGTGGTTTTTATTACTTTGTATTATTCTCTATCGTATTACCTTCGTAAAACCAAAAATCGCATGTCTCTATCCCTATCACAACGTTTGCAATGATCGTTTGAACTAAGCCTCTCCGGGCGCGCCATTCAACGCTTCGTTAACAACAAAACTGAAAATGGCTCTAGATTTGTAATTTTGATAAAGACAAGTTAGATTTCAAATAAAAACAAAAAATTTCGAAGTAAAATAAGCATTTTAGTTAAAATTAAAATTGTCTCTACCTGTAGCGGAGAATAATGTTGTGGCAGGCCTTTGTTCAAACGATCATAGCAAATGTTGTGATAGGGATAGAGACATGCGATTTTTAGTTTTACAAAGATAATACGATAGAAAATAATACGAAGTAATAAAAACCACCAGTTATAGGGGCATTTTTTAGAGAAATTTATCAAATAACCAAAAAACACGAATTTTTAAGCAGATTTTTTTCAAAAATTATCATTTTTTATTATTTGTTGGCCTTTTTTGTGTATTTTATGTATTTTTTTAGTATTGCCTGTTATTTAGCATGATTATTGTTTTTATTTTATCAGGATATACCGATTAGTTTAAAAGTTATTACGTTTTCTTTACAAGAAGCAATTGGAAGAAAAAAAATTCTATAAAAAATTTAAAAAAAATCTCAAAAAAAATTTGACCTCTTTTTTGTCGATAAAAATAGGTCTAGTTTCATCTATTTTCATATGTACACTTTAACGTGACTCACACTGTATATATAGATTTCCTATTGTAATCAATAAAGCTACTCAACTAGGGACTGACGAAGTGACTGGATCAACACATGTTTCCGCAACAACTGGCACGTTTGCACTAATTCAAAAAACGACTGCCGCAAAGCCAGTATGGTCTGAGGATAACTTCGTATCGTACTTTAAACTCAACTAAATGTCATTCACTCTAAATACATATTAAAGCGCAAAATTATAAAATCAATGCGTGGCGAGGGAATAACTCTGGACTCTTTTTCAACTAAAGAAAATCAAATTATTGTTTATTGAAACCGCAAAATATTAATAGAATTTGGTGTAATATACGTTTAAATCGATTATTCGTTAATATAATAAAGGATCAAGTTGATGTTTCTATAAATATTGGTTCCAAAACACAAACTTTTGGAGTACGGACATGACTAGGGAATGACGTTTTGGGTCATTTAAAAGGAATTTAAGATGTTTGAAAAATAGTTTTAAAAAATATAAATGGATGATGAATAAAACACATTGCGAGCTGTTATTTAACAATTTTGGAATAAAATATTAACAAATATTCCATGCGAAATGTGGCGCGGACTAAGAGTTGACATATTTTTGTGGAATGATCCATACAGATAATGCAAACAAAACCTTCATAAAGTAGACTCTAGATTTTTAAATGAATGCCCTTCTTCATTGGGAAACAACTACTGTATTTAAAAAAACAGGGAATTTGTTAAAGAAGCGGATAAAATAGCACTGAAAATAAAAATATATTATACAGCATAAATAAATAAAGAACATTATTCATGATACTAGTATTTTTATTAGAGATGAAACGGATATCCGGTAACTATCCGGTAGGCCGGATATCCGGCCTAAATTCACTATCCGGCCGGATACCGGATATTAAAAAACTACGACATTTTCCTATTAATAAAATGAAATACATTAATCTTTAAGGTAAATATCAATAAAATGGCTTATAATAATGACGGCTTTTATTTAAAGTCCAAAAAGTTACAAAAAAGCCATGTTAAGGCCTTTCAAAAACTTTTTTTTTTCTGGGCTAATCACACTTATGACGAATACATAAATAGTACCTACCTAAACATCTGTTAATGTCGAAATATTGCCAAATAAAAAAGGCGATCTATTTTTCACTGATGGTCTAGTGACATCATGATGCATGCAGTTCAGTCAGATTACGCAGCAAGTAGACTAATTTAATTTTCGCTATTCAATCACACACCGAAATCACCCGAATTGATCTGCCCCCTAGACCAGGGTTTCCCATTTTTTTTTTGCCAAGGAACCCTAATTGATTATACTTTTCCTAGCGGAACCCCCGTACTACTCCGCCCGCACGCCCTGCCCCTCCCTTGTGCGTAAACAAGTCGGTGCGAGCGAACGTCTGTCACGAAACGTGGGATAATATTTTTTACGGAACCCTTGCGGCCTTTTCACGGAACCTCAGGGTTCCGCGGAACACCATTCGGGAACCACTGCCCTAGACAAGTGGCAAAATCTGACATTCTATTCGGACGGATTCGATTTTCGAAAAGTGTGACTAGTCTAGTCTATTAATAGACCCACTGATCGCGTTCGAAGCACCTGTGCGGCGCTAAACTCGTCACAACATGCAACGAGACAATGGGCCAACTATCCGGCCGCCGGATATCCGGCTATCCGGCCTAGCAGCTGGCCGGATATCCGGTATCCGGTATCCGGCCAAACAACTATCCGTTTCATCTCTAATTTTTATTATCTTTAGTAGCTGTTTCTCATAATTCAGTAATCTTTACGTGTAATATCTTTCAATAAGCTGTAGTTTCTAATGTGTTTCTAATTTTAAATAAACAATTGTTTGAGTATCATTTTCTCTTATTGTAAAGAAAAAGATTGTAGCTTCATTAAAAGATATTACAAGTTTGAATTCAAATTGCCTACCTACCTATATTACCTAGATTAAAATTACTCCACTATTTTTAATCAGTGCACAAACTATTAGGGCAACTTAGCGAGTCACTATAACAACTTTTCTTGTGGGATTGGTCTCATCTCATACGAAAAGTTCATATTGACGGGCTTAGTTACCTCTGAAAAGCTTGTGCATTGATTAAAAATAATGGTAGAACATATGGCTAAATTATATACCGCCTTAGTGCCAAGTCACCCACTAGATGGCGTTAACACTTAGCAAGAAAAATCTTTTTTTTTTCTATGGAGTCGCCACTCGCCATTCTTCTCGTCAGAGTAAATAATATTCTTTGATTGTAAGCATAATTATGGTTTCTTTGTTTAAAAGACGCAATTATCATAAGTAAGTTTACATTTTAAATAATGTGCTGCTAACACGTTTTGTGCCAAAATTAACCTAGAGACAAATAAGTTCATGATAATTTCTACAAATAACTGGTTGTTATGCAAATTATTGAAGTTTTAGACTAGGCGCAGACCATCGATTTTTAGTTGGCCGATAGTTGTGCCCGATTTTAAATTGTATGAAGAATCGGCCAAATCAAATCGGTGTAATGTGCGCACTTCCATACATGCCCATACCACAGTATATATATGAGCTAAAGAAGTACGGAAACTAGGCCCTTTCGGCGAGTTAAATACCTACACTTCAATTGAGTGTGAGGGTTGTCTTGTCGCGCGGAGTCGTCCGCGCGCGTCCCTTTATCTGAAGTTTTTAGAGTGACTAGATATTCAGCTCATTGGCTATAACGATACCGTTTTTTAACGTTTTAGATTTTTCTCGGATTTTAGACGGATGGACTGCGAGGTTCGCTTAGAGCTCGTGTAAAGCGTGCGTCTGTGTGCGTGAGTCTGATTTCGAGCGTTTGTATGAAGCTTCCGTACTGTTTGATTTATCTACTGTGCCCATACTGATCAACTGCCCGAATAATCGGCCGACGAAAAATCGATGGTCTGCGTCTAGGCTTACATTTTATACATATAGGTGCCGTCGTTAAAGGCTTCGGCAGACCAAACGCGGGGCAGTAGCAGCGCAGTTTGAATGCGGGCCCGCGCAAGTTGTAATACAAGAAACTCTTTGAAGTGTGTCACATTACATTTTAACGCGGGCCCGCGCTCCAACCGCGCCGCACTGCAACTGCCGAATTACAAACCAGGCGGCGCGGGAGCGGGACAGAAGCGGCGCGAGCGCGGGCCCGCGCTGTTATATTACTATGGCGGCCATATTAGCATGACACACCGGAGGCAGGGCGGTAGCAGCGCGTTGAAAGTGGTTTTCGAATATTGAATTTTTTGACAACCGCCCGCGTTGCAACTGCTTTGAAACTGCGCTGCCACGGACCCGCACTGCTTCTGGCCCAACAATAGCATGCAAATGATAAAAATTACTCATAACTTCATTTGTTCCTTTCAGGCGTTAAAACTACAGTGATATATCCAGCTACAGAGAAGCATATCACAAAGTTTACCTTGCAAGAGGTCCACCTTATATTGGAGGCTCCGAAACTTTACGAGAAGTTAACGCTACCACATATTGAGAAAGAACAGTTCAATTTGCAGGTAAAATTTAAACTTCTCTTCTACCAATCAAATCTCAAAACACTGATAATAACAAGTAACTTGAATATGGTTACGACCAGGGATATTATATCCCTGGTCCGTAACCGTAACCGACACCGATTCAAAAGTTATAAAAGTTAAATATTTGACGTCATAGTACTTGCATAAAGAGGCTATGTGGGTCACGGCTCGCGTAGCATCTTGCTATTTGAATTTTACATTTTTGAAATTCTAATATCCAATTCCGTAACCGAAATTATCCGAAACTTTCGGATAATCCGAATTATTTCATATCCATAACGGTAACCGGTATAATATTATTCTAACAACCGAAATCCATATCCGATATATCCATAACCGAAACTTCATATCCATAACATCCCTGGTTACGACTTAAAATAATATTGGATATGTTTTAATTTCCAGTGGGTATATAACATCTTAGAAGGCAAAAGTGAGCAGGACAGAATTGTCCACAACAACAAGTGCGAGAAGGAAGGCTTTGTACTGCTCCCTGACCTCAAGTGGGACGGTGTGACGAAAGAGACTCTGTATCTGCTTGCTATTGTGCGTCAGAAGGGCATCAAGTCATTGAGGGATTTGGACGGTAGCCACCTTCCGCTGTTGAAAAGAGTCCGGGACGAAGGAAAGGTAAATAAATCCTTAAATTATACATGTAATATAGTATAGAATACCTGGCTATTACTATAGTATTAAAAAAACTCGGTAATTATCTTACTTCTACTGAAACCAGTTCAAAGTCCAATGGTCATTAGTTTATCTGACAGCTGCATTATTTATTTACACAAGTTAACCTAATAATCAATTAATGAAGCTTATTATTGTTTTGAGTAATTATAAGCCGCTATACCAATTGTACATGCAATAAACAAACAATTCGGCCGTTAGGTGTAGTGGTTCGAAACGGACTACTATTCCGGAGGTAGCGAGTTCGATTCCCGCACAGTACAAACATTTGTGTGCATGAACATATTTTGTTTGTATTAGACTGGGTGTTTTCTATGTATAATTAGTATGTATTTACAAAAAAAAAGTATTTAAGTATGTTTATATCCGTTGTCTAGTACCCATAGTACAAGCTTTGCTTAGTTTGGGACTAGAAGCGCAGTGTAAATGTCCAAGGATATTTATTTTATTTATTTACTTAACTAATTTACTCTCTAATAGGTTAAACAATGTCATGTCGTAGATAAAACTGAAATAGACTAATTTACTCTCCAATATTGTTTTCAGAAAAGTATCCTAGACAAGTACAAGGTCCCAGGCACTCAGCTGCGGATCTACCTGCACTACCAACCGTCGTTCTACCACCTTCACGTCCATTTCACGTACTTGAGGCACGAGGCACCCGGCATCTATGCAGAGAAGTCCCACCTCCTCGACACGGTCATCGACAACATCGAAATGATGGGAGACTACTACAAAAAAGCAACTTTACCTTTCACCATCCGAGAGATGGACAATATCTTCAATGTTTACGAAACCAACGGATATGTGCAAAGAATTAAACCAAATATTAAGATCGAGCTAATTGAGGCTAAAGATCCATTGAGTATCGATTAATTTAAGCAAAAATGTTGATCAAGAATATTTTTATGGAGCTGCGCTCAAGGCTGCGAAGCTGTAACGTTTATATTACCACTGGAGTTGATTTCAGCAAGAATTGCAATTTGAAAATCAGCATACAATCCAACTGTATCGTCATCAATCTTTACGACGATTATAAGTTGAAGAGAAGCGACAGTCTTTCCTCCATTGAAAGCTTGTCGGACTGTGATGAATATGACGAAGAAACGGATGTTACCGCAGTTATTCCTATCGATGAGTTCTGCTATCTAATACCGAATTCTATGTCATGTCTTAAAATTAACCAAAATACGATTTCCTTCCGGATTCTCACCGAACCAAAGAACGGTGGTAATTTCTATAATGAAATCTTGTCTCCGAATAAATCGCCAGACTCAGTAAAAACTAGCAAGTTGAAGATAAACGTCCAAGTTGATAATGAGCTGAAGTTTATCTGCAGAAACTGTTCTAATGTCGTTTCCGAAGAGTCAGTGAAGTTTGACCGCGTTTTAGAGCTTCCGTCGGTCAACATGGATATATCGGACTGGTTCTGCCATGCTCATGGCAGTACAAACCATGAGGAAGTCTTGAAACCAAACAAGAAAGATTTCCTCTACAGACTCACATTCTTTCAAATCAACAAGAACTCTTTGGCTGAAAAAACCAACAGGTTCAATTCCAAAAGAGATATTTACCATTGCAACCGATGCCTGGCCTGGCTGGGACTCAAAACCAAGGATAGTGTGAAACTATTCAATACAGAAGTAAAAATAATTCAAAATGGCACGGAGCAGGCTGTATTTTCTCACAAGTCTCCTTCAGATAACATGACAACCGATGATTTTATATTTACCATTGAAAAAATGACTCAAGAATTCAACCTCGGATTACAATACACAGTAATGTGCAAAATTGTCTTGGAGTGTGCTATTTCAGCCAATAACAAGCAATACTTACTCATTTGGGTGATGGATAGGGAACTGCAAGTACTGAAAAACATTGGAGAGTTTATTGAAAATGATAAAATTAAATTACAGTCGAATTTACTTACAAAGATTTTGTATAAAGTGGAGTCTTCCTTGAATGAGGAGGTGGAAACCTGGCTTACGGATCCAACGGTCGTCTCAACAGACATATCAAAGAAAATGTTCCTCACAGGAGTAGAACATTTACAGAACATGTCTCTGAAAGTGCCAGAATGTTTTCGCAATACGAACGGCTATTGTGTAAGTTACTTAAAAGTTTAAATATATTAATTTGCAAGATATTTCTGTGTTTATGTTTAATTAAATGATAATTAGGGTTGGGAATAAAGAATAACGACACAATTTCAATAAAATATTAACTTTTATTTGGCTTAATTGTTAAGGTAAACATAACAGGAATGACAAAATAGAGTGCAGTAATTCAAGTATTTGGCTCAAGTTTGGATTTGTAAAACAAAACTTGGTAATGACAAAATTAAACATACTTGAATCGTCATCATATTACAACATATTGATGAACTGGTCATCACATAAAAACTCAAATACATATAACTCGTACACATTTCACTATTAATTCTTAATTTTTAATATCGCTAGGACTTAGGACTTCTTCCACGTTCGATGAAGCGATCCGTAGTCTTGAAATACCACTGACAACGATGGCAGAGTTGAAATACCAGAAGAGCAGGAAAAGGACAGCGATAAGACAATCTGTTTTATGGCTAAGGAAACTTATTTGATTATTTTTGTATACCTAAAAGGATATATCGCACTGATGCAGTCAAGTCAAACTGAATGCAACCCGCAACATGTCGTAAACAACAGTCTGTTTATACATTTTGTATTGAGGCGATCTGACAGTGCAAGCACGAGAAAAGAAAGCAAACTGACAAGTGCAGACTACATTCATTTGACCTGACTAGACTGCATCCAGTGTGTTAAAGGCTAAAAAGTTCCAAACATATCCAACCAAAGAGTAGATAAAGTGTATCATGCAATCACTAAGGTGTATGAATTATTGCTTCACGATCTCAAAACTGGCTTCTTTCTATTGACGCCAATTAAATCGTACTTCAATGAATCATCAGTGATAACATTGGAATGTAGGTTAAGTTCTGAAATGTTAAATAATACAAATTTTTGAAAGGATACGGACCACGACCTTCTCCCAGGGTTCCACCATGTACAGTTCTGTCGCCAACAGGTACCTTGTGTACCAATACCTAAAGAAATTCGGTGTGTTTTTAGCTTCAGAAGGCATTTTGTTGTTTCGAAGAAAGAGCACTGAATATACAATTGTTTGTAATGTAGACGCGTGAATTAGATAATGTAGGGATTTTTGATTGTTGGTTTCGAGTTCTTCCTTTTCCAGATAATTAATTAGACCACAATTTTAATTTTTGGTGCAATTCCTCTTTTTGAAGCTTTTTGACAAATTTACAATAAAATGACGTACCAGTGTTGCCAGTCGGGTCTTGTCAGAAATTACCAGAAATATAAAAAATGTAACCTTTTTGAATAAAAAGTAACCTTCATATTGGGGGTGCGGAGCGATTTGTGTAAGGTTGTTCATGGATGGAAAATTAATACAATTGATCATCAATCGTTTACCTACATTCGAAAAATTTTAACCATTCCATGAGACCGAAAAGTGACCGGTCGTATAATAACGTTTCATGGATTTGCGTTTCACTATCGAAAAACATTCGCTAAAACTCATTTTTTTAACAAATAATAAATCAAATTCATGTTTAAATGCAGTTTATGACATAATTTTTAAATTGTCACTATTAATATTTTTTACTGAATAACCTGTAAAAGTTATTCTACAATTTCTGAAAAATCACCTAAAAGTAACCTTTTCATCAGTGTAACCTAAAAGTAACCAATGCAGTTCAAAAGTAACCTAAAAGGTTACAAAAGTAACCTTCTGGCAACACTGTGACGTACATGACAGCTGACATTAGTGACATATCATTTTCTTCTGTTGGCATTACAAAAAAAAGAACGTCTTCGAGCAGCGTATACAGATAGCCAGCAGTGGAGGAGCAATTCTCCCTCGCTTTTCCGCGAATAGACAAACCGTAGTAGGTATTTACTTTATTGACCATAAGCGTAGTCACGCATGAAAATTGTGAATGAAAGAAAAATATTTAACATTAAAATTTGTGTGACATGCAGTAAAGTACAAATCTCTACGATGATGGTTGGGCAGACAAAAACAAACGTTGACCCAATGACTCGGATTGTTGGGAGGGATTTAGGATCTAAAGGATTTAAGTAGAACTTGTGGTTGTAGAAAGAATTTAATAATTATTTTCTAAAAGTAAGTTAACTCTGCAAGCTCACTTCTAGTGGAATAAAGATTGTTATCGAGTTCTTTTAATAGGACTGCCATTATAAATAAAACGAAGTAAAATACTTTTAAACTCATATTTTATTATTCGCTTGGTTAATATTTTGTGACCTTATTTAAAGTTGGTATCAGCTATTACCTACTCAATACAAGACTCTCCAAGCCATAAAACTTAATTTATACACTGGTAATCCAAGAGCAAACAAATCACGACTTTGTACTTAAAAACTAACCTATATTACACAATTAGGATGTTCCATAAACTAATATTAACATAATATTATGTGTATATTCAAAAAATAAGATAAAAGATCTAATGAAAATCCATTACAAAAGGATGCATGAATAAAATGCGAATAATACGATAATACCTAAATATTGAAAAGAAATAAAACATTTTCAAAGATTGGTAACACTCGAAATGGGTTACCATACGTAATAATTAAAATACATTTATACACTACCATGGTAACATTGCATATTCATATAGGTAAGCGTGCAAAATTAATTTCTTACATACTCCATTCATTTTTTATTTCAATTTAAGGTACATTTATAAGTTTAAAATGTATCTTACGGCGAGTCTAGATACCGGGTTCAGTAAATATTTTGATAAATACGGTATAACACAGCGAGATTTATTTTGCCTAAATTGTTAAAATATTACAAAAGCAATTATTTTGTAAATTAAATATTATTTCCAGACATAATTCATCATAAAAAGTAACCAGCAATTTTTAAAACTTGCGATAAAACAGTAAAAAAGTATATAGCATAGCAACTTTCATTAAATTTTTCTGATTTAGTGTGGAAATGCCAGTTCCAAAAATATCGCCTTACCATTTTCATGTTTTTTTAGACTGGCAAGTCTATCTAGGTCCTAATTTCAGACTTCAATCTAGAAGTAACAATTCAGTCTTATAGAAGGCACCAATTTGAATTCTGTAAATTTGTATAAAAATAGCTGCCTCTGTCGCGTAAAATTCTGTGTAAAATTATACTTATTTATTGGCACGATTTCATTTATTGTCGATTACAAAAGTTTTAATTTCATGCTCAATTCCATATTTAAATTTAAAGAATAGTGATGTAAATCGTTAAAAAATTACATTGTTATTTTCTACTTACTATAAAAAACATCACAACAACCTAATCATTTAATTTACTCAAGTTTTCTACTTGAAAAACACTCAAATTTTTTGCTGTTAGTTACCTATTATTTTAGGTAAATTGTTAGTTCTTAAACGGTTACAGTTATAATCTGTATCTTTTAATAGACCGCGTATACACCACAGTGTATAAATATAAAGTATATTGATCGAATTCATTAGTTAGATTGATGGAAAATATCACTATGAAAGTGAATTGATTTTACAGCTACCATGTATACAGATGGTGTAAAATATTGAGCTACTTTTTTAACCCAAAGATTGGGTCAGTAAATATAAGAATAAACCTATATTCGTGATGTTAGAATAGTTGTGATTGAATTGAATATAGTTCCAACTAATTTCAATTTCCTATCATATTTCAACAGCAGCAAACTATTTCACTAGATGTCGCTATAAGCTAGTCGGACTATTTTAATTTTTTTAACTTGCAAGGTACAGGCAAAGATCATAAACTACTCTGCCTACATTTTCATGTAAAGCGCACTGTCCATGTAAAAAATCATGTATTCAGCGCTACACTAACGCCGCCTGGTGGCAAAATTATGTAACCATTTTTACCAGTACAAATAGCTGTACCAGTTTTTATTTTCCACATAAATCCTTCAGTTTTTTTTACTTTTTTAAGTGACTCAAAAGTCATTCTAAGTACTCAGTGTAGCCCTGTGCGCCAGTGAATATGACGTCGATCCAGATTCTCGCGGCTTCTCCAGAGGGCGCCATGAGGTAATATCTGCGTTGGCGTGTTTTCACGATGAACGTTGTGAGAGGGTTGGGCGATTTCGACGTGTTCCCGTGGTCTAGGTAGACCTCTTCTATTACCTGGGAAAGAAATATAGACATATTAAATTAGATATTGTGGATTTTTTGCATTTATCTATACTAATATTATAAAGCTGAAGAGTTTGTTTGTTTGTTTGTTTACTTGAACGCGCTAATCTCCGGAACTACTGGTCCGATTTGAAAAAATTCTTTCAGTGTTAGTTAGCCTATTTATCGAGGAAGGCTATAGGCTATACAACATCACGCTACGATCAATAGGAGCAGAGCAACAATGAACAATGTTGCGAAAACGGGTTTTCACGCGTACGAAGTCGCGGGCACAGCTAGTAGTCCTATGAAAAAAAAACTGGATGTCCGGCTCAATTTTAGTTGTTTTCTTTCTGTGTTTATTTCTCATTGAAATTAGTTTTATGCGACTTTAAGAATAAAAAGACATTACATAGTTTATTTAATAAATAAGCCTTACACAACCAAACACAAAAAAAAATTGGTGGGAAGTATATTCCCACTGACTTATTAATGGTTAACCCAACTTACCTGGAAGTAAGCGCCTCCCCTGGGCTTCTTCTCGCTCTTGTCCCAGTAGTAGACGAACGTTTTCGATTCTCTGTCAAAAACGAACCACCTGCGGAAGAAAAAAGTAAATGATTGAGTAAGATACCAAATATTGGATAATGGAGTTTGTATAAAACTAAATAAAATTATCACAGAATAGATGGAACGCTGTGATACAATTTTTATTCGGAAAGGTCTATCTAGTAATTAAGGAAGCCACAATTGTACCACTATAACATCATCTATATGTATAATAGGGTGGAGCGAAATTTTTTTTTTCAGATATCTGTAATGTAATAGTCAAAATTTTGTGCCTTTAGGGCTTAAATGAAGTCATGCAAAATATTAATCAATTCGGTTTAGAGTAACTGCCTCCGCATCGACACTGAATTTATAAAAAAAGTTGGTTTTAGACCTCACTTAGGCGCCACATATCTCTGCAATATTTAAATAAAAATACTATTTTTTTTATCACAAATCGTTAACTGATATGCTATATTTTCAATGTAAAATACACAAAAAAGCCAGGCTTTGGGTTTATAATTTTAATAAGGGCGTGAAAGAGCGCGAGAAGAGATTTTTTCTGGCCCTTTTCGCGACTCGCGTCTTTGTCAGATAGTCTACTGGAAAAGCTCTGGAAACATGTAAGAAACTGCCNTCTTGTTATATTACCTTGGTAAATATTTAATCTATAAATTATCTGTCATTTAATACCTTCTTACTAATAAATAGAGCGCAATATTTCACCTTAGACGACTTTCAACTTTAAATAAAATTTTAATATTTTGAAGTCACTGCGGAGGCAGAAGATATTCATTAAATGGGATAAAAAATTACAGTTATTTATACTTTCATATAAGGCACAAATCCCCCCCTATTAGAACTTCTAAACTAAAAAAAAAATTTTTCCCATACAACCGTGCTCCACCCTAATGTATAACCGGTGTTTTTATATGGAGTTTGACATACTTTTGACGTCTGTTAAAGTTAAGTCAATATCATGGCACCAAGCTTGAGCAATACAGTCCACGGCAGTTGTAGTTTGCTTAAAGTGTACAGGACATACCATTTGTACCAGGTGTGGAACTAAACGCTCAGTTGTAGTTGACAGCACATCATTGTAGTTGCAAAACCGCACCTATTACAATAGCATAAGGTACACAATAGTTACCGTTTGGACCAGGTGTGGAACTTGGCGCCAAGCTTGAGCAGGTACCCGCGGCACGACGTGGAATTCACGGTCACGTAGGGGCACACTTCAATCTGATGCCCTGAAAGCAAGAAATTAAATTAAATTTATTTTCAATGTTGACCAACATATTTTATATGAACGCCAAAAAAGGTAGACTATAATTTTTATTTTGTCTTCATCTTTGCATGTCCCCTTGTCTTTAGCCCTCCCAACGTTTCGAAATTATGTTATGTCATGAGAGTCCTCCATTTGCCTCTGAGTAGTGAGTGGAGGGAGACTAATGCCCGTTTTCACCATCAATCCCTAATTTTTAAGTGACCCCTATGGTGACACATAATAGGCATTTTGTTTTCATAGGGGTCACTTAAAACTTAAGGATTGATGGTGAAAACGGGCATAAATATCCTAATGATGATGGATTCACTGGAAGACTCGATGTGTCTTGCAGTGAAGGTTAAATGACCTGAGATCATTGGAGACTTACCGGTGAACTCGACGTGTCGTGCTGTGCATGGATTTGCCTCTGGTCGGGTCGAGTTCCCGCAGTCAAGGCTATAAATGACCTGATGATGACTTACCGGCGGACTCAACATGTCTGCGTAAATCGAAGTCATCGCGGTCGACGGGTAAGTACCGCGTGAGCGGGCGTTGCGCGTCCGAGGCCGGTGCCACGCCGCGCCGGCTACGACGAGGCGCACTACTGAGCGACACTGTGACAGACAGAAAGGGATTATTTATAAGTAGATTTCACCATTATTGTCTGTGTAGACAGAGGGACTTTTTGGGGCAGACTACCCCACTTTTTACGTGGTGCTTTTAGGAAGTAGGTAATCGGAGCGTAGGCACCCATTTTCATACGCAAGTCCTTGAAGCATACCTTTTTGTTGAACTAAGTTGCGTTAGCGCACCTGAAAGACTTTGAGAAATAGTTCAGACGCGCTTGATAATGGGTGCTTTTCACGGTCCACCGGGCAAGTACTCACGTATGTTAGGCGTGCTGAGGTCGGAGGCATGGCTGAGCGGGCGGCTGTCGTCGCTGAGCTTGTCCTCTGGCGCGGACTCCCGGGAATGGCGGACTTGCAGCTGCAACAAATACATCCAGTTGTTTAACCAGTTTTTACATTATGTTACAGTCAAAACTCAGTCTTTCTGTTCTGTAAAAATCTGTAAAGTAATAAAGTAATAAAGTAATAAAGTCTTTATTGTGTATGAACAAAGGTTACAAGGGTTCTTATAAATAGGTTACAGGCATCTCTTAGTTCTACCTTTTCAGGCGTATACACTACTATACACTATACATTATTATAACATTACAATTTATTTATATTGCAAATATTCTTGTACACTATAGAAACATTTATCAATAAGCCATTTTTTCAGTACAGTTTTAAACTTAGTAAAAAAAAAAAAAAATTGTCAAAAGTGGTTTTGACTGATGCCCTTGGTCAATGTCACCTGGACTGATTTTTCCAGTCAAAAGTGGTTTTGACCAAGAACGTTAGTACCTAGTTACTTCGCTCCGTAAAAGGATTCGATTTTCGAAGCGATCTAAAATCGGTTTGGCGTCCATCACGTAAGTAATGGAAATTTTAAATTCCCAAGCTTACGCCCGTATTCACAAACGATTCTTGCTTAATAAGAGAAGCAGCAAATCGAACGCACAGCGTTGAATAGAGCTCTGTGGTTGGTTCCTCCTAGTAATGTTTGTGAATACGGAACATTTCCTAACAACTTTGCAATGTATAGACTTACGAGTATATCTCATATTGTATAAAAAAAACACATGCTTCCTGATGAATAAGATCCAATCGAGTGTTTACTTATGTGATGAAAGAAATACTTATAGCGCTAGAATGATTTTGGACGTAAATTAGAATGTTGTTTTTTGAAAATAAACCGTACTTCGACCATGATGTTAAAAATAGTATCAAATTTAGCAAATCCTTATACGGCGCGGTGGGAATATAGTTCCCACCATATTTTGAATTTTATACAAAAAACGTTGTGGTAAGAAAATAAACTAAAAAAATAACGGGACTATTAGTAATTTGTGCAATAGTTACAAATTGCTAATAATCTTAAAAAAAAGGTACAAAATGTGGTGGGAACTACATTCCCACTACTGTATAAAGGGTTAAAATTTGTTGTTATTTCTAATTTTCGGCTCGAAGTTGATAACTAAAGCTCAATCTACTCACAAACAAAGGTTTTGGTGAACAGTTGAGGCCCCAGTGCGAACTCTTCACAAGGGTCAGCCACACAGACATACTGTTTCTGGTTCTTATTAGATAATTTGGTCACTATCTCATGCACTTTATAAGTTTTATCATTTTAGTCTGTAAGAATTTTATCTTTTATTTTTACCCGACTGCGCCAGAAGGAGAGTTAAGGTTTTGTGTACCAAAATTAATACGTTTGATATTTTTAGAATTTAGTGGTATAATTTAGATTAATGCTCTGTCACTTTCTGTCCAATAATGTTGAACCTACTCGTATGTGATGAAAGAAACAAAAGAGTAAATAGTAGCGACAATTTAAGAAATATTTATTTTTCATTTGTTTATTTATTTTATTTAGTTTTTTTTTCACTGATTCCGTTTAGGACGATACTTGCTTAAGTGATGCAGCAAATCGAACGCACAGCGTTGAATAGAGCTCTGTGATTGGTTCGTGTGTGACTCTGTGCGTCCACGCGCACTATGAGACCTCATAGTAATGTTTGTGATTACGGGCCAAAGTCACCGAACAAATTATCAAGGACATGGGCATTTTAGTTTAATTTCTGTCAATAAAAACATGCTTCAAACTTCACGCAGCGTAGAATTACACGCATCGTATAATAATTCTGGGCAAATATAACTATTATACGAGAAAATGTCGCCCGAGAATAGTACCTACCAACGTTTGAAATAATAAATTTTGAAGCTCGTAAAATGGACGATAATCCACGGCGTTGTTAAGGGCCTCATGTATTGATGTGGTAAACAAAAATACGAAAGTTTGATTCAAGAGATTAATTGGTATGAAGGAAAATACTAAACAATAAACATCAGACTTCGAATGCCAAACTCTCCGTTTCTGTTTGCTTTTTAACTTAATTTTGTGTTAAAAACGTTTCGTCTAAACTTTAGGTAGACTTTAGGCCCTAAATTGTGCCTTACTTTAGACTCTAAATCCTAATATTTTCACTAGTTTTTACTTTGTTAACTAAGAAAGTGGTCTAGTTTGCCTCAGTTTTCTAGACTCTAGAATCTAGAATAAAACACACAAAAAAAAAACGGAAAGGACCATGACATGAAATAGAATTCTTTGCTTGTTCGTTTCTGATTTCTAAATTCTTACAATGAAATGATTTGAGTTAATTATACGTGAGACCCTTAATGGCAATAATGACATGATATGCGACGTCCTTTACAGTCGGTTTTTCTATCATATTACGAATACAGACGACAATTCTTCGAGAACATAGAGCAGTGAAAAGCATTTGTTTACCTATATCGAAGTAGTTTAGTCAGTAAGTAGTGCTTAATAGTTATCATTTTTATTAATGTAAATGTTAAAATGGTTTAAATTTTCGCATCGACGAGAGAGTGTATTTAGTATTTACTAAAGATAGAAAAAAATTAATCGACGAATAACACACACCACGATGTAGTTTGTAATAAAATGGAGGCGCTGATAAATTTATTAAGTCTAACAAAACTTCCGTGTTTTCAAAGAAAAGATTAACTACATGTTTATTTCAATAAGTCGAAGCATTAATCACAATCGATACAGATTAATCGAGTCGATTAATCGCGTTCCCCTCCCTATTCTGTCTTCAATATACAAACTAAAATAATACATGCCCACGCGCATTCTTCGGTGTCATAAATTGATATCCCTACGTTTCATGTTATGCATTAAAAATCTTTTAATACTTTTTTCAGCTTAGTCACATTGTAACTTTGAAACATTCTACAATTTGCGTAGACTTTTTGTCGCCAGGACAAAATAGATCTGATGTTCATGACACGGTAAAATAATAAAATAAATAAATGATATACCTAATAGAAAATCTGTTTATCTATCATGCTTTACGTAATTGCTGAAACAATTTAGGCGTAAAAATTAATTGGCATTCATTTTTTTTTTTCAGAAAAAACTTAGAAAGGATTGAAAACAGGTGATGAACTTCATGAAGTTTATTTACACTTATTTATAAATTTCTTAAATTAAGAGTATATGAACAATTGAACACTTTATTAATTTACAAAGATTTTATGACCGTTTCCCCATAGTATAATAATGAGAAATAGTATAGTTATAATACTTCTTCTTGTGGTCAAAACTCATATCCTATGTTGAAAGTTTGTGATATTTATTACCCTTTTTAAGCAATAACTACTGATCATATTTGATAAATCTTTACAAAATTGATGTTCATACGTCAGAATTACAAAAGCTGTAATGTATAACGATATAAATCCAGGCGAAATTGCCGGCAAAATCTAATGTAAGTACATAAGTAGATAAAAACAAGAATCATCCAGCCAGTCTGTCTGTCATTTTCTCTGCCTGATAGAGGTTAACACGTAAATTATTACACAAAAATGTTTACAAATGCATTTTCGGGTTGACTTTGACCCATTTCAGATTCAAACTAAACCGATAATATGTTTATATTATATGCTTGACGATTCACACGTTTTTTGATCTTTTTATGTTGGTGCCAACGGTTGCAATTGTGCAGAAAATTGTTTCTTTTTTCAAATGAAGATGTCAAACTACTCGTCCAATGTGCCATTTTATTCTGGTCTTGAAAAAAACAAAATTAATTGTCAGGCAATTAGTTTTTTATCACTTTTTGTTGTTATTTTATTAACCACATTTTACGCAGGACGCAGGCCGCTACCAATCGATCAACGTGGAAAGCATTGGGGGAGGTCTATATTCAGCATTGGACGTCCTATGGCTGAAATGATGATGACGATGATGAACCACATTTTCCAACAAAAAGTAAAGGTTTTCCTAGACTAGAATTTTGGAACATAGACATATTGTGCCTAGAATTTGCTATTGCGTATGAGAACTGTAAATATCAAAATCATCTGCCATTATAAACTCACTAGAAGCACATGAGTTTATAAAAACACGTCCAAAAAGACAACCAAAAATCCAACATCTGCGTGAAAAACGCGAAAATGTGGTTAATGTTTTTGAACCTATCAAATATGAAAGCGCGTCCATCAAGATGCGATAGGGCTGTCTGAAGAATTCTAGGTCGAAAAACAACGCTAATTTACGATAATATTATGATAAACTCAATAATGAAGAACAGTGTTGTTCTTATAAATCTGCCAAGTATACAATAAATAGTATCGAGATTTCCGCAGAAAGGGAAAGAAGATAAATTGTTAATTAATATTGTGAAAGGAGGCGTAGTATTATTACTTAGGCCTACTTATAGTCTCAATTTCATAGACTTAATCAAATGTCTGTATTTAATTTAAAATAGAAGAGTACACTATCAAGATTCAAGATTCCGAAGCCTTGAAGGTGCCAGTGGCCATATTCTGGACAAACTCGCTTTATCCACAGATCATAAATCTGAACTTTTCGGTCTTCAGCTTTTTTGTCTGCTAAAAACCCGACTACCAATAACTGTAAATTTTTGAGAGAACAGTTATCCGTCATTAGTAGTAATTTGTACGTTTCAACCTAGTGCCGCCCACTGCTGGACAAAGGCCTCTCCCAAGGATATCTACAACGACTTTCTTCACCAGGTCATCAGTCCACCATCGTTTTCCGGCTCGATGTCGCCACTCGAAAACTTACTTAGAAGAATATGGCCAGTCCTGTCCGATACTGGCAACCCTGGACTAAGAAAGGCATTTCAATGCCAGTGTTTGATACTCTTTACGAGTGTTTACACGCCGTATAAAAACCAAGCCCGATGACGCATTTGCTCACAGCCGTGCTTAGCGAAATGAGCCAGAACAATGTGAATTCTGTAGGACAAATAAAAGCAACCGTATCCGCAAAAAAAAATAAAAAAAAAAACTTACGTAAATACTTTTTGGAAATTCATAATTTAATGATAT